GAGAGAGTTATCAGTGAGGCGTGTGAGATTGTCAGGTAATTGGACGGGCGTCGGAGAGGGATCCGATTAGCTGGATACAACGCGGGTGGTCGCGCCTCGAAGGTGAAGGCTGGTGATACGAGCTATCACCAGGAGCTACAGAAGAGTTCAGGGCTGAGTTGATATAGAGATTTGCTTAGAAATTCCTCATGAATGTCAGCATTTACGTCCGTTGGAAACTGAGCAGGTTGCGATAAAACAAGGTGCGAAACGGCCAATTGATGACAATCAGTGACGTTCGATGCCCTTAGCAAGACAAATGTTCTAAATAACTGTTCACACAAGTCATTCATCTCGACACTAAATGGCCATCAAAATGAGGTGGGGTTTATTCAATGTGAAATATTTGCATCGATGACGAAGCTGAGATTATATGGTGCATATTGGCTCGTCAAAGCCAATTAAAAGCTGATTTATATCAGCTGCCAAACGGATGCGTCGAATGACTTCTTATTCATCAGTCATCATTGATTATTCAGGCATATACTGAAGCTACCAAAAAGTTCTGAATCTGAATCATATCAATTTTGACGTAGTTGAAACTTTTACAGGGAGCTTGCAAAGAAATAACAAAGGGAGCAAAGGAGAGGAACAATACCTTATATCGTTAACCCTCGCCGGACCTATTGGTTTTCTACATACGCGCCGGCCGAGGGGGGGGGGCGGGTACGACCCCCCCCTCGCCGTTTCGCCCCTGGTGGAGCTAGCGCGTCGCGGAAAAAACGAGCGTGTGCGCCGTTACGAGACGCAGAGATTGGTACCCGATTTTAAGGTCCTAGGTCAACCGGTGACCTCTGAGGTCAGGTCAAGTGCCCCAAGGTACGGTTCAGTTTTTGGTGAATAACTTCGCAAAAAACGGCCGCAGAGCGCCGATTTTGGCAGCATCGTGTTCGTCTCGCTCAGGCGCGTCGAATGATATACTTTTTGTCCGGGTCAGGTCAACTTGGGGTGTTGACCTCAGGTCAAGGTCAGGTCAGCACCCCCAGGTCACGAAGTTGGTCGAAAGGGGTCATGTCGCATATCATTCGATTCGGCAGGTCTTCCTGAGTCCATTGGTGGCTTTCCCGAATCGCTAGCTCAATTTGATCAAGAGTTATTGACGAAAAACTAATATGACCTTGATGACGTCATAAATGACGTCACGCAAGGTCAACATTGCAAAAGTGACGCATCTAAACTTGCAAGGAGTGCATAAAATCACGATTCTGTGTGCTTGAAATAGTTGGAGGTCGTTCCCGGCGCCAGAATAGCAGTTTTCATTTTTCCCCATTGACTTATAATGGTGAGGTCACGAAAATGACCTGACCTCATATGACCTTTAGGAAAAATCCGAGATATACAAGTTGTGGGACTCATAATGGATACTAGATCCTGCAAGTTTCATTTCCCTGTGACATCTCCTCTGGCAGTGAGGGCGTTGCGAAGTTGCGACATCTGAAGACCGTGCAGAGGTTCACTTATGACGTCATAGGTCAGTGACCTGACCTGACCCAAAAATGCGGTTGGTGTCAAAAGATGCGGCTTGGATCAAAGGTCAGGTATGCCAAGTTTCAGCTCTCTATCGCCAGCGTGTTCGGAGCTATCGCGAAAAAACCCTATGGGGGGGGGGCGGCACCCGCCCCCCCCCCCCCTCGGCCGGCGAGGGTTAAGTTAATGATTTCTTAAAGGTTTTAAGTCTTTCTTCGCACGAGTTACGGTGCCCGACGCCAGTTAGAGTGAATTCATCCGAAGCAACCGGCGAGAGTAAGTCCCCCAAAACGAGATCTTAGCATCACGTTGGAATCAGAACGCCTGCAATGACACTGATTCGTGCATGTCCCTTGGCAACGCTTCCTTTTCCATCTCCTCCCTGCCATCGGCAGCATATGGTCTGACTTCCCTGACACCTGGCCAAGCAGTCCTGAGACAGCACCAGTAACCGATCGGTAACCGAGCCTTCAGGGAGTTAGCGGCCTGATCCTCACACAACAGACGGCGGCAGAGGACCTGGCTAGGCGGATTCCTTCGGGAACGACCCTGCAGTCTACAGCCAATCTGGGCGCTCTTAGAGACAGCCGGGCGGAGCCACCCACCGGTCCACCCACGTGCCTCATCAGCGCTGAGATTGTGTAAATACACGTGGCGCACGTGCCGGTCAGCACGTCCCAGCGGTAGACACGTGTTCCAGACCCCGCACGGACTCACCTGACACGGCAGCGGAACTCCATGCTGGGATCTGACGGGAGTGGACGGCGCCTGACCGGTCAGAGCACTGAGCGGGGACCGACGTCGGCCGACCTGGCGTAGGGGTCACACTGCCGCGGGCCTGGCCTGCAGAGGGCCGGTGACACAGTCCCTCCTAAGTAACTTGTGGTCGCAGTGAGCGAATCCCGGACCACGGAGTGCGGACCGGCAGGGCTACCGCAAGGTCGGCGCCGGTATCGCCATTTCTCGCCACCTCAGGCCCCGCATGACGCCCAGCACTGACGCTCGCACTGCCGCCCGATGGAGCTCGCACTGCCGCCCGATGGAGCTCGCACTGCCGCCCGATGACGCGTGCGATACTGGCGGGATCCGATGACGCGCCGTCAGCGTCCGACACCCGTCGGCGGCGGTGGCGGTACGGAACTGACGGCGCGCCGCCGCCCCTCCGCGCCCTGCATTGTGAGAGCACGCCCCCACACCGCCGGCCGTGCTGGGATTGGCTCACTGGAGCGGGCACGGCCGCAGCACGCCGCGACTCTGCCAGGTGCGCTCCGACCGGCCAGGTCAGTCCAGACAGGGTCAGGTCGGTCATGGCCGTAACTTGGGCGGATGAATACTTCTACCAAACATTCGTTCATCACCCGGGAGATAGGCAGTTTGTCACCACATCCGACGTTTGGAAGTCAGCGAATGTCACCTCATGGCATAGCTAAACAGGCAGCTCACTAGCTTCTCCGATTCCAGAGATTACCATGATGGTGGTGATGATCATCCCCGATCAAGGAAAACGTGCAACCTAAAAACGAAAACAACCAAAAGCAAAGCGCAAGGGAAAATGTAATGCCGCATCAGTTGAATTCAACTTGATTCTAGCTTTGAAAATGTAAACCAAAACTACCGAACAGTAGCCCAGTACATGCCATAGTGCATGTTTTCTGAGATATCGTCAAATGTTTGGAATAATGTCGCTGGTAATAGCACGACATGCACAACTAGCGATGGACGTGAGCCCCCAGGACGACATATTATGATTGCTGTGGTGAACACTAAGTCCACAACATGTTACTTTGTATTACTTGGAATCTCTACATCTTCCTAGTGTGCAACGAAAGTGTTTCTGTGAAATCATTCATTATTTATCGAAATTATGTAGTGGTCATGCGGCTGTAAATATTTATCCAGAAGTAAAAAGATAAAGGCATAATGCTAGAAGCAATCAATTCACAGAAACCGGGCACTGGTCACTAAATGAATTCGCCGGGTCAGATGGCATTTAGTCTCGAGTTACGATCATGCATTCATAACAACACATCTTTAGTATCTAAGCCCAATCGTCCACAATGCCTCTAAAATATCCATATATCTCCGACGGACTTATGTTTGCCGACACCGGATTAACCTAAGTCATAAATCAGTTAGTTCCCAGAGGTCTTGTTTTACACGAGGACTGACCGACAGTTTATGTCCTCTGAGCGGCCATAACCATTCGTCAGGAGGGCGCCCGATCACCGTCAGGGTCCGCGCCGCGTCCTCACACCCACATAATTCACCGGGCGCGAGCGGCCCCACTGAAACACCGGGCGAGAAAATTGGACCGCTGATTGCTCACCGGCTGAGCGGCTGATCGCCGGCAGATGACGGTTTAGGGCGGATGACGCGCCGCCGTGATGACGGCAGCGTCATCAATCGCGTCCCGTTCGACCCCGCCCGGTCCGTCGTTCGATCTCCGCCCCGGGCGCTGGTCGGATGACGGTAAGGTGCGATAGGGCAGGGGCACGCGGTGGTAGGTAGGTGGGCACTGGGTAGGTGAATGATTCGATAATCGCGGTCACGGCATTCAGATCACGGTTAATGTAAGTTTACTCACGGTGGAGTCACGGAAGGGTGCAGTTGCAGTGATAGTGCCATGATCACGAGACGAAAGGGTGCCGAAAGGCACGATGCAAAAGAACGAAAGTAGAGGGCATCGGGTAACGTCAGAGGGTAGTGGACGAAAACGGCTTCATATTCTGCCAGAGGAATGGGTGGATAGGCTTGTTCGTTGCACGTGATGGCTTAAATTTTAATCAACTCTTTTGATTGGCTTCAGAGATTAAATGGGTCCGAATAAAATGATGCTGTCAAATCTGTGAGTCAATAAAGAATGCAATGGCTGGTAAATCCCAGGGCTATCAGCCACACGGGGATGGACTGTCCACCACCGGGGACCGAGACATGCCTAACAAATCACTGAACGGTGAAACTATTTAGGCAGAGTCTACGGCAAGGCATGGAAAGAAATGATCACCCTTATACCTATCGCTCTGCTGGCCCTAACTACCGCAGCAAGGCCCCAGCTGGGCCGCAAGTAGTCTTTCACGGCGAAAAGCAGAAAACTATGTTTTCAAGTAAACTATGCCGTGTAGAAAATAATACAGCGTGGCCTCGAGTATAACAAATATTGACTTTCGCTCGCAAACTCCTCGCCGAGCGGCCCGTATCCGGAATACATGTAGTTTGAGTTGTGAGGCGTGAGGCATTGCGGTACAGCATAGATGCAGGCGTAAACTACTAGCGCCATCTCTGGACAAAAATAGACACTTGACATTCATTCGACGACTCTGAGACAGCACGAACTCATAAGAGCAGCAAAAGTGACTGACGGGGATCAACAGTCAATAAAATCAGGATATTCAGTGCAGTAGCCAAAGGACTTACTAATCACAACCACATCATTCATCATGGTTCCGAATCCGACCAAATAATAGAAATTGAGACGAACGCCGAGCTAGGCTTACCGAGTTCGAATGTCGGCCCAGTTGTAACCGATTCTTGTTCCGACATCTTCAAGAAAACAATATTGATATAATGAATAAGCAAACTTCAGAGAACACGCACAATTATCGCCTGTCAAATCTTCTGTCCCTTTTACGAAGCACCGTACAACCCCGCTGTTGATTGTCACTCGCCTTGACCTTGAGAACAGTGCGTCATCAGCTGTGCTGTCACCGAACCGATGACAGTGCCATCTATCAGCAGAGCCGACAACCGCTCACAACACGGGTCGTCGTATGGGTGGTAGTGGTGGGCGTTTGATACGGTGTAACTGCGATAATGAAGTTCATAATTATCTTTTCACAATCGACTACGACGATTGACTTTTCACTTCTCACTCTCACTCAGCTCAAATCGCTCTGTTCACGCACCCCAAACTGCCACCTCTCAGCAGTGCACTGCACAGTGCACACACCATCTCTCAACCACCCAATCAAACGCGTTCAACTCTAGGATAATGTATTTGCCCGCCCTCACATGCACACCTGCACAGACACGTTCGTTCACACTGGGTAGGGAGCCCGACCGCGGCGCCGGCGGTTCGTGTGCGCCGGAGCGCTAATGAACGCCCCGCGCGCGGATCACACAGTGTCAGTTCATACACACAGTCACACCGGCGACTCGGCACGGAGCTCAGAAAGCCAGCAGGTATGGTGAGTTGGAGAATATGTCGGGGAAGGTGAGCAAGAAACGAGGAAAGAAAGACGAAAGAGACGAAAATTTGACAGACGAGCGTGCTATAAAACAGCATTAAAACGCAAACGATCGAAATTTGATTGAAATGCAGAGAAGACAGTAAACTGAAAGAAAAAAGCAAAACATAAGACAACCAGTGATAGACACAAGAGAGGTTAAACCGCACCTATCTGTAAGGGTAACATATTTCAGTGATGTCATTGGTGACCCGTCACGCACCGGTCAGTGATACACTGTGAGCGTCACCGTCACGGCGTCACACGCGTCACTCGCCCGGCGTCGAGTCACTCGCTAGGTGTGACCTTGACCCGGTCACATCCCTTCAGTCCCACGCCGGGGGACCCTCCGGAGCAGCAGAGCAGAGGCCAGGTGACGGCCCAGCTACAGGCAGCACGTGCTCACAATATGTGTCTGGTGTCATAGTGAGTTCATGACTGAGCGGTACCGACGGGAGCGACTCGTAGCGCTGTTTCCCGAGGCAGCAAAAGCAGCAGAGTGTCGTCTATGGTCGGCAGAGAGGGCCCGTCTCGGCTATATACAGCTCTCAGATCAGTGGGGCGCGGAGCAGAGCGTAGAACGCTCACAGCAGAGCGGCCAGAGACCCATCCCGCAGCCTCAGACGAGCCTACAGCGGCGCCGGCCACTCCGCGCCCATCCACTCTCACACGGGCTGGCCGTCACACGTGCGCCTACATGTACAATACGGTCCGATAATCGATTGTGTATGATAGACCGGGCTTCGCCGCCCCGGTGTAAGCAGCCTCCCTGGCCGCGGGCCGGTGCCGCCGCGGTACAGCGCACGTCGCCGGCACGAGCGTTACCTATACACCACGCGCCGCGACATACAGAGCGGCTCTGAGGGCGCCACAGCCAGCACACGCCTATACATGCCCTCAGTCAGCCAGCCGCTCATTGGAATATACACGTCTCGCGCTGGCGCGCCGCCGCTCGGGGGCGGCCGCCATTTGAAGCTGTAGTTGCAGGTGTTGCGCAGAGATGGCGCTCACGCCTGGTGGTCGATCTCGCTGGTACGCAGTGTGAAATAGTAGATGGCGCGCAGAACCAGCACCACGGCCGCCAAAAATGCGCCTGAGGACAACGGGTCAGGTCAGGTCAGGTCAGGTCAGGTCGGGCAAGGCCGGATAAAGCCTAAAGTGAGCCGTATTCAAGATTTCCATCCACATGCGTCGATAAACAGCAAATTGCACAAAGCAAAAACAGCAGATAATTAGCTGAGTTCCCAGCAGAATAATATAACCATTGAACCAGCTGAAGACCTCAAAGCGCAGAAGTGGCAGGCACACGACCAGCATGCTAAAAAGCTGGACTTCTTGTCGAAACCAAGGAACTCTGTTTTCTGTTCTACAACACAGGCAGATCCCCTTCCACCCCTTCCACTCACCAACATAGACCACGTAGACGCCGGGCGAGCTCTTGGCGAACTCGAACGTGCCGAAGGTGACGCCGAGCGCGATGGCGAGCAGGATGAGCCCGGCCACGAGGAAAGCTCCGCCGCGCCGCCGACCGTAGGTGCCGACCGAGGAGACCTTGCGACAGCGCGGACAGCGGGCCAGCTTCCCGCTCAGCGCGTTAAACTGAAAAAAAAAGAGAGGGAGGGGGTGAGGTGATGAAGGGAGAGGGGGAAGGGAGGGAGGGAGGGAGAGAGAGGGCGATGGAGAGCATGAGTAGGGGATTTTCATTGGCGGGGGAGAAGCGTGACAATCGAAAAGAGGCCCCGTCGATCGACCAGGGTGTGTGGCATATCGATCGAGGCCATGGGAGACACATTGGCCAAAGTTAATTGGCATTTACATTTTACAGGCAAGTCGATAAACAGCGTATTTGCGAGGAGGTGCTTAGCCGACACTGATAGTATGAAGGTCGCTCGTTCAAAAACTCAACCTGAACGTTTCCGATAGGTGCCGGTCCCGGGTACGCACCCACAAGCTTATCTAATTGTGCAAGTCCTAGCGTCCGCTGTCTCACCGGGAATTCCATGGAAACGGCGAGATTAGGACATAATCGTTCCCAGCGACCGTCAGAGACACCCCATCCCACAGACCTGACTGGCGTCATCCGGCCTGTACCGCAAACACTGATACTGACCACAATCTGCCCACGAAAGGACGAAATAGCGACAGAAACACTGAGACGGCATGAAGTTAACCTTTCGCTGATCGTTCGTATTAGCGATTCAAGCCCCCTTCCCCCGGCCTGAGTCAATGAGGAAAATAGGCAGATAGGGGAGACTTGAAGATGGATATTCCTGACCAGTGACCACTGGCCGAGGAGATACGTGGAGTAAATACTGAATTAGTCGAATAAAACAGGTTAAATGAAGCCTACAGCCGGGGTGGAGGTTTCGCAGAAAAATAGCGACACGAACGGTTCATTAGGACGTCCTGTCATGACGGAATGCACCCCGCTACCGGAGCTGGCATATGTGGAATGTGCCAATGAATGAAACACGACAAACGCCGGGAAATACCTCGCCGACGTCTGGCATTTTTGTATTAGCAGGACCTAATTGCCGGATGCATGAGGAATATGAATGCAATGCAATACGGCTCCTCTCGTCTTGGACTCATTTGTCGAATCGCGTGAGTATGGCCGGAGTGAGGCTGGAATTTAGGCAAAGCTATAAACTAACATGAAACAAAATATTTGCATTTGTTCAATCTCATGCCTTTGAGAATCCGTTCCATGGCGCCAGCATATGTTTCAAGGCATTGACATTATCGCCGTTATCAATGGGGCGAATGTAAAATAACAGTTTTTGGTGAGACAGGAGCCATGGATTTTGGGTCAGTCCTCATTCACGATAGGTCGAACCAGAGGGGCCAGTAGAGCTCCCAACATCAGAATAACATAGTGATGACAGCCGAGCGGCACCATCAGCACACCGCACAGCAGTACCAGGCCTCACCAGGAAGGTGTCGCGGCAGTAGGCACAGATGATGCGACACATGCCAGGCACCATGGGCGCGCTGCTCTGGGCAGTGTTGGGTGCCGGCAGGTTGATGACGCGCTTGCAGTTGGGCCGAGGACAGGCGATGCGCAGACTCGAGGCGCGGCAAATCAGCAGGCAGTTGCACGGACAGCGCACGTACTTTTTGCCCGGCGGCGCAGTCCTTACCGGCTGTGGACGGTGGGAGCAGAAAAACAGAACGGTCAACAGACGCCGCCGGCACAGACGGCCAGAAGCGAGGGATGGGACTCACAATACGAGAACAGGCCGGACTGTCAGATAACGTGATCAGAACTTGGTAGTCTGGTTGTGCTTACTGTGTCGTATATGTAGACGCGAGCTTTTGGGGCACATACACAATGGGGTCTCCTACCATGGCTAATTTGCATGATCCCAGCGGGGGAAAATTGTCTGCTCTGAGAAAAAAAAGCAAATGATCACAAACAGCGACGAAAACCGACACCAAAAACATTACTCAGTTATCCCCTCATTTTCCATTCCCGGTAGTTCATATGTCGATAAAATTGCTGTTGGGGTGTTGACCGTCAGCACAATGGAAGTTCCGTTGTTATAACATGGTAAAATCGCACATATCCGGCCCCTGACACGTCACTGCTCGCCGTCTCACAATAACAGGGGTATATAACTCAGATCGTGTACACGCCCGTTTACAACCAACCAACCGGTCCCAGTGAACAAATCTTCAACCATGAGTCATCACACCATTCACGATCCACTTTTGGCACCGCAGAAAGTAGGTAGCCACCATACAAAAACGACTTCCCGCCGCCGCCGCCCCCCCCCCCCCCCCCGCTCGGCCAGCAGGCTGCCTAGAAGCCGCCGACCAATCCCACAAAACCGCCGCGACCACGTGACCCGGGACGTAAACAGCGGGCCACTGCGCCCCGTCATTGCTGGGTGCACTACCCCGGGCAGGGACGGCCGCCACAGCGGCACGGCTCGGCCGACAGAGCCGGCGGGGCACCGCGGGAGGGACGACACACAGCGGGATGAGCCGTGGGGTGGGTGGGGAAGGGGACGGTGCTTGTGCAACTGCGAACTCGGCGATGTGGCTTTAACATTCATGTGTAATAATGTGATGGAAGACTGACGGCTGTCGAAGCGATCAAAATAAACAGCTACTCCAATACTAACAGAGCAGTCAGCGGCATAGCTTAAAAACAAACAATAGCAGGTCTACCATGAGTGATACGCACGAGCAAAAGTTGATGCTTCGATACAACCACACATATCACCGATTGTGGTCATGGCAACAGACAGGGTCAAGCGAAGAAAACTACAACAAACCATGGGCAATACAAGTGGACATACACAGCACAACAGAACATCACTACCAAGAAAAAATCGTTTATCGGTATACCTAATCGTTAGAGGACCTGAATAGTTGTCACCATCAGCCAGTCCCTTAGCAAAGCAGCCTAGGCCGATTTGTGAAATATATCACATTGATACCTTCAGGCGAGTGCCCAGATCGGATATGATCGAGAAGGTGAAACGATGTCACAGAGAAAGAAAACTCCCGAGATAATTATCCCTATGGCGACAATACCAGCACACCACCCTGACAGCCTTTACACGTGAAGCACCAAATTCAAACAGCTGATTTACACCAGATCTACACCAGCACCCACTCACCCTTTAAAACTGGCCAGACTCCGACGAACTGACCGTTCCATCCGCAACTGACCATTCCCTCCGAAACCGACCCCGCCCCCAGACTGACCGCTCCCCCGGCACTGACCGCAGCCTCCCCCGGGACTGCCCCATTCCACGGGACCGACCCCGCCCTCCAGTACCGACCCCGGGCCCTCCGTAACTGACCGTTCCCCGGGACTGACCGTGGCCTCGTGGCACTCGTGGCACTTGACCACGTGTTGCTCCATGCGGCCGCTCAGGTCGAGCGTGGCCTTGCAGATCCGACAGGCCACCGTCAGAGTGCCGTCCGCAGCGCGCACGGCAGGCGCGTGGTCCACCGGACGGGGCCCGGTCTGCACCTCATCTGAGGACAACGCCGGGACAGGGTCAATACAGGGTTACAGAGGGCCGCACAGGGTAACAGAGGTCAACAAAGTCCTACATGGTCCCACGGCGTCACACGGTCATCAAGGCTCGCAAAGGGTAACAGGGGGCCGTACAGGATCATAGAGGGTCAAACAGGGTCACATGGCCGTGTGGGGTCACAAAAGGTCATACAGGGTCACATGGCATCAAGCAGGGTTATACATGGTCACATGGGGTCACACAGAATCACAGATGGTCACAAAGAGTACCTAATAGATGGTCAAAAGGGGTCATAAAAGGTCTCACATGATCATAATGGGTCACATGGTAGCATGGTGTCACACAATAGGGTCATACATGGTCACATGAGGTGACAAAGGGGCCACAGATGGGGTGGACAGGGCCATACCTATAAGGTCATACAGGGTCATTGAGAGTGACAGATGGGTTGGAAACGGTCACAAAAGGTCACATATAGTCATTACAGGGTTACATGGGGTCATCCATGGTCACATGGGGTCATATGGCATCATACAGGGGTCACAGATTGGGTGAACACTGGTCACACAGGGTCAGGGTTGGTCAACAAGGGTCACAAAAGATCAGCTGATGCATGATGGTCACACAAAGCCAAGGGAGAGCTCTCATGGCAGTTAGACTGGTCCTCAAAGGCTAGAAGTGAGATGTGAAGTGAATTGCAAGAAATCATTGGAAGGGACAAAACTAGACAAGGCCAAGAAGCTTGACATGAATTGAAAAAAAAACATCAAACAGATTCAGACATGGTCACAAAGGTTGTCACATTATTGAATTCATATTTAAAGACTATGCAAGCCTTCACTTATACGTAATCAATCACATTTTTGTTGCATGCCATCTTGAGCAACAAGCTGCCCTGCGTTCCTGCCCAGCCACTAGCTAGCCATACCTCCCTGCTGCGAGTCATCGAGGCTGCAGTACTCTGAGGTGCCACTGCCCTCAGGGCCTGAGGGCGGCCCCCCTCCGGCCCCGCCGGCCAGCAGTGGCTGTTTCTCCTCCTGGGACATGATCGTCGCTGCCAACTGTGGTCGGTCTTAAGTCCTGCGACAGCAGGCCCTCACGTAGTCACTGAAAGGGAAATGCAGTCAATCAGCCAGAGCCAAGACTGATACAGGGCAAGGAAGTTTGAGTTTCACTGAATGATTTCAGACTCAGAGTTAAGCTCATGACATCACTGTCAAAACTTCCCATACCAATGCTGATAGTGAACTGACACCAACCTTACCTTCACCAGAAAGGTAAATAGAGAACAAAAAATAATGAATACCTACTATTGCTGAAGTAATTAAGACATAAGTCGTTCAGTTGAATATTCTGAAACACTAAAGCAAACTAGAATGCATGCATATCAGTTGGTGACATACCAGGGAAATAAGCTAAAATTAGAGCACTCTATTTATTGCTCCTGCCCCATGTTGAAGAGATACCCCTAAAAGCGTGATCTTTTATCGGCCCTTACGCAGCAAGGCAGTAATTCTCAGACCGGTGGATGGTATCAATAGAAAGAGAATGCGTTAAGGATTAACATGAATTAATTAAAATAACATTAAAATGTTAATTAAGCGTGGAAATTAGTCTCAAACATAAGCTAATTATTGCTCCTACCTCGGCGACGGCGCTCCCCGCAGTCGGCGGAGAAGCTAAAATAAAAGCCACCATCCTCCTCCGTAAGTCAATTTTAGAGCGGCCGAGTGGGCCGATGCGGGGCCACCAAACTGAGGTGAGACGTGGCTAGTAATTGCAAACCGCCATAGAAATCAATATCTTAAGACGTACAATATGGGATGATTACTCTGAAGCTGGAGTGAAAGCATGAGTAGATTGCAAGAAATGAAATGCATAGATTGGTTGAATTATGTACAATAGGCACAGCTCAGATGAAGCTATTTCTATGATGTTGACATACGACATAACCCTTCCTCTCCTCACCTATGACCTAAGTGCATTGGCAGTTACCGGCATAGTTTTTGAGCACGAGTGCAATTCGCCATCGGACCGCAATACATGTTGCTAGGCTGCTGCAATTACAACGAACATACGAATACTGCCTTCATTTGTAGACGTTTGTTTTTTAGGCGGTGTTTGACGTGCAAGGGGGCATACCTGTCGACAACTTGAGTTTCTCCGAATTTCAAAAACTCCCAGAATTTCAATTCCTTATGCACTGTTGTAGGTACAGCTATGTTCACAAGTTTTCGTTTCCTCCTGTTCTAAAAAGGATGATATTTGTCGATTTCGTGCGTCGCTGATAGGAGGGTGCGTTTAATAATTAGGCCCAACGCTTTCTGCATCCGCGAGTACCTTCAAAAGGGAACAACAGTTTCCATTTATTACACTATGGGACATGTGACAAAATGACCACTGGAACACGCATGAAACGGAGCTCATATTCCTAAAAATGTCTACAATCACTTCTTTTCTGACACTATTAGCAAATACCATCTCAAGTTAGGTGGTTGACAGACAGTCAATGGAGATCTGGGGAGACTGAGTGATGCCAATTCACCACTGAACTGATAATGAGGGCCGAGGGAAGAGAAACATGCAACATGCACAACTGACAACTTGACAAGTGACAAAACACTACCACTATTGCGCAGTGCGCAACCAAATTACAGCAGCCAGCCCAAAAATGCTTTTGGTGGCTAATTGCAAAACAAGTCACTAATAAATGTCTTAGTTGCAGCTGAACACTGCACAATAATCACACTGTTCACATATTGAGAGAGATGCCACAGGTGGTTTGAATCACACTTTGGTTCAACTGCAAATCTGAAGTGTTGTCATGAGGTTCATGCCTCCATGATCACAGCACTTTGGTTGTGGTTAACATAACACTTGTAGTCTGCAGAGTTCCACATGAACTGCAGACACCTCATCTGGTGGTCTTCATGTTGCTCAACTTCTTCAGGAGGCAAATGTCGACCACCCAGCGGAAGCATGGTCCTGCAGAAAAGAAAGGTAATGCATAAGGTACAAACATTATCTGCTGAAACAGCTCCTTCTGTTGGCTGTTATTAAACTTTTAACATAGGTAACATAACAACATGTATTCTATGTATATTACATTTGTTGAAGTAAAATACTGCCGGCTATTTCAAAACCAGAAAATGAAATTATTTCGTGGCATAATTCACCTGCTCAGCTATCCGTATCAAATAATAATTAATTTAATATTTCGCATATTCTATATAACACATTCATAGAATATTCTACTTCACGTCACAAGGACTCACAATCTTTCTGTTGGGTGTTTGATTGACGCATTAACTAAGTTTGTCTTAGGTTTTATTATTGCAAAAAATTCATATTGCATTATTGTATCAAAATACTGCCAGCAATAACAAAACAAGAACATGAAATGCCAATGAGCAAGCCGCCTTTCCTTAAAATGGATTACTTTGAAAGGAATTTTTGTTTCTTTTAAGGAAAAGGAGAAATGATTATCAGGTAATTATCAGAAAAACACTCAACCAGCAAGTGGCTGGGTGGTTTCACAGCAAACATCAAGCCAAAACATATGCTTACATCTATCTAACAATTGAGCCATTTGACTACTACAAGGATATGTGAGCAAAATAAGAATCCAATTATCCAATGTTGACTTCCTTGCAAAGTTTATGCCTTATTTTATGAAAATGTGTCACTAGAATATGATACTTATCATCGAATATTATTTAATTTACGATTTATTTCGATCGGAATGCACATGGAGTCCCGCGCCATTTTCGTCGACGATGAATATGATCGTGTTTCATGAAGAGATAAGGGGTTTCAGTGGTCTTTCAAAGCAATAATTTGATGCAAAAATTTGTAGGAAATAATATGAAGCTGGTTCAAATGGCCATCAACTATTTAAAACACCGAAAATACTCACAACTCCGTCCCGACGACCACGCAGCACCGCGCACGCCACACTACTGGCACAATGCCAAAACTGTTGTCACAGCGGAAATGTTTTTTTTCTCGATTGCAATTGTGGAATTATTTATTAAACAGAAGATGCTCTTTCCGAAAAACCGACTGATTTCATACACAGATGTATGGAAAATAAAAAAATCCCGGTAAGTTTATTTGTATTGTTTTGTCGATTTTGACATGCTCCTAGTTTGCAGCCATATTTCGATATGTTCTACAGGGAGTTCAGAATTATTTCAGGACCAATCTTTTCCTCATTCATTTTCCCGTCGATCATGAAATTTTTAGAGCGGAACAATTGGTTTCCAGGCGGTCCGAGCGGTTTTCGTGAGAAGGGTGCAAAAATCGGCGTCATTTTTAGAGCCTCGACACCAGCTCAACACAGGACCCTATGGGAGACGGTGAAGTAGCGGGAGCAATAAATAGAGTGCTCTAATTTTAGCTTATTTCCCTGGTGTGTCACCGACTGATATCTATATCTTAATGTTGTATCAATGTGTTTACTTCAACTTTGTATTTGAAAGTTAAAACAAAAGCAAGAGAGTAAATAAAAGAAATGGCAAGACAGGCAAGATTTATCAAAGCATTTTTTCTTATAATTTGTGCAGGCATAGGCAAAGACTTAAACATAACTTGAACTTGAACACAAAGAAATGTTTGAAATTGATTCATGAAGTCCACTTATTCAGGATTTCAGTTGAGTTGCAGTACTCCTGTAGGGAAGATCACATATCAACATAAAATGGCCCAAAAAAGCAAAAATCGCCACATAATACTCATAATAGTGACAAGTTGAAGTCGCTGCCTCTCATAAACCTGCAAGACAAGACCAAGACGGTATCAGTATACGAGCTTCAAACCCCCAAACCAATGAAGCTTCACACGCACGTCCGGAATTTTGCATGATATTGACATACAACCAGTTACCTTTCAAGCGCCCTTTCGCGATGATACTCGGCCACCCCGCAACAATTACGCCTTTCTCACATCCAATTTGAAATGTCCTTTCGCCTTGGTCCTTTCTCAACAATTCTGTGTTGTGCTTTTATCAACTTGTGCAAGGTTCAAGAAATTCGTGTTCGTGAAATTGGCGATGATGATGACACGCAGTTATGTCACATCCATAGATATACAGACGTCACATCGAATTTCGGGTTTTAATGATAAACATTAAACAATATGCATACTAGCGTTATAAAGCGCATGTTTTCCGTGTCTATCATCAAAATATTTAATTATTTTTCTGATGATTTCCCACCATGCATCTTCAACGTAGGGATCCCCACCACAGTGCGTTTTCATGAAATGACTACATTTATTATAGCCACTAACAGATGGCAGGAGCGTCGCCGAGACAGATGTCGCTGCTAAGCACCTGGTCAAGGACAGAGCCTGGGGAGCCCGTCAACCTTTGTGAAAAATACATCAGCTGTGTTCAGCCCGACGATACAGATTTATGGATATGGAGCATATTACCCATTCGGGTCAGGTCATGACCTTGACCCGAGTTAAAAAATTTCAAATGATCTTAACTTATATTTCATTCGTCGCGTCCGTCTCAACGAGAGGAACACGATGCTGGCCTGGCAAAAGATAATGATGTGGCTATCTTGATTCAAAAGTTATTACAGAAAAAAAAAACTTTTCGCAAAAACGATTATTTTTAGCCCTCGCCGGCACAGGCTATTTTGCGTCCTTCGACGGCACAAGAGGAGGGGGGGGGGGTGGTACGACCCCCTCGCGTTTGGCCCTGATCGAGCTAAGAGCTTCGCGGAAAAAACGAGTGTGTTGCCCGTCACGAGAGGAAGCCGATGACACCCAATTTTAAGGTCCTAGGTCATCGGATGACCTTCCAGGTCAGGTCAATGACCCGAAAATCGGGAAAATCGGGACCTGTTAGAAAGTCGTAAAGTGTAGCTGCTATGGGAATTTTCGGGGTGCTGATCACAAATATCGTGTTAGTTTTGATCAGAGATGATGTCTTTAAGTATTTAGACCAGGTCGGATCAGGTCAGGTCAGGTCAACCGGTAGGGGTCGTGACGGGTATTCGTAATACGTGTCAACCGCCTTTGACAGCTTCGTAACATGTTACGAAGACACCAAAACTACTTCGTAAATGTTCAAATGATTGCTAAATTCGAAATCAGCTAAAAAAAAACTAGCCTTGAAACATGTAGAACTCGAAAAAGTGAACCGAGGTCACCAAAGGTCAATGACCTGACCTGACCTTCAGGTGACCTTGACACCCACCCTAATGTATGGGAGCAACATCAAATCACATGTTTGAACGTTTGAAACCACGAAAAGCTTGCAAGCGCGCGGCTAATGCGAGCCGACATACGCCGAATCGCGATTCCGGCCAAACATGGTCTCGGAAAAGAAGTCACAGGTCAAAGGTCATTTCAATTTGGGTCAGGGTCATGAAATTTTCAGGGTAGGTGTAAAATTGGTCAATGCGAGGGTACTGAAAGTTTCGTTGCGATCGGCCGCTTTTTACGCGAATTATTCGCGAAAACCTTAGGGCGGTTGCATCAACCCCCCCCCCCCCCCACTGTGCCGGCGAGGGTTAGGGTTTTGCGCTCTGTAGGTACTCTGGAGGCTAAACCCTTGACTTGTGGCCAAATCTTATATCAATACGGCAGAAAGGCCTGTGAAAGACTATCGAATGCGCTTTTCTGTAGCGCTATTGGTTCTCGAGTTATGCATCGGGTCGGGTGTTTCGAAAATTGTTGAAAGAAGCAAAATTTAACCTTCGATGACCTCTGGTGACCTGACCTTTGAGTGACCTGTCCTAAAAATGACCGAAGTATTACCGTCATTATTTTTTACGCTCTTTCGAATGTCGCTTATACCGCGTGTCGCTACGTGGCCCAGGAGCTGAGTTAGACGGGGGGCGTGAAAACGCACCCCCCCCCCCTCCCAATACGACACAGAAAACTCAGACCACCAGCACGATGCGGGCTAGTCAGGCCTTAAATGGCAAATGGCCTTTGGCGATCTACATCCTACAAGGTGTGGAGTGTGGACTGTCAGTCGATGCCTTCATTGATATTGATTAGTCGATGCCTCGGGCTTATACGACCCGTTCGGCCTCGCGCTCGGCCTCATAGAGCAAGTTAGGGGTGAAAATGAGGTTACATTCGAAAATACTCAAGACAAGTGCTCGAGAGTCGTGACCTCAACTCACCTCAAGATAAGGTATCATAAGCTTCCTCCGGATTGACCTTATATAGGTCAAAGTCAGGTCAAAGCTTCTCAGGTCATGAAGCTGATCGGAGGAGCTCATGCTATATATTATTCGATTCGGTAAGTCTGCATCCGTTGTAAGCCTTCCCGACTCGTTTTCTCAATTTGATCGGGAGTTAGTGACGAAAAACTCTGATGACCCTAGTGACGCCATATATGACGGCATGTAAGGTCTACAATGCAAAGGTTTGGACATCAAATTTTGCAAGGAAGTTATCAAATCACGATTCCATAAGCTTGAGACGGTCTCAGATCATTTGTGGCGCCAAAATAAGAGTTTTCATAGTTCCCCATTGACTTATATTGGTAATGTTATACGTGACCTATCTGACCTCAGGTGACCTTTGTAAAAAAAAAGATATAGATAAGTTATGAGGGTTTGGAAGGCTACCGATTCCTGCAAGTTTCATCCCCCTGCAAAAGGCTCCTGTGGCACTGACGGCGTTGTGAAAGCTGCGATCCATTTTAGGATCGTGCAGAGTTTCACTTATGCCGTCGTTAGCTATCTGCCATGAAAATGCGGCTGGCGTCACAAGGTCCGACTTGAATCAAGCGTTGAGTGTGCCAATTTTCGTCTTTCTGTACTTCAGCGCGTTTTGAACAATCGCGAAAAATTCGTCTGGGAGTGACTCCCTCCCCCCTCCCCCCTCCTTCGGCCGTGGAGCCTGGCCAGCCAGCGTGAAAAAAAGATACGCTTAGTTTGCGTGCTCATGAGACATCTGATGAGCCAAGAATCCGCGCAACGCCTTAAGCCTCCACCAGTCGTGAAATTCGGGTCGCTAAGCCGCAGCTAAGCCGCCAGGACATGAGTGATAAATAGCTTCACTGCGTGTTGTATGCGCACGAGACACACTCACACGTGCATGTGCATCGCTAACACGAATTATCAGGCATGAGCGCGCCGTGCGCAAGGACGGGTGTAAACCGGAATGTGGCATTTGGCCACCTGACGCCTAAATGACAGCAATGGTACAACTGGAGTTTCAAACTTGTTCACATCAAGGGGTCACAATCGCATGTAGACAGGTAATCCAAGCCAGGGTGTGCTAGTTGCTGCCTATATTTTTAGTAGGGAGTAGAAATTCTACCGGTTGAAGTCAGGAGAAACATTTCCAATAAATTAGATGGATAGACATTAGCCGTTTTCATGACAGCAATTCTGTACACATTTAGTGCAGAATAGTTGCAGATATTGGTGCAGATTTGGTCAAATTAGGCTCATGATGTTTCTTAAAAGTGATCATGTTCGGGTTGCATAGATGCCTATACACCTAATTTTTCAAATTATCAGACATTAACAAATAAATTCATGATATGAAGATATTTGTTGTAAAATAGATTTGGTGCAGATTTGGTCAAATTAGGTGCATTCGCCAGATAGGCCGTCGTGAAAACGGTTATTATTCACCCTAAGTCGTAACATGGACGAATGTAAGCATTCAAAAACACAGTTTAGAAAAAAAAAACAGTTCATTTTGACAGCCTGTTTTTGGCAATCAAAATAATCACGCCTACATCATATAGCATAGCCGAAAGATAGGTACAGGAACAAAATTATAAGAAGTTTCTCGTTAGCTTTATAATGTTTAAACTGTTGGGCATGGCCATGAATGGTGAGATTACTAAGCATCGAAATCACGCATGACGCATATTAAATCCAAACGCTTCCCTTTTCACGCCGCCTATCCGGTTTGTAGCGCGCCGGCGTGTCGCAGAGACTGATGGGTCACCGTTTAGCATCCGATCGCCCTGTCGTTAGCCCGGCATTGTTACCGTACCAAAAATGGAGCGGTGCCGATGGCAAATATCCGAGTGTGTAGCTATACACTTTGCACAGCGTCCTTGGCTAGAGGCCAGCGATCGACAGGCTCGCCACCCGGCTACTCAGGTGGGAGCTGTCACCACTTAGAGGGTGATTATTTATCGCGCCGGCTTTTAGCTACCTGCAACGTTAATCAGATAACTGGCTCCGAGAGAAAACTCGTTCGCAGCCACTGGCAATCAACTTCAATGTGCTATCAATCGTTGTCTGAAGAAGGTTCGATGAGTTATTGATGCATCTCATCAAGCAAGCTCTCGCTTAAAACGATTTGCTTTTCATGTATTTAGTTATCAATATTATCATTTTACCTTTTCCGTTCCATATTTATTTATATTACGTCTAATTAATTAGTTGGATGGCTGGTAGAATGCCTCGGTAAAAACTCCGTTTCTGGCCTAAGGGTCACCGGTAACCGAGTATAACGAACGCGGGTGGACGGGACAAACAAAAGCAGCAGTAAACTTCCGAAATCCTTGGGATTTCGAGCCGTCAGTACCTACAGCTCGGTGTCGGTGGCTTGTCCATTGGGACGGGATGAGTGCACTAGACACTTTCACCTCACTAACGACTATCTCGTAACGACTATTCGTAACGACTATCTAGTACTGGCTCGTAGTGGCCCGTGACTGCTCCATCGTAATGGTTCGTAACGGCTCCCTCGCAATGGCTCGGTAACGGCTCCATCGTAATGGCTCGGTAACGGCTCCTCGGAGCAGCCCTCCCCTCAGAGAAGTCTCTGAGGAGCTGCTTGGCTCTGACAGACCAACAAATCCGGTGAGCACACTGCCCTATATATGAGGACGAGCCGGTGCAATATTGACATCACGGCCCCAGCCTGTGAGACTCGTGACAGACTGTCAGGCAGGTGACAGATGACAGACTGTCACTCTGGTGACAGCGGGTGGTGACAGCGATGACAGCGCCTGAATCGCCACCCCAGCTCAGCTGGACACGCCGTGTTTGTCTCCAGCAGGTTCTATGACGTCACTATTATCTGCACTCGTGTGGACATGATGGAGGGTATGATTTGATCGGAGATGAATGGCCTGATACGATGCATAAACACAATACCGTTGACCTAAACGAACGCGCAAATACTCTCACATGCTCGTTGAATTTCACGCTGTTGTCCTACGTCGAGAAATGCTGATTGATCGCATATTGTGCGCATCTCGCTGGTGCTTCGATGCGCCTATTACCATCGCATCCATTCAGCTGTATATCAAATCCATCATATCGTATGCTAAATCGGTGGTCTTGACCGAGGCAAACCAATCGATCTAGTCTGGCTTGGGCCTTCAGGGGCCTCACGCCGGGGCCACGTTGGGTACTATAGCCATTTACAGACACTCGAGTCATGAGCTCTCACTCTCTGGGTTTTGTGCATTGCAAAATACAAAACACTGAATAAAAGGTGAATCCTCAATGTGTGCTTGTTGGAGACGTTAGATATGAGATTTAAATAGAAATTATGAGATTGAGATTGTGAGATTTAGTACATCTGAACATGCATTCAAGATATGCCTATACAGACTCCTCAATTCGTGATGACTTCATGGGCACCATGATTCAGTATTTGGATGCTACCTGGGTGGCACTAAGCTGTTCAATTAAATACGACAGCTGTACAAGTGATAACAAGATAAGAATGACATGTTTGTACACATGCGCTAGTTAAATGTCTTCCACGTATCTATATGCTTTGGGATTTGTTTGCAACGATTGTGACTAATTGGACAGAAGATTTGTCTTTACAGTTTCTTGGGGGGAAAATCGGTCGATAATTAACCACACACTCCAAATCGCATGCAAATCTTAACCAACAGGAATGTAAAACGCGACTTATCAATGTTTTTAATGACAGAGGCATGGTTATCCATTCGGTCGACTAGTTCCACTATTTACATTTAATTGCACCCTTTCCTATTTTGTTGAGTTTTCAAGCTGCACTTTATCCGGATGGCTTATCACTCGTTAAGCCGTTAGTTCTTTTTATTTTTAAAATGGAATCGTCTCGCTGTATAATATCGTTTCCCGTCGATTGAAGTGAAAACATTCTTGTAGATTTGCGATTTATTTGAAGGAAACAATGCACTCACTAGGTACTCGTTTCATCTGTGTTGGTAGTGTGCGCTAAATTTTTTTTCAGAAAGTGAGATGTTTAAAGACAGCTATAGTGCAAGCACTGTATTTTCAGCAATTGAGATACATTTCAACTGTGGAAAGTACGACTTAAATTCTTGGACGGATCTGTTCAATGAAATTAAAATATTTATCGAAAACAGGTCTAAGCTATGTAACTACACGGTCAACCGCAATGAATAGATTCCGAACCCCAACGTCTTTTTTTTTTCTTTGAGTGTCCCAGGGTTGAAAAGGTATACGTTTTCGCAACGTGTGTGCGTTAGTAAAACATCAGGATGAAGTTGCACTCACTGTTCAATCTCTGCAGGTATTTTACATTGACCTCCAGAAGGCCTGGGACGTACTCACAGGGACGGTGCTCGGACATGACTCTCTGAGTTGCAGACGATAGCCGGCTCGTGAGGCAGTCTGACTGACCCGATCTGGTAGGGAAGGAAAGACTCGGGAGAGTCTTCGCAGTCCTGAAGCATCTATGTAGCTACACTAAAGTCGAATTCAAATGTATTCAGTAAAAGTTATGAGTCGGTCCCGAGGAAATTTGATAGGTATTATTTTATAGGTGTGAGATGAAAGCTCCTTCAAAGGGACCCTCCCACCTTTCATAGAAATGAAGACGCTAGTACCTATTAGTAAGATTATGTATTTCAGACCTTAGTTTATGTATGTACATTGTACAATGTACATACTCGATTAAAAGAATGTTGTGAAGTAAATACTGCCAATCATCCCAATATTAAATCATATCTATCCCGAAAGAGCTTTCTACCACATTTGCTGCAAAACTACATCTCGTAGTCCCCGGCTTATTCACTGCTTTATGACCGATCAATCATGGCATATCAGTTTCATCTTGTGTGCAAACAGCAAAAACCAGTATGTACTTAAATGAACGTTGAATGGCAGTCGCTCACGGGATATCTGCAGTGGTAAATTAGGTAGTAATCTGTTTTGTTTATCATATTTCTGTTCCATTTTCTGCATCGTTCAACTGTTTTATATGAAGACGACCTTCAATGACCGGCACAGGCAGCATATATCACCTCACCCGCACATCAACGTGACATCTCAGCTGCAGCTTCCGGCCGCATACATTTTATTCTCATAGTACCATCGTGACACACTACATTCTTTACAAGGGCACTGCGTTCAATCACCGCATTCCCACTCGGTCTAGACTCTAGCCGACCAGATCCCGTCTGCATAGGCTGTTTGGTCGCACCCCGTCACCTGACCCCCTCCCTCCCTCCTCTATAGTCTATACAGTGGACGTGCTCACAGTTAATGAAGGTCATCCCCTTCCCCTCCCCGCCCGATACCACCGGTGTAACTCCTGCCAAACTCGCCCAAACTCGGAAAATCCGCGCTCGGTCGCCGGCTGAGCCACGGCTGAACCGGGACCGCGGTGGTCAGCCATGCGCGCTGTATCGGACAGCTCTGCTGCGGTAACGTGTTGGACCAGTGTCGACGTGATCCACTCTCAGGTGCCGGGCTGGCGCCCCGGGAGGACGCGCGTGACCCCGCGTCGTGACGTCGTGACGCGACGGACGTGACGTCACCGGGTCGTGACGAGACGCCGTGTCTGTGACGTGACCGGGCTGGCGGCGAGCCGGGAGGCACCTCCATCGGGCGTGGCGTGACAGACGAGATCGGCCCGCGCCCTCGGAATGGTCGTCCGCCGCGGCACGCCCAGGTAGATCGAATTGAAACTTCCTTGTCAAGATTGACGCTTCATGGGCATAGCTCGAATAGTGATGAATCAATCACGGGCTGTCGCTAACTGTTGTAGATGCGAGTAGTTAGACCGTCCTGTTGGCGTGTGATTGTCTATAATCCACTGTCGTTTCTGGGTGGTCCCTCTCTATCGACCGTGGCGAGTGCTCCGCGCTGTAATTCCGCTTCAACACCTCGTCTGTCGCCGCCGCCGGCCGCCCGGCGCAATGAAAAGCGTGTCGGCCGGTAGACTACCGCCATTACTCTCCCAAACAAACTGGTTTTGGCCGCCAATTGGCGCTTCTCGGTGCTGCAGCGCGGCTCCACAGAGGCGGGCGCTGCTCCGAGCGATGGATGCAAAACGGTGGGGCGTGTCAGCCGACGGCACTGATCGCGACTGATTCCGCATGGGCCCGCACTGGCTAATGGCCCGTTCGGAGCGGCCTTGGGGTAAATGTTCCACCGGGAGCTACTTTGTCCGTGAGTACTGGCCGTACTGAGCTGTCTCAGCTTCGGTAATTTCCGCCGGAATAATGTAGAAATGCCAACGGCTGGGTGGCGCTAATCCGGACAGTCTGACCGAGAAGCTTGTCCTGACCCACCAGACAACAGGTAGGTCTCTGGTCAGCCTTGGACAGCCGTCTTCAAAGGACCAGCGCCCTTATGCGCGCTGGTCAATCCCCACTGGAAGCCATGGGCTTTATAGTTCACGTGCAACCGCTCACTTGGATTAAACTCATCAGATTCAGAAGTTGAGTTGAACAGAGAGCTGAGGGTCCGTTCAGTCCACGTGGTTTGTGTGGTTATTCTCGTCTGTCCACGTGGAGGTCGCTCAGCCCCCGCAGCTGTTTGGCTAGGTCAGCTGAGCTGAAGACCCGTTCTCCTCCCGTGACTGCGGATCGGTCGGCTGAGTTGAGCACCTCCTCCCGTGACCGCGAGTCGTTCGGCCACCCACTCGCCTCTCGCGGCGCGCCGTGCCGTGTGCGGACAGGTGGAGCCGCCGGCGGCACCGGCTGCTCCCCTGGCACGGACCGCACTGCCGCCGCCGCCGCCACCGCGGCTCAGTCTTCCGACGAACGTCGAACCGGCAACACGGTGAACGGACTCTCTGCAAAGCCGACAGAGCACCTGTCGCGGGTGACGTTAAGACCGAACCACGTGGAGGTGTGAGACATCACGTGCCGACCCGTGCCGTTTCGTGTCACGTAGCATCCGGTGCCACGTGCCGCTACGTGCCGTTCCGTGTCCCGTGCCGTGCAGCCGTCCAGACGGTCTGTATTTACCTGTGCGGCGCCCGGTAAGGTGACTGGCGGGTGGACAGTGACTGTGTGAAATCCTCGGACGGCGCCGGCGCCGCCCGCGGTGATTGTCATTCGTCCAGGAGGCAGGAGCTCTCCATCAGCTCCTGTCGGTGGGGCGGCGCGCACGGGGCGGCCAGTCGACGGGAGTGGGAGTGGAGACAGTCGACACGGTCCGCGCTGACCGAGACAGAGCTGAGAGTGAGGATTAGGGCGGTCAGGAGCGGGCCGTGAGCTGTCGGTGGTGCCGTGAGCCGTGTGAGATCCGGTGAGCGCCGTGTGAGATCCAGCCGGCGGGTGAGAGGGGCCGTATGGTGCGTCCCGGCCCGCCGCCGCCGGGGCCATGGTGACTGGTAAATGATGCGTGCGGCCGGCGCCCACTCGGCCCTGCTCCCGCTGCTGTTGGTGATGGTGACCGTGACGTGGTGCTCCCGGCTGGTGCCGCGCCGGTAAGTAGCTGGTGATCGCCGCACCTGCTCCAACTCCACCCTGCATCTCGCCCAAATCACCGCCACTGCTTCACACCTTCACTCATAAGGCATGAGGACGTAGGTAACGAGCCACCCACTTGGCATACTCTCGGAACTGATGATTGTTGGTCTCCCATCATTAGAAATAAGTTTCGATATTCTTTCCTTGCTTTTGTGCTAATCTTTTGTCACTCCATATCCCCATATAATCTGACTGAGGTGGGCGATAATCAGCGATAATTGACAATTTGTGCGCTACGGCGATCGGTCTCGTGCTATGCTTTGATTCCGGCGATTGCCTCATGGCATGTTATCGTCTATTAGCTGTAAAATCACGCAATGATAAATTGCATGCTCACGGACCATTCTGAAACCGCTAGTTTCAACATCCCACGAAAACAGGATGACCGAAGTGAATTGAGCTGGACAGCATGATTTATCAAAGTACTATCGACTTTTGGCTGACAGGCTAAATAAATTTAGAATAAAATCAATCAAAATATTTTCTTGTTTTAAGTTAATGGCATTCATCGATTCAGTTTGCATACAACCTCGATAGTCACGATTTATGTAGAAAAGAGCATTTGCCGGTGTATTTTGCTTTCTAAATTTACATAGATTTCCACGGTTTTGTGTAATTTACAATTCCCAATATCTTATCGCCGCGCCGAGATGGATGTCGTCGGTTGTCGAGATGGCTGTCAGCGGCTGATCTGCCGCGGTCCCAGGAATTTGGAGTGCTGCCGCGATGAAAATACGGTGGTTCAGCGGTGCTGAGCGGAGCGGTAGCGGTTCGCGGTACCACCACGCCCCTGGTGACACGAGCGGTCATTGTGCTCTGCCGTGACAAACCGGCCGCTCCATGCGCGGTGACGGACAGATGTCAATTTCCCCGCCCCCAGTCGGTAGTGACTGAGGCGACAGTGTGTCAGCGCCGTGTAGGTAGGGAGGGCCGAAAGGGCACGCTCCGGACGGAGAGGGGACGGTGACGGATGGCCGCCTGAAGTGCCAGTGACGGCCACGCGTTTCGCTGACGACCCGCCCGCTGATGGGAGGGAGGGGAGGTTGATAAGTTGTTGTCGATGAAAAGGATAACTGACTTTGATTTATCGAATTCCGATCATTTTCTAGCAACGATTAGTTCTTAGGTAACGTCAGTATACCGATGCACCAGTCTGGATGCGAAACAAGTGCCATACTCTCACTGTCTCTCACTGTCTCTCACTGTCCAACCGTCTCACAACTGATTGGCCCAGTAGTGTGGGCAGCCGCACCGTTTAGCGCTTTGTCTGACACTGTATCTGGCAATAATCTCCCGCTCCGCCGTCGTGACCCGTGAATTTGTCACATAATCGTGAGCAATGGCTCAGGTAAAATACCCCATACACTCCAGTTCACTGATGTTGTGCGACCGTTTCTTGCGAGTCAATTATGTTTTTGGCTCGCTGAATGCATAAAAATGAGGGGTAGCTCGGAGCATTGTGAATCCAATCAGCCCACAATCACGATTGCTGACGTAATCGATAACTTTTCAGCGGCATCAGAACGGCTTTCTCTAGACTGAACCATAAATTATTGCATTTAGACGTTTTTGTCACAGCAGATCACCTACTAATCGTATAACTATAGAGTATGAAGTACGAACATGACGTGATACTCAAGGTAGGCATAGTAGGTATGTACATAGGTGTGCGTATATGCTCCAGGAAACAATTGCCGTTTTCACGACGGCCATCTGGTACACATTTGGTGCACATCTGGCGCAGATTAGGTGCAGATTTGGTCAAATTAGGTTCAGTGTGTCTCTTAGTAGCTAGCAGCTAGGGTTGCAATTATTGCTTATATGCACCTACTTTGTCATATTATCAGAGGGCATTATCGATTAAAACACTGAAATAGATTCATAAAATGAAGATATTTGCTGTAAAAGAGATTAGGTGCAGATTTGGGCAGATTAGGTGCATTCGCCGGATAGCCTGTCGTGAAAACAGCCAATATCTTTTGTTCAGGCTATAGTTTAAATAACTTTTCTTCATTGTGAGCATGTTAGATAATTTATGAACTGATCATGACGACAGACAACAGAGTCTGTCTTAATGTCCAATGACAGCGATCCTAAGTCCTCTTCTCCCTACCCATGCCACGTTCGCAGAACCGGGCAGTGGATAGAAGTAAATTCAACAGCACGAACCCGCGTATAGGTGAAGGCATCAGTACCGGAGACTTATGACAATTGGTGAGCTATAAGCGGAAGATTACGCTCGTAACAATAGTTAGGTTCAGCTACCTAATACCTACTTGTTTCATCAATGAATGTTGGAAATACTAGCGATTAAACGCAGTAGGTAGGTACTAACTAGGTAGGTATCTAACTTATTATCTGAGGACGTATTTAGATAAGGTAATTTAGTTTCCATTCGTCAGGCTAACGAGGCATTCAGCAAAGCCGGTCCATGCGTAGTCGCGAAAGCAATAATAACTTCAGAACATAATTCCTAGTAATTCAAATATTCATTTATGAAAAGCAATGCAATTAGCTATTATATTGTGCATATGGATAAGAATGTTAACAACCGATGGGTGTTAGGTTTAACGTGAGTTACCTTGTACTTGCATTTCATTATGCATAAGCAAATAATAAAAGACAGGTTTGCCGCTTGATAGTTCAACAGGCTAATTATTGTAGCTCATAGGTCCGGTGCAGAACTCGTCTTGGTAACTCCGAACTCGTCAGGGTAGGGGTAGGAATAGACGCTGCCTGTTGAGTACCAAGACTTTGGACTTACTTCATCTTCGGAGAAATGCGAACGAAATGCACTTCGATGAAATTACTTGGCGAGACAGGATTTCGGTATGTCTTTCTAGAAATACAGCATAAAATTGCATCCTCTCTGTACAGTGCTTAGTCAACGGAATCCGGTTTTCCGGCGTCGGCGTCGGTGCAGATGTCATCAACATCTGAAATAACAATAAATATGAATTCCATCAGGAATCTCCAATAAATCTTCATACATGAGCGTTAACACTGTCATGCGCAAAGCAGAGAGTTCACGAAGATTGACATATTGCTATACGTTCTAGATGACTGAGTCGTTGCACGGATCAGCAGCAGTGCAGTCTTATCTTAACCCACATCCGTAGTATTTTGGTATCAAATATAGAGCCTAAATGAGTCTTTGTTTATTGCGCGGATAAAATGAGTATATCCCTGGGTGAAATCTGAATTGCCGAATATATGTTCAAATGCAAGACAGGATAATGACTAATCCCAAACCCTAAAAACCGCTCAGAAGATAAACCGTCAGTAAAAAATTTGAAAATGGAAGTATGAAGGATAAGATGAGGGGCAATGCATTATTCATGTCGTGTTGATCGCCCATACCAGTGGTCCGTTTGAAGGAGTTGCGGCTCGTGCACGTTTGACATCGATATGCGCTAGTAGAGAGGAGCCACAACACGGCATTATCCCCTTATTACTGGAGCAAGACGAGTTATGCACCAGCCCTATTAGCTTACAATAATTAGCCTGTTGAACCCGGCACCGGAATTTTATCTGGGACATCGGGATGCGTAATGACGCTTATCTGATTTCTGAGACGGACACCGTATGTCCCATCTGGACACTTTAAGCTGTAATAAATGCTCGGGTTCCAGATGAGAGGAAGACGTAAAAACTGGTCAGGCATCGAATGCGCTTGCAACGATATGCATAAGAGAATGCAGCATTGCAAAACAGGCTGCGTGATATTGATTGCTTGTGAGCGACAATCTGCGCGAATGGATTCATTCCGAATGACTTCCAACGACTCTGTCTTGAGAACATAGATGAAAGTTTCTATACCGACTGGCGAAATGCGCAACAGTGGTCGATACAGATTCGGATCAGACAGGCATGGGACCAGCACGAGTTTGAATTGGCAGACAAAGACATGTTCGCATGCCGTCTACCGCGGAAAATAGAAATGACTTCGCCATACCTCCACCGAGATCCAGAGTAAACACAGATGCACATTGCACCTTGCCGATAGGTTATGAATCAACATCGACTGAAGCTCTGGGACGCCATGCTTCTGGAATGCCGCAGAAGGCCGGTTCCCGGATAATCCTATTGTTGACTCAACTGGTTGGTGGTTGGTGAAATCTACAGACCCAGTCGAATCCATGTGATTGAATCAGTCATGGGAAGCGTTTGCCACTTTGTCCGGCGCTCCATTCATGGCCCGGGTGTTGGCCGGCGTCGGTGTGTCTGTTGCGTCACTCGATGGGTGATGCAGTAGGTCTGTTGGGCGGCGGCGGCCCCATTGTGGGCGGCCACCCCCGGCCGGAAGCCCTGCCGTGTCTGACGAAACGCTGTCTGCCGGGGCGGGGCGCTTCCCGCCGCCACTGAGCTGGCACATTCTGTCGTCGACGCGGTGTCGGGGTGCATACCGCGGTAGTCGTTCGGTCTGGGACCAGCTTCCGTGAGCGGCTGGAAGGCACGTGACGTGACGTGACGTGACGTGACCGACATGGCTGAGTCAGACTCGACTCAAACCGAACTGAGTCTGACCTGACCTGACCTGACCTGACCTGGTCTGACCTGTGATCTGACCCGGCCTGTCCCGACCCGACTCAACCCTGATGGAATGATAGTCCGCTGATCTGATGGTTTGACCGTGACACGACCCGACCTGAACCGAACCGACCGACCCAACCTGACTCGAATCACATTCTATATCTGACTGACCTGATTTGACCTGCGGAGCTGACCCGAGCTGTGACCGTGCCTGACAGTGACCTGGCCCAGTCCGGCCAAACCTGCCACAATCGGACGGCTGCCGACCCGCGGGTGGTCGCTGGTCAGGCGCCGAGACGGCGGCGTTACGACGCTGCCAAACGCCGCGGTGAAATATAGCCGCCCGGGGCCCTGGAGCCGGCGATAACATCAAATGGTTGGCCTAACTCGCCGGCTGTTGATAAACGATACGACATGGTTATGAGAGCCGACGGAGAATAATGCCACAGCTGACTAATTCCTGTACTAACCGCTTCATCAGAAGATTTGCAACGTGGTTTTCCTTTGAGTATGGTCATCATTTCTCATTTGGTAAAGGTATGGGCTCTATCGTTCGAAGCTCGTTTATCCCTCATGTAACAACCAGTCGTTCGTCAACCGCAGACACAGAGACCGTGCAATGCTCCCTACACTCCCGGCCGGCAGAGGGAGAGAGGGGAGGTAGGGAGGGAGGTGACTGAGCGTGTCACCTCCTCTGACCGGAACACCTGAGCTGAGGACAGCTCCCGGGGACAGAAGCAGCTGCGGCCTGCGGGGCGGCGGGGGCGGGCCGCGACTGCAGGCCGCAGGGCATAGAGTACGCGTGCACGGACCGCTCAATGTTGACGAGTTCTGCCGGTCGGATTTCAGTTCGATTATTATGCGCTGATGGCTCGTTTGTGGGCTGTTTAATTAACGTGCGGGAGGTGTCAGAGTAGCATCCAAAAGTCATTTAAGTGGTACGTCGTGGTTACGTGCTGAGTGACATCGATGCAAAATGTTGAACAGTAGCGATGGAATATTCTACCAGGAGTTTCACCTTCATAACGTGCTATCATCACATGTTGACACGAAAACGAGTGTCCAAGCTCCCATCAGCCAATGCAAACTTCTGTTTGAGGACTGGCCCATCATGAAGCGACGATAGGTCACCTTTTATGTTCCTTCTGTGAGGTCTGTTGAAGCGGCCATGATGCCTATGTGTTGACTGCGCTGTCCGCTGTAACGTATACCGTTAGAATGTCTGCCGGCCGGTTCTGCCACCTGAATTAGGTTTCCGAGCCGATTATGTACATTGTGGCGGCTCGGCGTCTCATGTTTCTGTTACGCGGTTCCTTTCCTTATCCGCGCCGCACATATCCACTGTCCACCGTTACGAGTCGAGTGGATCTAGTCAGAGCGACAGCCGATCCTACGGGTACAGGCTTTATATGATTGGTAAATCCACATCATTGCCCGTTAAAAATCATTGACCGTTTCCTTTATCAAGGAAAGTCAGCTTCAGCCATAAATGCATATTCAAGTGGCGGCATAAGCACTGTTTTGTGTCTTTTATGAAGAAACCATCAGTTCGTTTCTTTAAACTGATATGCTGAATATATATGGTGCGCCGAACGAATTTGCATACTCGTATATCTTGTAAACTTTTCATAATCGGTCGAAGCCTTTTGAGCATCTCGCTTAGCCATGATAAATCCGAGTAAGCTTTGGAATGTCTCGAACAAATCCGGATCATCTGTTAAGCCAAAGGCGCCGCTATCACTGCTCAACGTATGCAGCCATTCCAAACTGCAACTGCGAGGCCGGCCCCGTTCTCCGAAAATAAGTGGCCCTGTCCGCATGCAAGCCGGTCTACGCCCTTTATCTGCCCTATCAGCTACCATGGGAGCTGAACACGTTTACAGCCTCTCTCTCCTCTCTCTCTCTCTCTCTCTCTCTCTCTCTCTCTCTCTCTCTCTCTCTCTCTCTCTCTCTCTCTCTCTCTCTCTCTCTCTCTCTCTCTCTCTCTCTCTCTCTCTCTCTCTCTCTCTCTCTCTCCCCGGGCTCCATCCATTCCAATGAACTGTGTGCGCCGACAGTGAGTGCGGGCTGTACCCGAGACAGCTGAGTGTGTTCACTGTTCACCGTCCACAGACCTCCAAATGGACAGTGGTATTCAGACCCGCAACAGGAGCCTCCTGGCAACGCTATCACATCAGCGGTGCATACCTGCTACACGGGGCGCGACGGGTGTTTCACACATAGTTGTGGGTGCTTGTTTTGTAAAGTTAACCCTCGCCCGCACATGCTATTTTCCCATCCTAGAACGCACATGGGGGGGGTGGTTGCCACCCCCCCCCCCCCGCGCCATTTCGTTCCTGTTGGAGATAGAGCTTAGCAGTAAAGACCAAAAAGATTCTTTGGGAAGAGACGAATCCAATGATACCCAGTTTTACCTTCTCAGGTCAGTCATTGACCTTCCAGGTCAGGTCAAACTAAAAAATATTGCTGTTTTGGGTCACCGTTGGATATCAAGTGCGCTGCTTATCAAATACCGATGACGATGCTGTTTTCTGGTGCCAAGCCAGCTAGAACCTCTTTGTCACACTACCCGACCAGAATTTTGCTGCTGAGGTCATTTCAGGTCAAGTTAGGTCAAGGTCAATTATATGTGTTTGTATGTCTGTGTGTGTCTGTGTGTATACTGATGTGTGCACCGATTGTTTTTGGGTTCATATTACATGAAATCATGATCTGAGAAGCTTTTACCAAAAATGCAGTCAAAAAACTTCACAAAAAGTAAATTCAGCTTGCCTAAAACGCAATTATCTTAGATGACCTAGGTTGACCTTGACCCTGACCTTGACCCCTGTACATCGTCGAACAACATGTTCCATGATAGGTGAGAGGTAAGACTGGCAAAAAAGGCCGAAATCAGGGTGTCAAAAGCTCACAAGGCCCATGGCAAGCGAAAGATGTTGAGAATTGGCCATTTGGGTCATGACATGACCTGAAAAACAAGGTCATATCTCCTAAACCAAAAATCACAGAAACTTGAAATTTTCAGTGGACATCAAGAAAGGATAGAGGAGCAGCTATACGAAAAATCAGCCTTCTAGCTCTAAAAATGTTGAGTGCAGAGCAGAAAGACTACCTGGGGGGGGTGGCAACCACCCCCCCCCCCATGTGCGGGCGAGGGTTAAGCCAACTGGAAGGAAAAGGTTTCGCGGAATGGTGGTTCATGTGTGAGGCTTACCGCGTCTAGTGAAGGGTGTTATGCCTCATCGCACAGTCACTAGCAAAATTGGTGGAAGGTTTACAGCAGTAGTTTCAGGTGACCTGGCTTAGTTAGCACGAGGAAGGTCAGCAACAAAGGTCAACTTTGTGGAAGCGGAACATGAATGTCCCTTTGTCGAATGCTGATTGTTGAGAGTTGAAAAAGGTCACAGCTGTTCGCCGGCCAAATGTATGCGGGCCCACGGTTTCTTTCCGTTGCTTTGACGCCCGGACCTATTGTTATGAGTTATCTGTGATTAAAAACTGGAGCGACACTTGACCACTGGATCCGTATGCTGTCGCTGCTGAATGATGACATCCGGCTGGGCTCAGTGGAACAGAGCCACGCTGCCGGGGACCAGTTAGGTCCACCTTATTGCATATCTGTCGTCTGGTCAGGTAACGTATGCCTAAATGAGCAGACCGGAAGTCCGAAACTTTTTTACTTGTTTCTGACAGTGCGACTGTTTGAACATACCTGACCCTAGGACCCTGAAATGATGGACCGATTTCCGACAGCTAGCTGGGAGCTAGTCGTGCTCCGTGATCTGTTGACCCCACCTGACCTTGACCTGACCTCTGGTCCTCCCCGCAGGTCGGAGGTGGTCCCGCTGTGTGACCTGTTGACCTCACCTGACCTTGACCTGACCTCTGGTCCTCCCCCACAGGTCGGAGGTGGTCCCGCTGTGTGACCGGGTGTGTGAAGGACCGCTGGTCCCGTGCGAGCGCGGTACTGCAGACCACCAGGACCACATTCACTACAGGCCCAGGTAAGGGCGGGACTCCTCTCAACGGTAACCAGGCGTCTGCTGCTTATCTATTGACAGCAATGGCAGAGCGAGCGGCTGCAGTAGTTCTGATGAGACACTGAATGTCTCCTGCGGACAGCGCATGGCCCGATGGTGTCGTCAGGCAGCCATTTAAGAATTTAATGGCCGGAGATGCTGATGACAAATCGGCCTATGGTGGTAAAATGATGGCAGCAACACCGGATAAAACTCCCCGGCCGGCTATCTTGATTTTACGTCATGAGCGCTCGCCCATAAGGCGTCCCTATTAGGTCGTGTGGAAGTCATATGATAACATCGATCTGTCACACCCACAAAAATTGATCCAATCAATCAAGCGAAAGGAGCGAGCACGATATGATAATGGCGAAAGAATCGTAATCTCATGATATACGCTGATAGAAATTCCAAATTACGTGAGATTTATGGTCCAGTTGATGTCAATCAAATTACGAGGGACTTACTATCCAGTCACCAAATGCAGTTCTCAGAAAAAGTTTGAAACAGTAATAGATTGATAGGGTAGACATGGTCATTGATTATTTTGGAACACGATTGTCCGTTTGAGTTGTAGAATAAATATTAAAAAAGCGCTGTTTTCATTTGTTCGCTGATTTTTAATTGCGTAGTAAATGAGCTAACATATGCAGCTTGAATAGACATTGGTGTATATCTCTCGAAGGGTGTGCACATTTTCTCAACATCTTACATATTATTTGAAGAAAAAAATGTATTTTTGAAGGGATGCCTATAATTTTGCTACGATATCCATTCAGATAAAATGGTTGGAAAATTGCACCGTTATATAATGATCTAATAAAAATGTTAGGTACTTATAAAGCTTCCTTTTTGCCCTTTTTATTTTTTCTTACTTTAATTACAATGTTATCGGCTGTCGTTACTAACGCTGTCATCCCTATTTTTTTTTTTAATCGCATTGATTATGCCTTCATTGTACGACAGAGAGTATAGATTATCATTCATTGTCAGCGTACCTACAAGTCATTGAAATCCTCCAATCTACATATTTGAGCTTGATTGATGTTTCTTGTTCAAAGTTATCCGCCTACCGCGAATGAAATCATCCCTTTGAAACAGTCCTCTCAAGAATCATTAACCTAATCGGCCAATTTTTCTAGCGTTAATTTGTGTAGTGCGGTTAGCTGTAATGTTTCGTCAGGTCCAGTGGTCAGCCATGGAGTTGTCCCGAGCACCAGTTGAGATTTGTGGCTAGTCGCGAACCCGTGAGCGGTAATTTGATCTCCGTGGTCATGCTCACAAAAGCTGCTGAAACCATCTGAGCTCATGGCTGGAAGGGGACTGTGACTAAGGCCATATATATGTAGCTCGATGGGTCTGACGAAAAGGAAATGTCTGGTTTTGGGATAAAGTCACAGATATGAAATTTAGAAACCTCGAGATATCATACAAAACCAGGACTTCTACTGGGCAATTATCTGTAGAAAATGAAGCAGTTGCATAAATTATAATTTACATTACAGCATGGAAGTTGAATGGACGGAAATGAAAAAAAAAACTATAAGTTTGGTCTACATATGCTTGGCTTTGCCCGGTTCTGAAACACTTGTTACTTTGATTTTTGGCCCAAAACAACAACCAGCTTGACTCTCAGGTACAAGAAAAGATAACTTTAACAGCGCGTAATTTCCATACACTTTAGTTTGTTACTGCTTACCAAGCTCGTCTAAACGTTTGAACAAAAGCTTCTTCTCGCTATTACAAAGGCAAATGGATGAAAACTTTTAGTAATACAACGAAACTAGGACTAATAACTGTTTGTGACAACAATCGGAGCGAAGTTGCGACATGAGTTCTGTTTTAAATCTACCAACAATGTTCACGCTATAGCTGATACCAATGCTGCATGGCTTCTGTTGGAACGGTGCTCACTGCGGCAGTATCGACAAAGCTGGAGCCTTGACGAAACGTCGCCGGCTCCATGTGGTGCTTATATAAGCCCAAAACGTCAGAGAACTTCAAACGAAACTCCTAGAAAATAGCGCATTGGTGTATTAGCTTCATATAACGGGAAGGAATTTGGTCGTATTTTTACGTCACCAGCTGTTGTGAAAAACCGTCAAGACCTATGTGCATGTCATTTGACCTTTAAAGGGGACAGAATATCAATCACAAAAACAGTAGCGAATCATCGGCAACACCTGCGCTCGATCAATGTTTGACACGGACATGCCAACATTGCTGGTTATGTAATTACAAAAACCTAATCGGGCATAATTGATGTTCTGATGTCAACCTCCTAATCGGACTCGGCTCCTTTTTGAAGCTTCTAATGTTTGTAGGTTAAAGCTTTTATGCGATTACTGCTTGCGGTTGAAGTGAGCAATGGCCCTTCATGTTTGACAGCCGGCATTTAGCGGTAATATCAATCATTGGATGCTAATAGACGGGCTTAGCAGGCCTTTGATAGGAAATTAACTCAAGATACGTGTTTGGAATATTTCGAAAAGTCACAAAGCTTTTTCGACCATATGTTAAACATCCATTGAATGCTGCTTTTAACGACAAGGCGGCACTTTTAGCAGCTGCCAAATGTCTTCCTTTTATACATGCCTATTGCCTACACATGGACACGATCAGGGCTGTCGAGCAGCACGTGACTCATGGCCTGGCCCGGCGCACTCATGACGTACGTCCCAGTTCCCACGTCGTGACGGGAGTACCCGTGCACATGATGCAGTATTTCGGCCGGGTGGGGTGGGCGCCGTGGCACCTGCTCCACCTCGTGACAGTATGGACGGTATGCCAGCTGGTCGGAGGCCAGGCATGATGCAAATGGGACCTGCCGTCAGCCACCCCCGCCCCCGCCCCCGCCCATGGCCGCCGGTCCAGCGTCAGCCCGCCCCCGCCCACAGCTTCACATCCCGCCCACATCCCGCTCCACCCCCATATTCCTGCCGTTGACCCCGCCCCCTTTCGTCCTCTCACCCACCCCCTTCCGTCCTCGCTCCCCGTCTGCATCGATCAGTGCCAACAATGGATTGAAGAGGCTGGCATTAGCTCAGGTGTCGATTCAATTCCAGCTAAAGGTACCGGGTAATGAAATTAGATAATGTAATGGAGAAACAAGACTGATCTATATAGGCATGCTCAATGCTCATCAAGTTATTATCGTGTTAAGTCAGAAGCGAAAAAGTATTTTATATTAGCTATACCTACTGCAATGTATTTGCCTGTTTCATATTGAGTTGTTATTACCAACTTCAAAATGTTGCAGGAGTGGCAAAGGTGTAATATTCGTTCAATTAAACACGGGTTATGTGCTGGTCTTGTATTCGCACTCAACTGCGAAAAGCGGGGAGCTTGTTCCATGTCTGATTCACATTTCACTGGCGATGCTTAGCAATGTTCATGTTTATCCATGGGAATCAGCTTGACTCACAAATTAAATCGTGTACTGAAAGGCATCGTCCCATTGTTATTGGCTCGGACAAGGACACAGAGATACCAACAGAGGTCTCACGCTTCAGTTGCATTGGCTGTAGCATGAAACGTGTACGTAAAGATAAGGATTGTCTTGCCTTTCACCCATTTTCCTTGATTTATTTGAGCAAAATTTATTTATTTGCAGTTCAACAAATTCCTGCATAGCAGAGGAAATAGCGTCATTTACTTGAGCACTTTTCTTTGCTAAAGAGCAAGAAAGCCAAAAAAAATAGGCATAAAAAAGTAGGAATGTAGCGTAACTGCATAGGAGTATGTGGTTCTAGTTACAAATAACAAACGCATATCAACCTGATAATTCCTGCTATACAAATATGCCATTTTCAGTGAGCAGAGCCACTGAGAGACCGGATGCACGAATGGCCCGGCAGGGTTCCTCGGGTACTTGCATGCGGGCCGCGCATTGCAGCGCTCTCCACTCGTCGTACTTCGAAAATGAGCTATGGTTACTGAACATGCTAATGATTAAGTCCTAACTCCTAAGGATGGAGGGAGGCGATCAGAGGTCGTCTCATGGCCAATTATCGGTCATATTTTTGCTCGCTCGTTAACGGTAATAGATTGTCTTCGCTCATTGCCGGTTGAGCAGTAAATTATGCCTATGCAGTCCGCACCTGTTGTAATATTGATGCACTGCTATTTTCGCTGTAAAAGGTGATACTTGTGTGGGTGTAAAACCAACATGTGGCACATCCAACAGCCATTAATCTCACACCTCGCCCTACCCCCTTCTCTCTCGCCTGTTATCGGCGCTGCTCTGGTGGGTAAGTGATGGGCTTATTTATCTGGCTAACTTGCAGTGAGTTTTGGCGTTCTGCCAACGCTGACAAGCCATAGATCACTGCACGCCTTTGAAGATCACGCGCTCCAACAAATGGCCGTCGTGGCCGTGGGAAAAACTTCGTTAGATCATCTCATCCCCTGATTAATTACATTCTCGCCTTGTGTCAAACATCGGCGGTTGATTTATTTGAGCAATAGCAGTTTATATTTTTACAAACGCTAATACTTAAGCTTTCTAAAAAAACATCCCTTAGCAACAGCGTACCTACAAGCGGGCATGAAATCTTTGTAACCATCTTGCCTCTATTAATCATAGCCGCCCATTTCAATTTAAGTCAAAAATTACCGGATTTGAGACAGCTTGTAATCAATTACAAACATAATTAAGACATCACTTACTTCTATCTGCAGTGTCACGTAATGCATGAAATATTCAAAGCCGAACCGACCGCTTGTTAGCTGAAATGTTATGGTATGCAAAGTGCACACATAAAGAGACTTGGAGACTTAGTCAGGTGTAATTATTATGAAAGAATGTCATGCATTTCAAATGATGGCCATAAAGGGTCGCCTTGCGTTTTTTTTTTTTTAGCATTGCCTTGTGAGTTATGTAGGTACTCACTCACTTCAGCAGTTAGCCTGAAGCGAAAACATTCACTGTGCGAAAATGTGTTTGCCTTTGACCAACGTTTTCGCAGTGAGACGAGAAGGCGGTGCCCAGTAAAAACTGCATTAGATTAGATAGCGTTACCTTATCTATTTGACCGTTAGATGGTGTTGGAGTTGAGCGCCTAAATGTATACTGCACTGCAATACCCAATGAGGAAGATTTATTGTCAACCAGAATCATTTAACTTAAGCTCGAATGACTTCGCACTTTCTGTTGTGCATTGCAATTTAATGAAATTGATTCTTGAAACGATATCTTTTTATCTGATATCATGCCTATTAATTTTTAATTTTTCGCTAGATTATTGCTTAGGTAAGTAGGTACGCACAGCTCAGGAAATTTTCACCTCACCGGTAGTGTCTAGTTTACCTATGACATTTCCATTATTTCCATGGCAAATCAGACGCAAATGGCGTAAAGGAGCCTTTTTAGAGCGCTTCTCCGTGATCTGTTATGGACCTAAAATCACAGTAGGTATATAAAGTTTGTCCATGCCCAATAGTTTGACTGAAGTTGAATGGTTGCATTGTTTTGACTCGTGGTATTGCAGTTGCACTCCGCGCGCTTTGATCAATGGCCGTCATTGGCCGATTACAGATCATTTCTCCTGCTGTGTTGTGTGATAGGCTGAAACCGATGAAACCTAGCTGAGTGCAGCATCTATCACGTGAGCGCTGTAAAAATGCGGCGGTCGGATTTCGGCCGATGGCGCTGGCCGTGTTTGTGGACGGCGCCAGGTTTGCGGCCGCGGAGTAGCCGTCTTGTCGGGGAGTGATCGGCGGGGCGCCTCACTCCGGTAAAACAAAACAACGGTCTGCGGCGGCGGCCGGCTGGTAACGGAGCGGGCCGACCGGCAATTAGCACCCATTTGCCGCTGGACGGCGGAGGGGGATTCCGTGACCGATGATGAGCGCTGTTCGGGTGGCCTCCTTTTCTGACAGTCGCGCCCGTGGTAATGCAGCTTCTGTCTTTGTTTGTTTGTTTTGTTGGGTTAGGCCCTTTCGGTCGACAAGACCATTGCAGAGCCGAAAGGATGATAGGAATTAGGGGGAGACATTGGTCTGGGCAGGCACCCTAGTGAGTCGCCGGGGCTGAGCCCGTCCAGAGGACAGGCCACCCAGCCCCAAGGCACTCACTGCACCCGGCTACGGGGTGCGCTCCCTCGGGAGCAGCGGTGCCGCTCCAAGGGAGCAGCCCGCATGAGATAAAGTTGCCTGTCCAGCCCGGAGGGGGGTTGTGGCGTGGAGGAGACGGATTTCAGTATCCTGAGGATAGAAGCACGGATTGGTGATGAGCTTCTGTCACCACTGTGACAGTTTTACCCGTTCCCCGGTGGCTACCTCGTTAGGGTAGGGCTGTGGCGCATGAGCAGTGAGCACCCAGTAGCGTGTCTCTTTTTATGCAGTTTCGCGTGTCGGCTGGGGGTTTCTGGAGTTGTGCGAGGTAAAGCACACGTCATGGTTCTGGCCTCGAAGGTTCTTGCTCGCCCACATGACCAGCAACGCGATTTTACATCATCTCACTCAGACTTTCTCTCCTAAAACGTGACCTGAATGAAGCCCATCTGGTTTGCCAGGTTTTCCAGAATTGCAGACCGTCACGAAGATGACGTGACATCATTCTCCGGCCGCCTGCCTTCAGTGACTGGCTGCTGGGTCTTATTCACTGCAGCAGCTCGCTGTCATTTCTTATACAGGGGTCTCTCAGTCAGGAGACATGACACGAGACTTTCTTAATGAGCATCCCTGCGCAACAAATCATTTACCTTGATCTTATCGTCACCGGGACGGCATATTGATGAACAGGACAGGCCCCTACTCTGGTCATCTGATGGACACAACATGCACGTATAACGTGTCTCCGACCCAGCGCTCAGTGACAGTTTTGAAAACCCCTCCCCTCTCATCGGTAGCAGAGGAGCCGTTTCGGACAGTCAGCCAACCTGCGCTGAACATTGTTTGTCCATAGTCATCCCTGTCGGGTTCGCTGTCTCGGCCGTGATGTGGTGATGAGGAAGTCACATCTCAAGCGTCATTAAACAGGACTCTGCTGACGAGTCAGCCTCAGAGCGGTGTATCAGACAACCGGATACCGCGGCAGAGTGGAAAGCGATGTCGGAGATAGGGGAACATTATTTTTGTTTGACACCTTATTAATGAATCAATGGAGTTATTTGTGTTGGTGATTCATTGCCATGTATGTAAAACAGATTGCTGTAGGCGGATGTCATGCAGCGTGGTAGGTTCTTGGGCTTAGCAGGCGGGTCAGCTTCATGGGACCGATATTTGTAGCTCGGATGGTCCGACAGCCTCAGTTTGGTAGAGTTATTTGGACGGGGGAGAGCAGACAGGTAGTTTTCCCGTGTCCGATGTGACCTGTCATGATTGACTCGAACAGCTCCTGACCTTGATTCACCTATCACCTTGCTCTTCGTTCACGCTAAGGTCATTTTTTATCGTTCGTGGCCCGCTGTGTCTCTCCTAAGCCCAGTGATGACCTGCTGTTGCTCTCAATTGCCCGCTGTGACTCACATTGGCTGCATTTGTTCCCGCCCGCCCTCTCTCTGGTAATACTTTGTGACCCAGCGCCGTTCTGTGACCATTTTTGCCATTTGTGTTCCTGGTGGACCCTCTGTATCCACCTGTGACCCTCTGTGGCCGTCTGTGGCCCTCCGTGACTATTTCTGGCCCTTTGTGACCCCTGTGTGACCCTGTGCCGCCAGGCGGCCGCTGCCGGTGTCCCGCTCGTCGTGTGGCCGGGTGCGCGGTCTGACGTCGCGCCAGCGCCGCTTCTGCCGCCGCCACCCGGACCTGCTGCAGGCCCTGCTGAGCGGCTACCAGCTGGGCGCCTCCGACTGTCGGCACCGCTTCCGACTGCACCGCTGGAACTGCGCCGCGCTCGGCCGGCACCTCGACTTCGGGCACGTCCAGGTCAGAGGTCAGTGAGCGAGTGAAGAGGTCAGTGAGAGAGTGAAGAGGTCAGAATCAGGGGTCAGTGAGCAAGCGGAGAGGTCAGTGAGCGCGGTCAGAGATCATATGCCAGAGATCAAGGCTCAGTGAGAGGTCAGTGAGGGATGGCAGAGGTTAGAGGTCAGAAGTCAGTAAGGGAGGTCATAGGTTAGATGTCAGAGGTCAGTGAGCGAGGTCAGAGATCAGTAAGCGAGTGCGAGGAAGAGGTCAGAATTCAGAGGTCAGGTCAGTGACAGTGACAAACATTATTAAGTTGCAGTATCCACTTGAACGCCTCTTGAGTCCTGCCTCATGTGAGAGCCACGAGAATAGAAATAGATCCGTGTTTTCAATGTGATGCCACATTGTATACTGAGCCACGAACAGGATCCTGACTAAGAGCGAGAGAGCGGGCCTGAAAGAACTGCGCTCCACCTTTGTGTGATGTAGTGTTGCATCAGAAATATGATGCGGCAGTTTTAGGCATCACCTGAGCTGACGTGATTGCCTCAGAAAGCATTCTTATAGCTACATCTTACGTAAAATTTATAGCGTTGAACGTTGTTAGGACCGTTCGTATAAGCACTGGCGTGCCTGCATGCCAACGCTGCTATAAAATGTCCCAAAGTAGCTTCCGGTGGCGATAGATAAAAGTTATATCGGAGCTATTTGCATAGATAGTGTGCTGTTCATGGGAGTAGGAATGAATTATGTGGCCTTGGTTTATTGTAGCTAGTATGAAAACTTCAGCGTTTTTGTGTTTCAGTTTTTCAAGGTTCGTTTTTCTCTTGCGTGCATAGAACCCTTCGAATATATGTTCCTAAGCGAATTATAGATCGTATTTCATCCTAGGTCATGCACATTGCACGTCGTAAACTAGTTTAAATTATTTAAGCGTAAAGAGCATATCAGATCTCCAACCCTATGACAACTAAAAAAACAGTCCATTCAAGTTGGTGAGCTACCACCCTTGCACACTGCATGGTGCACATGCAATATTGCCGAAATAATTAACCTATAGTCAATACGGTAGGCCAGAACAGCAGCTGACAGTTGACAGCTATCATCTTCACCTCATCCCGACATCCGAAGATAGCGCTAACGAATTTATCACAGACTGCCTGTCAGACCATCTGGAATGAAAACATTACGGTAGCACCACTTTGGCAAACTGACGTTCATTCATATCAACCGTCAGTCCAATCATCCGCACACGGTGGTTTATGGGAGCGCTTACAATTTAAACTGTTACCTCTGCCAGCTTACAGATAACACCTATAGCTCGTGGTCAGTTAAACCTGGTATTGAAGCTCGTCAGTAACGTCACTCCGGGCTCAATCTTATAAACGCCGTGGAATGGATATGGCAGCACTGGCTGAAGTTCAGCTGCAGAAAACAACTATCAAATGCAAAATGGTTTTCACGCATTTCAGTCCATCGTAATTTGATGGTCTAAAGAACCATTTCGTTGGCTCATATAAACCTTTGTCAGCACTGGTATCACTGTGAATGTTACCAAATGCCGTAAATAGAATAGTACGGCATTTTATAAGATTGTGATTGAGCATTGGATCACATCCCCTGTTTGACACTCAGACGGACTGAGTGAGGCTTCTGTAGGTGTCTTGAGGTTTGGTCTAGACCTCTTTATTGGCTCACACTGTCACTAAATAGATAGACACTTTGAAGAAAGGCGGGCTTCTCCGTGAGTTGAGCTGACGGCGGGGCGGTTGGCGGCTTGCATCGGCTCGGTGTGATCCTATCACAGGACACGTGTCCCAGTGACCAGAGATGTGTCCGAGTGACCGGAGATGTGTCCGGGTGACCAGAGATGTGTCCGGCGGACAGGACACACGACGATCGGCGATACGTGCCGTCCGTCCTAATGGAAGACCGTATATCGATCTGTGCCCAATGCTACATAAGATGGACACGTTTTAGTGTAAGCCTGTTGGAGGAGGGATTCACAGTGGTAAATGTCAAAAGTGAGATATCGGAGATATCTTTGGGAAAAACGTGCGCCTGCAAAAGGCAGCACAATGATTCCGATCCTCATTTGATTTCCAACCACCAGCTTCATTTCTGGGTGAAATGTCTGCTGGTCATCGCTACATGGCGTGATGTGATAAGGGGTGAGGACGAACAATAATACGGGAGTGGAGTTTTGTGTCAACAGAAAACACCTATCGATCGCATTCCAAACGAATGAGACACGCCGAAACGGTGCAAAAGGAGCACTCGAAGAATGCAGTCGCACCTAAAACGGACAGTGAAAGTGTTAGTGACATGAAGTCACTAATATGAGGGAACCACGCGGAAGGGATTATGCCTAGATAGTGAAGGCAATTGTCTGAATAAGTTACACGTGGCTTATGCTCTGGAATTTCGTTTGCATTCTTTGTTACAGTCGTAGAATCGAACAGGAGACAGACCCGCAGAAGTGAACACCCCTTTTGTCCCAGACTCCAAGGCGGTAGCTGTGTTCTACCGGTAACGAAGCGCCGGGCTCTCGTAGGCGAATCGTTGTTACAATTCACCGTGGCCCGTGCCCCCTTCCTTACCATTTTTTGCGTCAGAGGCCTGTCTAGTGCCTTCCACGTGAGACTAGACGGGCCTGATCGGCTTTGGAAGCCGATATCGTGATCTACAAGCTCGCCTTGTATCGCACTCACGGGGACACGGCGAATTTGGCCTGGGAAGTGGTTGGCATTCGTGCGCCAGACATGTCTGGTTCCTGTGTGAACTCCACATGTCGTGAGCTCGGGGTGTTGGAGCTCATGTCACCCTATACGCTGGTGTAAAAACGGGTGGGACCAGCACCGTTTGAGTCCTGGCGTGACACTGACAAACACATTCACACGGCTTGTAAACAGACGTCCAATTACTTTTACGGACGTCACAGCACTTCTGGACACCCCAGGCTGAGCTGACTTCCTCTGTGACAACTTTTGTCCTTTGGAGTACATATAGGCGCTCACGTCATCACAAACTGCTAGCGAAACAAGAACCGGAAGTAGCACCGTGGTTTGTTTGTTTCGTGAGAAAGTCACGTTTGCACCGCCGTCACGAATGTGGATCATATTTACGTCGTGCATGCTTATACCTAATCACGAAGCCTTCCTTATTTGCAGCAGATAATGTGTCCCCCGCGCCCTGGTGGGGTCTGTTTATAACGCGACCTGGTGGGGGGGGGGGGCTATTTTTTGCCCCCCTCGTATCTCCGAAACTACTGGACGGATCCGCAAAATTCAAACGGCGTTCGAAAGGCCTGTCAAATTTGTTGATGGATTTTAAATTTCATTGACCTCGGGGTCACCGATGACGTCACAGGTCAGGTCAAAGATGAAATGTTTCACCGTTCATGGGTCTTCTAGGGAATGCGCTATAACACCGAGGAAAACGCATTTTCTCGAGAATCAGCGATAGGGCGTCAGTTGCCTAGTAGATACGTTGCTATTAGAGGTCACTGACAATACCAGGTCACGTCACAGGTCAGGTCACCAAGGGTCACAGGTCAGGTCACATGAGCCCAACTTTACTAAGGTTGTGTGATGCATGTTTTATGGCCAATTTTTCATTTCCAACTCAATGGTGTTGGTTATAAGACTATCAAGTACGGCTTAGGTCACTTTCTGGTGAAGTTCAGGTCAAGGTCAGGTCAAGGTCAGGCCAAAAAAGGTCAAATTTTAAAGTTGATAGTTTTGCATAATATGGGTATTTATTCGATGCAGCTCGTCACGGGGAGTCTAATGGTCGTCTTTGTTTTGCGCTACGGGGTCTAGAATTGCTAAAAATTGAGTTTAGTTTTTTTCGCTATAACTTCGCCAAAAAAGAGGTATCAATCTCAAATTTGGTATGTGGATGGCAGGCGGTACGGACTATCACATATATTCCGGTTTTTGCGAAATACAAAAAAACTTTTTGGATTTTTCGATCATTATATCCAAAAAAAATTATTTTTTGATTTTTGGGGGTCAAAATCCAAAAATTGCAAAACTCCGAGACAGCAGTTTTGTAGCCCTGTCAATTCTACAGCTTTTATGCCCTTATCATTTTTCTGTATTTGCAAAGCTATAGGCCTGAGCTATAGACCTGACAGCTCTTCCCGCGAAACCCTTTTTGGGTCGAAAACAGCAGAACATGACGTCACTCTGACGTCATTTCCGGCCAACCTAGCATAGCCTTTGTAATTTTTTTTTGGTCACCACATGTAAAATTGATGTCCGGGAAGGTACTGAAAGTTTGGTGACGATCGGCGCAGCGGTTCTGGAGATATATCGAAAAGTCTGGAGGGGGGGGGGCAAAAAATAGCCCCCCCCCCCCCACCAGGTCGCGGGTTAACCAGGAGCCTGCCACTAATAGGGTTAAGGAACTATTGATTTCACGTTGCAAGTTCAAGTCAGTAAACCTCAACAGTCATGCGAGAGAAGTCATCTTTGTGCTTTAGGTATGAATGTGATGTTTCGTGGAATAATCATGTCGAACCGTTTACCGTGCATTGTGATGTCTATCATAATTAATGACATTGCTAATCATAGGCATGCATCCAAATTGGCCCGAGTTGTAATTAGCATACTTAGAAATCCAAACATGGGAAGAATGTCGTCTGGACAGGTTTTATAGGCTGATCAGTGATGCATAGCTCAGTGTTCTGGCATCGAATATGCCTGCCGAGTGCCAGCCAGTGTAGTGGCCGTCACTCTTCAGGTCCGAAATGTCTGCTGAGGCTGCAGTCTGACCCGACCACCTATCAGATCTGTTATGCCCTGTTCTGACCGAACCTCTCCTAACGTGTCCTATTCTGCCCTGTTTTGTCCCACTCTGCAGTGCTATGCCCTACCCTGCCCATATCATGCCTGCCCTGCCCTGCTCTGATCTGACCCGACCTAGCCTGACCTACCCTGCATTGTGCTGCCCTGACCTGCCCTGACCTCTCCGCCAGGTACCCGGGAGGCGGCCGTTATGTACGCCCTGCAGAGTGCCGCCGTGACGCACTCCCTGTACGCCGCCTGTCGGAGAGGTACCGTGGAAGGCTGCGCGTGCCGCCGGCCGGGCCCGGACACCCGTGCCGTGGACTTTTGGAAGTGGTCCGGCTGCGGAGAGGGCCTCTCTCACAGCGGCCGGCAGGCGCGCCGCTTCCTCAACGCCAGGGAGACAGAGGGGGACGCGCGCAGCCTCATGAACCGGCACAACAACCGCGCGGGGGTCAAGGTAGGTCACGGAGGGGTCAGAGAGGCGTCGTGGGAAGAGGGAAGGTCGTGGAGGGGTCAGGTCACGGTTGGAGCTAGTCATGGCACCTGAAGGGATCAGAAGGTGTATAGTGCGCAAAGTGCGATCATTCCACACGATTACAGCATGGTGTCCATGTTGTACAAGATCTCTTGTTGCAGCTGACACCACGACCCGCTTGGGAACATGATGCGTTCGCTGGCAATCTGTTGCGTTATTAATTATTATAGTGTCATCAGCCAGAGGAGCACAATGTACCGGACGGCTGATGTCACCCCAATCTTACTGCCGTCTCTGTCAGCTCGTTTGAGGTGCCAGGTTTCTCTGGGCATCATACGGCTCATCAACCTTAGGGTGACAACGGCGCAGAGCGAGCCAAACGAGGCGCTGCCTCACGACCGCTCCACACACGCTGACAGCTTGGCAATCGAGAGAGCATACGCGCCGGGCCGAGGACTTTCTTAGGGCCACCACTGTCACGCCTGGGTGTTATGTGTGCCCGCTGAAGTGTTTGCCGTTCTCGCTGAGACAATATGTAAATTCACAGCATGTAGAGCTCGGGTGTCACGCCAGCCTTGGCAAGGAAGGTGGGTGAGGGGAAACGAGAAAAGCTCCTGTGAGGCGAACACGAGAGAGAGAGAGAGAGAGAGAGAGAGAGAGAGAGAGAGAGAGAGAGAGAGAGAGAGAGAGAGAGAGAGAGAGAGAGAGAGAGAGAGAGAGAGAGAGAGAGAGAGATGGGGAGCAAGCGATTTGTAAGAGGGAATATGGAAGGAATGTCGGGGATTATGAGGAGAGAAATCAAAGTCAACAAGATAGAACCGCATTTCCCCATAATGAGCTTCATCCATGAGCTTAGTCTGTCCCCCGAGGCTTCAAACCAAACATGGACGGCCTTTTAGACGGCATCCGTCCCATGAGTTCCCATTTACGATGCCATCTTTACACTGACGCGATTTTGATGACGCCATTACTTCATAGATGCTGCATATCAAATGCAAATGTCCGGGGCCAGTGACAGGTACACTGCTCATAACCAGTTCCCGTCATTTCCGGGTGCCTCGCGGTGCCAGGGCGCGCGGGCCGAGAGCGGCACTAAACGCCGCCCCGGGGTCGACCGATGGAACCGCCCGGCACTGCAACAACATCGTCTGGAGTCGCCGGGCGGCTTTAGGCCTCAGCTGGCTGTCATCTCGGCTCGGTCGGCGCGGCGATCGTATCTGACGGCCGCCGGCGCGATGTCATTGACGACAGGATGAGTTAGACGCGCCGTTTGCGCTCGACACGCAGTCGCCGGATGGTGGGGAGCGGCCCTAAAAACCGGCGACTGTCGGCGAGCCGCCTTATACGAGCCGCGTGGGCAGGGGTGCGGTGGCGTACCAATAATGCGGGGTTATGGTCCAGTGAGGATGATGCTGTGAGCGCTGGAGCGAGACGCCACGAAGAGGCACGTGATGTAGGCGATAGCCTGACTGGTCCGCCACGTAGCGTGAGGAGTTCCTAAATACGACAGCCTTCGCGTGAACCAAAGACTAAAATAACCTCCGCCTTCCAATAACTGTCAGAGCAAATAACAGTATCGGATTTATCTGTCTACGTTATATAAAGCATACGAATAAACGATCATCTATCCACGACCTGCTCACTGATCTCTTCGATCAGCGATTTCCACTGAGCACTCACTGCCGATTTATTCCCTCTGAGCAATGTCTGTTGTCCGTCTCTGTTGACCAGGGCCCCCGGTGAGTTCACGTAGTGCAGTTTGGGTCGGTTGCACTGTGACATGACAGTCCCTAGCGCTCATCAATCACTTATCAGCTTATATGGAGGTAACCAGCGCTGGCTACCGAGACTGCCTGTAGGGCCGCGGAACGCTGAATTGTGGCCTCACATGGTCCGTGACATGTTCCTAGCTGTCCTGTATTGACATCCAATATTGATGGAGTGTGTATGAAGGTGTGTGGGATGAAGACAGCGAGAGAGGGAGAGAGAGAGGGAGAGAGAGAGAGAGAGAGAGAGAGAGAGAGAGAGAGAGAGAGAGAGAGAGAGAGAGAGAGAGAGAGAGAGAGAAAGAGAGAAAGAGAAAGAGAGAGAAGGACAGAGAAAGAGAGAGTAAATGTGAAAATAAGAGACGCCATAGAGTAGGAGACCAGAAAGCCTTACCCATGCCGGTAATATGTATAATTTATCCGGCGTTGACAGATGGCCACAGGACTCAAGGCAGGTATAGGACATGGCCAGCCCGCAGACAGCTGCAGCTGTCGGGACCGGCAGCTGCAGCTCTCCGTCCTGAGCTCTCAGCAGCTCACTGACGTCTGTGGCCTCCCGCCGGTCCGTCCCGCCGGTCCGGCCCGTCTGCCGGGCGGCTCACAGCGAGCGGTGCTCTCCGTGATCGGCCAGAGAGGGACATCCATCACCGTGCGGCGGGTGTGGAGTCGCTCACTGCCCCCCGCTGGTGAGGGTGAGCTGCTCCGACCGAGGCCCTGTCCCTGGCCCAGTCGAATAGAGAACGGACTCCGGCTAAAGCTCCAGTGTCACTGGACAAAGGGCTCAAACTCTGGCCCAAGCCCCACTGGACAACAGCTCTGACTTGGGCCCATTCCCACTGGACTATAAGGGTCCTCTGGGTCTAGTCCCCCGGGACAGCAGGCTTCTTTGGGCCGAGTTCCATGGACAGCGGTGGTGACGAATTGCGGGACGCGCGGGGAAGTAGAGATATGGACGCGGAGACGGCTGGACCGAACTGCCCTCGCCATACAGACTAACGTCAGTGATTTGTCGCCGTCAGCGCCCATTCAGCGTGTTCAGCGCAGTTTGGTGTGTTAGCGCACGATTGGACGGCATTGGTGGAGCATTGAAGGAGATGACTTCCGTTCATGGAAACGATTGAGACTTCGGAATGGGAGCTCAGGGAAAGCTGGCCAGCAAAAAGGACATGTCTGTGCGATAGACTTGTCCGGCTGCTGCTTCCATTATTGATGAGGTCAAGTGGCTTCTTCTGAAATGATTGACGATCCTGCTCGCACAAAAGTCCGGTCTGTCCGCATAACCGCTTCACAATGCCTTTGTCGACTTAGTCCGTTCACTTCATTGATCGAGCGTGTATTGAATTGTTAAAATTGACGAACGCCATTTGCTATATTCGTTTTTCTTGGCGTTTTTAATGCCCTCACGCACCAGAATCAATCACCTATCTATGAATCAATCCTAGTTTTACATGGTGAGCTGATATAGCCCGACAGATGCACCACAAACTGAACATCCTGACACCTTCGGCGTATTGTATTCAGATTATGTTCCGTGTCGATCTGTCCACCCTTTTTACCTGCACGGTGCCGCTGACTGAGCGTCATGGACCGTTCCCCGCTGTCTGATGGAGCCGTTTGTGCCACGTCATTTCATCTGAGTGACCCCTGCGGTCCTCTGATACTCGATCGCAGCGGGTTGGCACCACGGGCGGTCGCCGCCCATTGTTACAGAGAGCTGGTGCAATGCAAGGGTAGACGGTCAATGCAGATCCGTCCATTGATTGATTGCTATCGTCCCTTATAACTGGTTGTACGAGACTCGTATCCGAAACTGCTGAGTGTCCAAGTGAATAAAAGGATCCACAGGGATGCTCACAGCATTCTGATGAGAGAACACTGGCGATTGTACTACCGTTCACAGCAAAAAAGTATTTGATTTCTAGCCGAAAGTCGTGTCTAAATATCTCGCTTGGTGGATATGCTAATTCACAGACAACTTCTCCCTTCTCAGCAGTCAACCTTATTGGCGTTTCATCGGACAACAATAATCAATTTACATTATTCAGAAGCACAAGATGGACCGCGTTCCTTCAAATGAAGACGTTTATTGCCTCGGGTCCATTTTTATCCGCCTCCCCGCCCCGGCAGAGATATACCCGAATGAATGACCCGGACGGGGCGTTACAGCGGAGTGAATAAACCCCCCGAACGGCCCATAACACCTTATCTGCGCCCATTAGGGTCCGGCGCACAGTGGCTGTCACCCGGCGGGTGCGGTAGTGATGTATGGAGCAGTCAGAGACCGTCTTCAGCGTCCGCTGGGAACCGTTTACGGCCACTGAAACTCGGCGTTGGGACAGAGTAAACGCCACTGAGACTCGGGGCTGGGACAGAGTAAGCGCCACTGAGGCTCGGGGCTGCGACAGAGCGCCTGTCTGGTCTCCAGTGCCGGCGTACCTGCAGGGTTTATTTATTTAGTTGTTGTGCGTGTCTCACAAAAAAAAAGAAAAAAATTGGCAGCGTTTGTGATTGTGGACCTTGAATTTGAATGAAGTCCTATATCATCTAGTTATATAATTACTTGAAACGCTTAAATTATTTCACAAAGTGCTAAAATAAATTGTGAAACTATTTACAAAGTAGCGGAAATACCAATTGGTCCAAGCGTGTCCCGAATAAAAGGGACCGCTTCCCGTGGTGTAAGGTGGTCATTGTAGAAATGATAAAGGCCCCACATTTGAGGATCTATCGCTGCATATCGAAGTTACCGGTCCAGAGCCGTCTCTTCTACCGCTCAGGTCGCTGTACCATCTGTTCAACAGGGAACTTTCCTCACTCATTCGATGTTGCCGCGCTCATTGTTGTTATTTTTGTCACCCGCTCCCGAGGTGTGCCTCGTCACCACCTGACGCAATGCGAGCGCAGCCACTGACCTCGCCTCGTGGCGCCAAAACTCCCCCGTCTTCATTACTGGGACGGAGTGATTGGAAAGTCGCCGGTTACTCACTCGCGGGAAAGTTGTCAGACCAGATGATTATTCGCCCAGATATTTGCTACCATGCATTTGGCCTTGTCTTTGTAAGCCATGACGGAATATGGGAGCTGTTTCTGTTCATACAGCCCGACTATCGAAAAGTAAGGCTTAGTCGGAAATTGTCCCCGTTAGCTTTCGTTTCTTGGAATATTAACGAATGAGGAAAATCAGGATAAGTTCCAGGGTTAAAGGCCCTCGTTTTACCAGCATAAAATGGTTTTGCGAGCATTTATATTTAACTAACCTTTACTCGATGTGCGATGTTAAATAACATACAAACATTATTCATTAACATAAGGCGAGGTAGTCTTGGCCCTTGACAATTTTTGTATCAAAACAAAAACTTCTGCGCAGAAAATTTGCCGCCCATTTGATGAACAAAGCATTTAATAATGTATGCTTCGAATCTTGTTATAGCAAAGCGCGTTAGTAAAACGGGGCGCGGGGGCCCTGGCAAAAGAGTCTTTCAAGGTAGCAATTTGCAAAAAAAAAAAAAAACAGCCAAGCCATTCTCTTAGAACTGCCTCGCTGTCGACGTCGAATCCGAGGGTGCGTCGTCCTACTCAATACTGGAGCCATTATCCTTACTAAACGTTCATGACGGCTATGTGGGCGTCCTCGGCGTACCTAGATGTCAAGTGCCGCAGCATCTGCAGGCCGTTTATGACTGGACCAAGTACCAGACAGGCAGATCGAGCAGCGAGTTTGGCCACATAGGTCGCCACAGTCATGTACATACATGTAGTTGCGGAATCCTTCGAGCATCGGCGAAATGCGTTGGATAAGGGATAATCCCCTTGCACGTTCGCGAAAATTTCAGCTATTCTGCCTACAAAAAAATATCTTCTTACGGATGTCAAATGCTTCCCTAAGCTTCACGAGTCGCGTCGACTGATGTCGCACAGACTAGCATATGTATAGGGATTAGGTATAATTAACACGAATGTGTTGGCTTGTACGAGTTAAAATCCGTATGCACCGATCACCAAGCCATTTAGCAGCGTGTCTCCGTTACCGGTGCGGGTCGCTGGTTGCATGCAGAACACGACTGAAATTGAGCGAAATTAGCAGCACCAAAACACCGCCATTTTTATCACATGTCGTAATTACAGTGGCTAAATACCCGTGCCTGCCCACCACTGTCACTGGGCAGTGTGACAAATGAGCTAATTCCTACACGTAACATAGCCACACGTGATTATAACCGTCCGACGATTATTTCACGAAACCCGAGTGAGTTCGCTTTATTCGCCTCAAACGATAGATTGGGGAAACTTGGGGAAAACGTGTGAAAGGTCCTCTAAGGGCCCTAACTGCACTGGCAAGCCGTTGAGACTCAAGACTGGTGACGGGACTCGGGTCGGCCTGTCGAGTGCTGAGTCCTGAGTTCACTCGCGGCGAGCAATGTGCTGAGTATGGCCGACTGCTGCCGACTGCCGAGCCATGAGTCGGCAGCGCCAGGGGCCAGGCGACATTGCAGTGTCGTCTGCAGGCCACTGAGACTTCGTGGAAGCTCGAGTCCCGACTCCCGAGTCCCGAGGGTCTGCGTACTGTGTGGGCGACTGTCTCGGGTATAAAATTATGTAAAGCGGCGTGTACCTACTGACTATTTTATGTCTATCAGAGTTCCTTTCATAACCAGATTATCCTTGCCATATGGCAAGGATAATCAGTTTGGGATGTTCAGTTTGGGATGTTCCCACTTTCTGAAAACAAATTGGCCGGGCTGTTGCGGGTTATCCTTTAATTAAGTGTAAGGTACGTCCGGGTTAATCGCTCAAGTGCGGGTAGAGCCATGCGAGTAGATAGGGTACCTGCTTGCGATATCTGGAAACAACAGATAAATCTGCGTTGACAGGGGCTTGATACACTTTTTACGTGTAGTTGCTAGCCGACGGTGGCGGATAGCGGGGAAAATCCGGGACTGATAGGTATCGGTTACTCTCGCCAGGCGGATTCATTATATATGTATAGCGCGGATAAGTGTCACGCACTCCCTCACACCGGGTTCTCAAGTTTGCCTGGTGGATTCCTTCACCCGCCAACTGCGGATACACTTCCCGCGCATGCGCGTGCGCATGCGCGTTGCCGGCGGTGCACCTTCGGCAACGAATCTGAAATCTCGTGCGACGCCATGTCTTCCTGACCGTGTTGACGGTGCTGTGGTTTGGCTGTGGTACTGCTGTCTGCTGTGGACTTCTGGCTGCTGAATTTCGCGGATAGAGGTAAGGACGGTCTTCAAAACTAACTTTTTAACCCGGAGAGATATACAGAGTGAGTGTACCCTTCAGGGGCGCGGGAACTACTTTCAGACTGGGGGGGCACAACATGACAGAGATCAACCTAGGGTACCCCCAAATTTAGTTTTCTCGCCGGTTTTAGGCCACTTATTTTTCATCCCTTGGCTTTTTCAACAAAAAAGAAAACATTTGCAAAAAAAGTGCGGTATTCCGTCTTAAAGTTGTGGGGGCACCGCCCCCACGGCCCTAAAGTTAGGGGGGCAAGCTGCCCCCACTGCCCCCCCCGGTTCCCGCGCCCATGGTACCCTTTCACTTAAGTGCAAAATGATTCTTGCAATGCATCTCGTGTAGATATACCCATTGGGTGACCACGTGGACTCGTAATAGTTTTTCTCTGTGGCCACAGGCCATATCGTGCGGTGAATCCAGTAAGGCGAAAGTTCAGATGACAATACACAATTCGGTTTTGTCTATGTGGGAATGGTTTATGATACGGGCTATTTTTTCAGGCGTACAAATCGAAATAGGAGGTTTCGACCACTGAAAGCCAAGTGGAGAGACGGTGACAGACACAAAACGACCGGTGGAGGAGTGGTGTGGCGCAAGGCACCGGGGCCTTATGACCTTAACTCATATTTAACTCGTATAATTCATGTGTGTGGATATTGTTGTACGTCTAACTAAATAAATAAATAAGACCATATTTAAATACTTACGAATGTGACAGCAGCCGAATGCATGGGAAGGGGGAATTGGATGCTCAAAGTTAACGAAAACTATAGATTGCACCTATTAACCTGCAGTAAACGGGTAATAAGTATCAGTCAGTGGCGTATATTTGATACCCGGTATAGGGTGGTCAAAAATGGTGGTGGATAGGGGTACCCTTCAGATGCGGATTTTACTCCGTAACAACGGATCGAGGTACCCGGCAGTGGCGGATATTTAGATTCGAGTAACCCTCCTTGATCGGGTAATCTATACGGATTAACCCGCTGTCAACGGATAAACAGTATCCGCGAGGCACGTATATTTCGTATCCGCTCCAGAGTAGTCAAAAATGGTGGTGGATAGGGGTATCCTTCAAGTGCAGGCTTTACCCGCTGTCGCCGGATCAATTTGTTTTCAGTGTAGCATATGACTGCCTAATGTTCATGCTTGATCCATTGATCCACGCCATATCCACGTATATCGGCGAATTGCCGGCGTGGGCACCGAAGGCTTTGTGATCCCTGTTATTGCACTTCGAATTCGTTATCGGTACTCGGTAGTTCATTTTTCCCGAACAAGGGAAATCTGCACATGGAAAGATCAATAGAGCGAATGAATGTGACAGTAAAATGAAACGAAAAGCCCACCGGCCTGTTGACTTTTGACTTTTCGACCAATTTGATACAGGCCGAAGTGACCATTCCTGTAGTGTTGGCACACGGTCTCTACTCGATAGTTATGTAGATACCCACTGTTTTATTTGGCGGCTGTACGAATGCCACTTTGATTCTTGTCGTCTTCTCAGATGACGCTCCGACGTTTGTTTAGCCATCTCCTGACCGAAAACTGAGAACAACACAAACAACACACAAACGTCTTTGAAGTTGAGCGTTTCGATGTAGCACCTCCACTTCTGACAAGAGGAACTGCACCCGTGACAGCGGCGGCCCTCGTGAAATGAATTCGAAACTAAGCAAACCAGCTGTCGAGCGCCTGTCGTGTGGAGTGAGCACTACAGTGCCCTCTGTCGACTCGGAGACACGGCGCCCTCTGTGACCACTGACCGGCACGGGTCGAGGGGTGACCTGGGCCTCGGGAGTGGGCGAGATGCAAAAGTGGACCCGGCACGCCCACGGATGGCACAGCTACCTGCAGCTCTCTGTTCTCTCAGACGCTCTCCCTCGCTGCGAAAGGAGGCTCTCTCTCTCTCTCTCTCTCTTTCTCTCTCTCTCTCTCTCTCTCTCTCTCTCTCTCTCTCTCTCTCTCTCTCTCTCTCTCTCTCTCTCTCTCTCTCTCTCTCTCTCTCTCTCTCTCTCTCTCTCTCTCTCTCTCTCTCTCTCTCTCTCTCTCTCTCTCTCTCTCTCTCTCTCTCTCTCTCTCTCTCTCTCTCTCTCTCTCTCTCTCTCTCTCTCTCTCTCTCTCTCTCTCTCTCTCTCTCTCTCTCTCTCTCTCTCTCTCTCTCTCTCTCTCTCTCTCTCTCTCTCTCTCTCTCTCTCTCTCTCTCTCTCTCTCTCTCTCTCTCTCTCTCTCTCTCTCTCTCTCTCTCTCTCTCTCTCTCTCTCTCTCTCTCTCTCTCTCTCTCTCTCTCTCTCTCTCTCTCTCTCTCTCTCTCTCTCTCTCTCTCTCTCTCTCTCTCTCTCTCTCTCTCTCTCTCTCTCTCTCTCCCTCCCTCCCTCCCTCCCTCTCTCTCTCTCTCTCTCTCTCTCTCTCTCTCTCTCTCTCTCTCTCTCTCTCTCTCTCTCTCTCTGACTCTCCTCCCACTCTCTCTCTCTCTCTCTCTCTCTCTCTCTCTCTCTCTCTCTCTCTCTCTCTCTCTCTCTCTCTCTCTCTCTCTCTCTCTCTCTCTCTCTCTCTCTTTCTCTCTCTCTCTCTCTCTCTCTCTCTCTCTCTCTCTCTCTCTCTCTCTCTCTCTCTCTCTCTGACTCTCCTCCCACTCTCTCCGGCAGGCGGTGACGGGCGGCCGCCGACGGCGCTGCCACTGCCACGGCCCCTCCGGCAGCTGCTCCCTGCGCACGTGCTGGATGGACGCGCCCTCCAGCTTCTCGGTGATCGGGGACCGACTGCAGCAGCAGCTGGACAGCTCGCAGCTGGTGCACTTGGTGCAGCTGCCCACCGGCAAACGCCGGCTGCGGGCTGTGGAAGGTGACCTTACCGAACGCCTGGAGCGGCGGAGACTGGTGCACCTGGAGCCGTCACCGACCTACTGCGACCCCGATCCGGAGAGGGGCCACAACGGCACCGTCGGCCGCGTGTGTCGAAAGAACCGCTCCCGTGAGTACCGCAGCACGAGGGCTGAGCACGGTGGCCGACGGGCGAGGCAGGGCTGGGTGGAGAAAACGGGAACCAATTTGGTAGCCCTCAGTCATGCAACTCACGAGAAATGCGGCTAACGTATTTCTACAAATAACTACTACGGCGAAAGCAAAAGTAGGCGATGCATGACTTCCATGCTCGCCATGCTAAAACATCCACGGAGGAAATGTCTCGCATAATTTACAAATGTTTGTACCGCATGAACTGCTATTTCTCACGCTTTCAGCATTTACCATGACGTGTTTTTCCGTAATTCTAACCACTTGCGCCACATGAGTCAGTATTTCACCCGCTGACAGTGCCCCCATCTCTGTCCGACAGTTCCTGGCAGCTGCGAGTACATGTGCTGTGGCCGAGGCTACAACATACAGATCACCTACCGGCGCTACTGCTGTAACTTCCACCAGCGACCCGGGCGACCTACAGAGTGTCGGCAGAGGACGCGACTGCGAAAGTGCCAGTGACCGGCCGAGAGCGGCCTAGGTGCGAGTTAGAGCGGCCGAGAGCGGCCTAAGTGTGTGGTTACAGCGCGGCGGCCGCGGGAACAGTGCCAGTGAATTCGGGCTAACGTATTTCTACAAATAACTACTACGGCGAAAGCCGTAGTAGTTATTTAACGTGTTCGGTCAGGAAGTGTCCACGGAAGAGCCAGGAGCCAAGGAGCCAAGACAGAGCGCCCGGAAAGTGAAGCTGTGCCGTCGATCGGTTGTAGGAAATGTTATTGAACAGGAAGGAATGAAGGGTGGAAAGGTGGAGGGGAAAACCGGTGAAACGTGGCGATACTGAGGTGCTCAAGCAGTGTCTATCGTGTCAAAAGTGACGCAACTGTGAGAGATCTGAAGCCTTCCTGACAGATCTGATGGGAGATCTGCTCACCCAGCCCCCATACGATCGGCATGACAGTGATGCGTATTGTGACCTGAACTGCCACCTGAAATGACTATATTGATGACATTTAGTCGTGACATCTTTTGATGGCGCCTGCCATGACGTGTTTGATGGTGAAGTGTCGCAGGACGAACTCGTGTCTCATGTTTCATTTTTCTTTTATTTCCTCAACCCCATGACAGCGCTCGCTGTCCTTAGTCAGCTGTCACCGACTCTCTATATTAGATCTCATGAGGCAGCTTTTCGAGGCGTTGTGCAGCCCGCCCCCACCCCTTCTAACGTACTCAGTGCTGGCGGAAATGAGAGCACGTCCAACATACGGGTTCACCGAGTCTGGCCACTCGGTGACTCTGACTCTTACTCCCGAGTCACCGGACCCTGAACCTGGAAGAGGGCTCTCACGACTGACTAAAAGTGATGGAGTCGTAGCTCGTCAGCGCCCGTCCGCTGCGGGGCGAGCAAAGTCATTCCGACTAATGTTTCATATAGGTGCTCTCGAAGTCGTAATAAATATATAGGTACTTGCAACAGTAGATCGTCTTTGTAATGTGGGATGCAGAATGTTGATTGATATGCAAAAGCAGAATGTATTTTCTTCTGAATGTTCACAGAAGCCCAGCACGATACACCAACTGCATACGTATTCGACGGTTCGAGCGCCGTGGATTTCACTTGCCTCGGTTACTCGTACGCGAAGCCTTTTCCCATCCCGGGTAAGCACAGAGTCTTCACCTGAAACAAATGGAGAGTGTCAGAAGATTGTCAATTACAATGCTCCAGTAGGCATTATGTTATGTAACTGTACACGGTACAACTTACTTTTATCCCAAATGGACATCGTCGGTTATTGTACTTCGCAGGAACATCCATCAATTAACCCTCGCATGTGTAGGGGGGGGGGGTCGGATGGACCCCCCCCCCCCCATGGTTTTTCGCGAATAACTCGCGTGAAAAGCGGCCGATCGCGACGAAACTTTCAGTACCCTCGCATTGATCAATTTGACACCTACCCTGAAAATTTCATGACCCTGACCCAAATGACCTTTGACCTGTGACCTCTTTTCCGAGACCATGTTTGGCCGGAATCGCGATTTCGCGTATGTCGGCTCGCACTAGCCGCGTGTTTGCAAGCTTTTCGTGGTTTCAAACGTTCAAACATGTGATTTGATGTTACTCCCGTGTGTCAAGGTCACCTGAAGGTCAGGTCAGGTCATTGACCTTTGGTGACCTCGGCTGACCTCGGGTCACTTTTTCGAGTTTTACATGTTTCTAGGCTAGTTTTTGGAGCTGAATTCGAATTTAGCAACCATTTGAACATTTACGAAGTAGTTTTGGTGACTTAGTAACATGTTACGAAGCTGTCAGAGGCGGTTGACACGTACTACGATTACCCGTCACGACGCCTACTGGTTGACCTGACCTGACCTGACCCGACCTGGTCTAAATGCTTCAAAACATCATCTGTGATCAAAACTAACACGATATTCGTGATCAGCGCCCCGAAAAACCCCTTAGCAGCCACACTTTACGACTTTCTAACAGGTCCCGATTTTCCCGACTTTGGGTCATTGACCTGACCTGGAAGGTCAACCAATGACCTAGGACCTTAAAATTGGGTATCATCGGCTTCCTCTCGTCACGGGCAACACGCTCGTTTTTTCCGCGAAGCTCTAGCTCGATCAGGGGCCAAACGGCAAGGGGGGGGGTCCAACCGACCCCCCCCCCCCCCCCTACACATTAGAAGCTGGCAAACGCCGCACACATGCGAGGGTTTAAAGCGTTAATAATATGACAAGTGTCCGAGCGAGAATGCTAACTGCATGATATGATGGGAAAACTCACCTTATTTGGCTGGACCGCCAGCTGATCTGGAGGTACCGGGTCGCCGTACTGCACGATCACAGGATCCACGGGAGCCTCCACCTCCCGCACTCGGATAGCCGGTACTTCCAGTTTCGTCCGCCAGGTGGCAGGCTCCACCGGCCGATAGATGTCAGGCCGGTCGGGCAGGCTGGCTCGCCGGCTGGGAGTGCCGCCTCCAGTGAGAGCTGTGTGCCGTTCCCGGAGCCAGGCAGGCTCTCGGGTGAGGTCAGATTCACTGAACCACTGAAGAAGACGGCTCTCCTGACATTCGCTGCTCTCTGGGACCTCTGTGGCAGGCTCAGAGTGCAGGACGGCGTCACAGTCCTGCTCAGGACCGGAGTTTTTGACGGAGTCAGGGTCTATCCCAGAATCCTCACTGAGATCCGGACAAGGACAGGTTTCCGCGGCTGTTGGCTGGAAGCAGGGATCGACGGCGGACTCCGGTCCAGTGTCGGGATCAGGTTCCGCAGCTGTATCGGTGCTGAGCTCGCCGTTGGTCACCGCAGTCGGCCGTCGGACGGTCACCGAGTTTGGGACCGGAGTCCGGCCGGCCCTCAGGTCTGTGTCCGTGGCCATAGCGTGTGCCTGCAGCACCCGCGCACAGGCCGGCCAGGAGCACAGGTGGGCCCACTGTGCAGCGGTCAGGCCGCGCCGGGGGTCCCTCACCAGCGGATCGGCACCTGCGAGACAGTGAACAGCTAAGTTAGAAACTGAAACAAATACAATGTACTTGAAAAAATAAGGTAGGGCACATGTAGGTAAAAGACAAGTGTCTAGCGGCCTCAAATCTAAGCAAAAGGCGCCAGTTTAAAGAAAGTCTCGCCTTAACGTGTAAATAAAATCGTTCACCGGCTCACCTTTGTCGAGCAGAATCTGGACGCATTTCTGTTTGCCCGTGACGCAGGCTTTGATGAGCGGTGTGATCCCGAGTCGGTTCCTGGCGTCCACCTCGATACCCTCAAACTTGCTGAGCAGTACGTCCACCACCTCGGAGTGACCTGCAGTGAGAGAACAGGCGCATTGTTGAGCTTCGTGAGTTTTACCAAAGAAATGACGGGGCCATTTTCAAGTGAGCATAACGATTGACGAGCAAGCGTACTCAATCCTCATGGATGTGTCATCTACTAGGGAAGTGAAAATATAACCTACAGTATTCAGCAGACAGTATATCTAGTGTCTCCAGGCATAGGCAAGTAACAATGACGGAAGATAAGTTTAGGTAGGTACGGCTCTCGCGAGATTAGGCGGTAGGTTTTGCACTTTTATATTTCCAGTTATATCTCAGAAACTAATCGTCTCAGAAACTAATCGATCTACGATGAAGCCATTTTACACGATCATGGCCGGCTTGTTACCCAACAAGTCGATCGCATCTTCAACACTTAAACTTAAAAGCTTAAGACGCCGAAGATATAGCCTGAAGTACACTAAATTTTCTAGGTGCAAAACCTACCGCTAAAACCGCGAGACCTGTACCTAGCCTGGCATATCACAGAGGCAGGATAGACAATTGATCTATCCCGACCCTCTTACACAACACACACGTAGGCAAGCCTCACGGACCTGCCTGCGCGGCGTAGTGGAGTGGCGTGTTTCCGTCCTTATCCCCCAGGTTGACGTCCACCAGCTTCAGCCGCGCAAAGTCCTCAACGCAGCGGTGACTGCCGTGGCCGCAAAGGTGGCTGAGGGGAGTCTACAGGAGCGGAGGGGAGGAGAGAAATGTCACGTGGGCGTTTCCGGAATGCAATGGGCGTCATCTCCATATGGCAGTCTCCGTGCGTGTTCGCCTGAAAATCGCAAAACTGGAACAGTATCATACCATTGTCGTGTCCCGTGCTGACCTCTCAGCCCTACGCCCACCCCCTCGGGCATATGGGTCCCGGAACTACACACTGGCCAGAACTCGAACCGCCGTCCATCTAGATGGTATACCCTCCCATCCCGTGCCTCTCCGCCCTCAGCCTGTCCGTCTTACCCGTCCGCCGGGGTCCGTCTGGTTGACCGTCTCCTTGGACCCGATCAGACGCACCCGGTTCACCAACTCCCGAAACCGAGCCTCGTTCCGCTGCACGCACGCCGACATGAACTGATCGTGGACGCTGGACATCATCACCTTACCCCTGACGGAGGTGGGGAGGCGGGGTCAGAGATAGGGGAGATGATTCATCATCATCATCATCATCATCATCATCATCATCATCATCATTATCATCATCATCATCATCATCATCATCATCATCATCATCATCATCACCATCATCATCCTGCATCATCATTCAGACACTTCGAAGTTCGATAACAGGCTCATCATGAATAAGCATATTCGAACAGGTAAATTCTGCTTTATCCTTGCAATTCATTTGAAGCCACATTTGTAAAAGCTCCAAAAAAGTGCAGCATAGATCCAGACAAGTGCAGTATGACTACCATCTCAGTGCGAAAGTCACTGACCTGCCCTGCCGCGGCATCCCGAACGCCTGTCTCCTGTGCTGGGGCGTCATGGCTGCTCGGACGGTCCGCGACCTCAGGTCACCGGTCACCGCCGTGCGTCACTGCCGAAAACACCTTCCCGCCTCCTCCGACCAACAGGTGGCCGCGGTATGGAGGGGCGAACTGTCCTTTGACCACCTCAGTCCAGCGACTTCACAGAGCACGATGGAACGAATCCAACCATCTCTCTCACTCACCACTGAGTCCTCGAGGATCTACACCACCACATTGACCTCCGATGACCGGTCGTTTCGTGACCACCACCCGGGACGGTACCGTCGATCGCTCCGGTCGGTGGGTCGCCGTCGGCGGCGGTCCTGGCTCGGTGCCAGACCGGCCCGACCGGAGGCTGGCCAGGAGCCAGAGCGGCTCGCTGGCACCCCGGGATCACGGTGACGCGTCTTCCACCGGCGCTGATACCGGGAGACAGCCGGCGGTCACTTCATGGCCGCGTGACCCGATCGCGCCGGCCGTGGGGCGAAAACTAAAGCCAATCCGGTAGGTTACCAGATTGATGTTGGCTGTCATCGAGTGTTCTCCTCGTGAATGCACCACTGTCAAAGTTTCCCTTGGAAAAAACTACAAACAGACTTAGAAATATCATTATATTCAGAAAAACAACGTGTCAAAATAATTATACCGCAAAACAACAAAGTTTGTGCAATGTGCGTTGTGCAAGGGAAGATCATTTGGAATGCCACAACAAACAATTATCAAAACTGGCTATTAGCTAATGCTAATGTGACTAATAAAACATCTAATGCTTCAAAAACAGCCAACAATGTGATCATCCAATCACAGCTGTACTGGCAAAACTAATACTTTAGAACAATATCCCCACACCCGTGCTTAAGTAGGTAGCAATAAGGAATGCCTCAAGTTACTCTGCAGCAGCAACGGAAACAACGCTGCTGGCAAGCTAAATACACCCGAGATCCACGGGATGAGCAACAGTCCCACGCCAGTTTTATCATCGTAAGAAACAATCCTTTACGTAGGATTGATCATAAAAAGTATTGAACAAACGGTTCAAATATTGTCAGCGAGTACCGCAATACGCCAAGTCCGACATATAAGGCACGTTATGGTGACTGACACCAAGTAGGGATTTTCTAGCCGTTGCGCCGACGTACCACGGATCTAATTCATTTCAATGAGCTTGTCTACGCTTTTGGGCGTCCTTAATAAGCTATTAACATTCGCCACGCATCCAGGACGCGACCCAATTCTTTGTTCGTTGAGCTCTTTGAGATTATGGAATATCACATGGGCATGACACCCATCTCCCAAAAACTTTTCACCCGAGAATAAATATTGCGCTATCATAACACCAACCGGCATAGTATACCGTAATGCAGTCCTCGCATTTATGTCCTGTGCTTTGTGCCCTAGCCATCTACACACTAATCACCCAGAATCAACCAACACAGCACTCTCACAAAACTGAGGACGGGGTAACACGTCCCCTCCACTCTCAGAGGAACCCTTTTTCACTGACCTCAGCCCTCCGTCACCCGACCTCTCACAGCTCCACCTGTTCCTCCCGGGAGACTCTGTTGCTGCGCCGCCTCTTGTTCCGCATCTTGGACAGCTTGTCGTAGGCCAGGTTGATCTCCATGAAGGCCTCCTCGGCCTTTGCCTTCTCGCCGGGGTCGGTAAATCGGTCCGGGTGCAGGGACTTGGTCAGTTCGCGGTACCGGGCCGTTATGTCCTCCTGGGTGGCCGTCTTGTTTAAACCCAACACCTGAGGCACAGCAGGAGCAGAAACGTTATACGCTGTGTGGTGAGAGTGTAAAATTAGCCATCAGAATCGACAGACAAGCTAAGCCACTGGAAACACTGCGCATGCTATCAGAGTGGTAGGTATTGATTCAGCAGGGAAAAGCCAAATTTACGGCGGAGACTACTCGTTTTGAAACACGATAACAAGTTCAAGAGACATGGAAAGGCCGGCCGGGTTCACGTAAACATCAAAGAATGTCTGTGATGAGGCACAACAGTGTAGCCATCACTTCGCATAGAACCCATCGCCACACCAGCAGCTATGAGCAGATACCGTTCTCCCCTGCCCCCTCCCGCCCCTTCGACCGTGCGCACGCTTCCCCCGGAGCCAGCGCGTCCGATAAGGGACTGGTAACTTACCTCTAACGCTGCGTACCGCCCTGACGGGTCCACACTCTCGAGGAACGAGTTCCATGCGCGCGACCAGCCCTGAGTGCGAATCAGCTCGAATAGGCGGACTATCTCCTCCTGAAATGGACAGGAGGATGAGGTTAATGGTCAATGGAACTCGGGGGAGAGGGGTGATGACCAATGAACGTAAACGTAGTTTAACGAATAAGACAAAAAACAAAATAAGCTTGAAACGATCAAAGGGCCTCTTAGGAGTAAGGATGACGTAAATTTACTCTAAGCCCACATAAAATGCCCGCATATTCATTATATGTTATGTTATACTTTTATCCACTGAAACTAAAACGACATCACTTTAACGCAACCTCCAAAACCCATCATGCCTACCTTCATGCGTTTCCAGAGCTGCGACTTGAAGAAGTTTTTGACGGCGTCCCTGAACATGGTCTTCTCTCCGTGCCGGTCGATGACGGCGGCGTTAAAGTAGAAATAGCTGGCCCACACCGAGTAGAAGACCAGAACGCAGACGACCAGCGTGCCGAACCGGCTGGTGAGCGGAGGGATGGGCGAGGTCATTAACACTGACACACAATACCTACACAAACGGCACAACAGCAACGGCCTTGGCGGGGCAGAGCGCCGCCAAGCCAGTAGCTAATCGGCATAACCACTTTCCAGCTCGATATGTATTGGTCAATGTGCCGGTCCTCACGGCTCAACTCCGTTCCCTTTCTCTGTATTCGTCTCTGACCCATCTCCGTCTCCATACCCGTTCCCTATATTCTCCACTCCGTACATCCCAGTTCCTGTCTCCACCCACGCCTCCTAACCTGCAGGCGGATCTGGGCGGGTGCGGGGTGCGCCGCCACTCCTTGGCCCCGTACTCGAACGCCACGATACTGGCCAGGGCCGTGTAGTGGACCACCTGCAGACTCCAGAAGTACAGTGGTACCGTGGCGAAGGCGGCCAGAAGGGGCCAGCGCAGCGCGCCGCGGCACCGGCCCACGTTACCCACTGTGTGCACCGCTGGAGGACACAGACACGGGAGGAGAGATGAGAAACAGAGGAACAGAGATGAAAACACAGTCAACCGTCAGACAGATGACATCCCAAAATTATTTATGATATTGACAGTGAAGCGTTGCTGACGAGGTACCGTTGAAAACGGAGAAACGAGCCATTATTCAATACGAAACATTATCACGGAGAGAGTAGGTTCGTTCCAGACATTTTCCGGCCCGGTCCCACTCTTCCTCACCGGTCCCGTACCGAGTGCGGTGGCCACCGGGGTGACGATGTACACCAGCCAGCGGAGCATCAGCTGCGGGTCCTCCGGCACGGCAGCCATCGCCGTGTAGCCCCAGGAGATGCCGAGCAGCAGCTGGGCCGTGCAGCGTGTCAGGCTCACCGGCGGCTGCACGAGAGGGGAGGGTAATGAGTGTGGTGTAATAATCTGAGCTTCCAGAGGAGTGTTGCTCATTCACTATAAAATCCATTCATTATGATAGTTGCTCTTCTGGAACACAAAGCAATGCAGTGGTAAATTAATGTATTGGATAGGTAAGTAGTAAGTACCTAAGTGCATGTTAATTTCATGGGAGATATTTGCAATTCCTACAAAAGCCTATGAAAGAAACCTTGGTTGGCAAGGATTCACTAAATGTTGAACTGTCATATAATCTTGCTGCAATTCATACCTTCTTGTGCTTTTTGAACTTGCGAGCCAGCTCAGCTAGGTACTCTGGATCGTGATTGGCGTCATCAACATAGCCTGGGATTCTTGTTATGTCGCTGAACCAGCCGTAGAGAACCCCTCCAAATGTCACAAACCTGTGAACATGTATGAATTAGGGCAGTTATTGTCTATCTCAATGTAAGCTTTCGTTATGCAATTCATATTCGACATTCATGAGCAAAGGCTATGACAAAAATCACACAGCTTCTCCATTAGCTTACGAAAAGAACCCAGCTTAATAAGAAAATTAAAAAATAAATTTCATACAGCATGACAAAACACAAAACTTACCACAGAAATGCCTGTCTGTCTCGTCCCAAATAAAAATGATGGGCTCCGAACACACCAAGTGTTAGCCAGAGAAGATAGGCGACACATGTGCTTTTTGCCATTGTCTCTGAAAAGCAAGCAGCCATAAGACAAGCATATATAATATTTCAAAACTATTAAAACTAAAAAATGCCCAAAAGCAGGTAGTTAAATTGAATTCTTAGCTTGCACTTCCCATCCACCCTACCCACTCACCAGTCACCACCACTGTGACTGTGTTTTGGGAAATTAAAAAACGGGACGACAGAATCAACAAACTTTTACACAGAGGAACTGTTTAAATATTTCATTTGTCAAAAAATACACAGCGAAATTTCACATCAAAATTGTACGATCATGGAATGAGAGCAAAATATGCAATAAGCAATGTGAATGGCGATGGCAGCTCCAATTCCTGAACCAAATTGAAATGTGAGAAACGCCAAGGGCCATGCCGGTCATCGAAACATTTTGGATTTTTACAGTCAATGAATTAACTAAAATTGCCAGATAATCTCCCCATACCTCTTCGTCGTACGACTTTATAGTTTATTGTTATCGAGACACGAAATCACGAAATCCAAAGACGGCATCGGGCCGCTACGTGTCATTTTTGCGGTATATTTTGTCCCAGCTGCACCATAAATGTATCACGCGAATGCTACCAAATTTACTGAGTGCCAAAATCGCTTCATTGGAATGCCAAGCTCACGAAAATTGTCTTCGCCCTGGCCCTGTCTATTAGTAAAGATAATCTTGGCCCTGGCCCTGTCTTTCCATCACCGCTTGAAATTGAACCGGAATCTGCGACCAGCATCTTTTTCTTCAACCCCTCTAGGCATTTCGTTGAAAAGCAACGGACTACAACGAGACAGGTCAAGATGAAATTATTTCTAAAATTCAGTCCAGTCGCCATTCGCCACGGAATCTTGGTCGCCACTAGTATCATCAGTCACCAATTGTCAACCTTATGACGCAGACCAGCAGATGCTAGTGTCGAACGAATGGTGATCTAAAGCAAGGTCCAATTGGCCCAACTGACATGGAAAATGGCGACTGAAATATAATATACCATCCTTCAGCGCTTGCTTAAATAAATGCAGTTCGGACATTTCAAACGACCGTTCTGACACGATGATGTACGTTTATACAGCATGAAATTACAATACACATAAAATCAACATATGCGATGCGATGTGAGCACATATTTCGAACACGCACCGAAACACACATTAGCAGCATCGTGACCAGTCTGCCGCCACATTTACACGGATCACACGCCACTCATGCGGTGAGCACATACTCATTCCACAACTCACTCGTCAGCACAGCGGTGGAATTATGCAGAGGGTTGGCTCTCAGCTTGGCGTCAGGTCCCGTAGGGTATACGAGGCTCGGTATCGTGCGAGAAGTGTGCCAGAGTAGGTCTGCGATTGCAAGTCACGTGGGCCTTTTGCCAGAAGGACGAGCTTTGCCAGCCGGATGGACAAAACGCTCAGCCAGATAATCAGCTCCGTTTCGCCGTGCGCGGATCGCCGGGTTCTTCAAATCCCTCATCTGGCTGATGAGCGAACCCTAGTGTCCCAAGTCCACACAGCCTTTTCTCCGAACATCACCAACCACAGCCCATGGCCTCCCACTCTCGACACAGCCCTCCGTGCCTCCCTCGGCCCCACGCCGTCCTTAACACTGCAGCTCGTGCCATCACCACCACTGCGGCTCCGCGCCACCCTCGCCCTCCGTCCGTCACGCCGCATACTGTTTGACCATCGCCCTGAGGAAGCGCGCCTTGCGCACGGCCGCCGCCTCGCGCTGGATCTCCTCGTTATTGTTTGAGTTGAGCTCCAGCTGTCCGATCAGTTTGATGACCTGCTGTCGTTTGGTGCGCTCGGCCCGCCGGTGGTGCAGGCTGGTGAGGAACTCGAGCAGTGTGACGTCCCAGACACACTCGTAGTAGGCGTCCATGGCGTCCGAGCAGCTGCGCTCGGAGGCGTACTGGAACGCGCTGGCGTAGTCGACGTCGTCCAGGAACTGGCACAGCACGGCCGCCTGAGGAGGGGGGGGGGGGGTCAGAACAGAGACATAGAGCGTAACCACAGGAACTGAAACACCACGGCCGCCTGGGCACGGACCGAAGATTCATATTTCAGATCACAGACAGAGATGAAGATCGGGGAGAGGACTGTGCAGGTCGTGAAGCTCAACCTAAATCTCACGGAGAAATTAGCTCAGCACACTAACCCGGCAACGAACTGAAAGACCGACGAATTGAGAGACACACAACGATAACTTTTCAGCGTCGCTTTCCTCACGGTCCCCATACGTAGGCGTTCATACTAAAACAGCTTACTAAGTAGTATCTACCCGAGTTAGATTCAATGCCTCGTTACCGACGACCAAATTAACATTGCCGGAGTACCCGTCCCAGCCCCCCCCCCCCCCCATCCATCCCCGCACCTGCGTGTAGCAGTGCAGCGCCGAGCAGCATTTGATCATGCGCCGCAGCACTGCCTCGCTGAGCACGGTGCGCGGTACGGGCCGCGAAAAGTACTCGGAGCTCACCAGACACGCCTCCAGGTAGTGGCGCAGTGAGGAGGTCGGCTCGTGACCCGCTGCGAGTCAGGGGACGGTCAGACGGAGCGCCGGGGCAGGGCGACACAGTGGGGTGACGAAAATTGAATTGAAGAATGATCGATATTTGTGGCAGGACAGTGTGACAAGATAGCAGGCGAAAATGAGACAGGGAAAACATAAAGAAAAACGATGGAAATTCCGGTAGCATAGGAGTGTAAACCATGTATTACGCATATCTAACACGAAAACTCTGGCAACGATTCACAATTCATATGACATAAAAAATAAGCTAGGCAGGCATACACTGATCTCGAAATGTGACTTTTACAACGCCGTCCACCCGACTGGCCCCGTCACTAACCGTATCTGAGGTCGGCCATGCCCTGCAGCCAGGGGATGTGCGCCGGGTACAGGCGGATGCCCTGCGCGAGCAGCGTCTGCAGGCACTCGGACACACTGCCTAGCGAGAACAGACTCGTGCTGAAAAACGGAGCGAGCGGGGTGTCAAAACTCACACCGCGGTACAGCCATGGGCAGGGCAGGAACTGCACCAGCCACGAAGGGACGGAGAAATACGCCGCCACTGCCAGTCATAACAAGTAAAAAGATGGAGAACGTAATTTTGAAGCGATATCAATATTGCATGCAGTTGTAGGTCAAGACTTCAGACGACGAACAATGTTACTGTCGAACTTTTTCGGATTCACAAAGGAAATCCTTCACAGACATTCTTACTAGGGCGCTACCATATCTAACAAAGGAACGAAAATAGCGCAGCAAATACATAGCGACGCACAAGAAAAGTCGCAAAAAGTGTAGTATCTGGCGGTGAAATTCGTGCCGTAGGTACTTAAAAATCAATTTTATTTTAAAATTACTTGATCATTATTCTGTTGAATTGTGAAATGAATGAGATCCTGTTGTTGTTGTTGTTGTTGAAGAGTTAGGGCGCGCAGCAGCTAAATGAGATCCTGATCTTCATCGCTTTTACGCTAGACCCTACGCGCATTCCAATTCTGATTTCTGACCCCTTAATGTTTTACAGGAGGATATCGGCGTGCAACTAACAGGCCATAGCTATTAGCTAATTCCTGAGAAAATGAATTCTGTCCTACGCCTTCCACGGCTCCTGCTGGAGAAAAATGTGGGCCTGATGAGCAGAATCTACATGAGCACAACACCAGAGGTGAAGGAACGCATAGACTCAATGGTCAAGAACAACAAGGTGGTCGTCTTCATGAAAGGCATTCCAGAGCAGCCAAGGTGTGGTTTCAGCAATGCTGTTGTGCAGATCATGAGGATGCACAATGTTCAGTATGACGCCCACAATGTCCTGGAGGATGAGTCCATCCGACAGGGAGTGAAGGACTACAGCAACTGGCCCACCATTCCACAGATCTACATCGATGGAGAGTTTGTCGGAGGGTGTGACATTCTGCTGCAGATGCACCAGAGTGGTGAGCTGATTGATGAACTGAAAAAGGTTGGCATCAAGTCAGCACTGCTTGAGGCAGCAGAAAATGAAAAGAAGGAAAAATAGTGTGGGATGAGGCCGAACATGTATGAGTGTTATGTAACTTGTGCTATTTTGCAATTTGTTCACCATTTTGTTCAGTATGATCCAACCAGTCATTTTTAACTGGTCAAAATAAGTGGGATTGTACTGCAGGGATACATAAGAGCTGAAAAGTAACATTTATTAATAAATGGACTTCTGTCTCATCTATGTTTGCTTATTGATTTGTTGATAATGCAGCATCGACACAATCACACATTTGTTTAAGATCCTTTGTAGATTGCCCTTTGTCCTCCCCGTGGCCTAGTGGATAAGGCGTCCGCCTCCTAACTCGGTGGCAGCGAGTTCGCGGCCGGGAAGCTCCACGCCGTTTGACCCGCGTTCCTATATTAAACCAGCTGGCAACTGGCGAGACAGGGCCACGCTAGACCCGGGGGACCGTGCCGCCATCTACCTGCGGCACGTTAAACTTTCGGTCCAAATTATCACCGGTACACCGGGCGCGGGCAAGGCGGGGTGGTGGGTCCGTGGTGTCATTCGCAACAAGCACTGCTTAGCGTGGCACCCGGGCCCATGCCACCCATTCATCCATTCGGACAAAATTTCTAAAAACAAAAAAAGATTATGGATGGACAGTCATTGAGTATGACCTGTCATTGGAGTATCCCCCTCAATAAGCAGTGCTTACTGCTTTTACCTATCGGCCAAAATACATGTCTTTTACAGAGCCATCACTAGGCTAGGTGCATGATCTTGAGCAACTGTTTGTGGAAGAAAAGATATGCATAACAATAAGCAAATAATATGCATAATATAAAATATGTAGGTAACATTGCTAGCCCCTCCATACTTACAGAATAAAGCTCCAGTTATGTTTCTAGTGCTAATTAATAAATGCTTGCATTTTGGAAAATAATACTGGCAACTTTAAGGCAGATTTCATCATCATGCTTCAGCATCATTGACTGAGCTATGAACAGGGCAAATTGAGTTGTGCTTAGACGATTCGTCAGATGGTACAGCGCCTGCCAAAGCCACCCAACAGCGTTTAGCAGATTTGAACTAATACATGATACTCCAAACATCAATTCATCATTCAGCAAATGGCTACCGCCCACCCCAACCACCCTCTCGACGACCTGCAGGTTTTAACTGCCATCCTCACTTGTTGACGACGTTGGGCCACAGTCCGGCGTGCTCCAGGCTCATCTCACGGGTGGAGTCGTCCAGTAGGATGTTGTGCAGTCGCGTCAGCAGTGAGGTCAGCACGCTCAGACTAGTGTGCTCGTGGACCTGTTGGAGAGGAGGGTGGACACCGTCATTAGGCTGTACAGGCAGCGCAATCCCAAGCCTCGATTGACCTCTCACCTATCAAATAATGAATGACTGGGATATGCTGTTGTGCGGGCACAAAACTGCTTTCTGATGCAAACCGACAAACAACCTCCCTGGCGAGAATGAAAAACTACAAACAACTGAGCGAATCTCAGTAATATGGTGCAGGATAGCGGTCCTTTTACCTTTTGTATGAACTGCGTGAGCTGTGTCCGGGGCATGATGGCGAGCGGCGAGTCCCGCTGCACGGAGGAACAGGTGCCCAGGGCGGTCCGCTTCTGCTGTCCCGAGACGGTGAACATCGGGATCACTGAAATAGCGGGGCATAACGAACGCAGGAATAGCCTGAATGAAAAACGTGGAAACGGTAAACATTGAAGTCACTGAAATACGGTAAAACGCCAAATTACGGTCAGCGCTACGATTGCTACAACTTTAGTTTGGCACATAAGAAGCCGTCTTTAGAAAAAGAGGCAAAAGAAACGTCAATCAATAGCAGAAACAAACGGGAAAACCTCGCTACAACATCCATAACAGACACTGTCTTTTCACAGTCCATCAGGTTTTCTTCACTGACAGCCCAACGCTCACCAGAGTTCCAGAGGTTCCTGGACATAACGACCTCCCCTCTCCCTCACCCGACTGGAGCCGGAGGAAGTCACTCACCGGCGTTCCAGAGGTTCCTGGACATCTGTCTGTCGTTTCCCTTGTTGACGAGCTCGCGGCAGACGGCGGCCAGCAGTGCGGCTAGCTCCATCTGCGTCCAGCCGCGCCGCTCCTGCTCACTGAGGTGGTCGATCAGGTGGTCCCACTGGCACACGTTCAGCAGGTACAGCGTGCAGTGTTCGACCAGCTCCGAGCGAGGGATCACCTCACTGCCCTTCAGCGCAGACAGACACGACTTGGCGCGCGGCGTCAGCTCACGGTAGTCTGACGGAGACAGGGAGGGGGCAGTGAGACAGGGCACGAGATAGCACACAGCGCCGAGAGACAAGACACGACGACGAGCTACTGGTAGTCTGACGGAGAGAGAGAGAGAGGGAGGATGGTTACTAAAAACGGAGCCAGAACATCAGGCAGACGAACCGTAACTCTGAAATCACAGCGATTACTATCTAAAACGTAGAAATCGTTAGTCCTTCCTACCACTGCCGAACAACACTGTTGCCATCACCCCGGTCGTCTTACCTCCGATTTTGGGCCAGTTGTGGAGCAGCTGCAGCAGGTCGGCCAGCAGCTTTTCCCAGCCGATCAGCCGGACCAGTTTGGCAGCGGTAGGTGTCTGCTGGGCCGGGCCCGACTGCGCCTCCTCCAGAATGGACTGCAGCAGCTCCCGGGAGCCGTCGAAACGCTGTACAGGGCGGCAAATGGGGCGGTTAGAGAAGCCGGTGGACACCCTCTTCTGGATGGACGAGACTAAAAACACGGCAACTGATTAATGCACAATATCTACGAACTGACAGCGGTGGATCTAACCGTATAATTAAGAAAGCAACACATTCTACATAGTTCAGACACGGCGCCATCGACACTGGGAATGGACGAATGCGGTAGGACATGCCCTAAAGCGGAGTGTCATGGACATACGAAAGCGACATACAGTATTAACTTCTATAGTGACTATCTCCCGCTGTCGCCAGCGGATTCCCAGCTCTCCCTCTCTCAGCTATTGTGGCGTAGAGCCCACCTTGAGCTGGAGCAGCTCGTTGGCTTTGGCCATGACGATGTAGAAGTAGTCTCTGAGGAAGCCGGCCGGCAGCGACATGATAACGCTCTGTACGGGGATGGGCAGCTGCCAGTGGGTGTTGGCGCGCCACAGCGGCCGGCCCGGCTTCAGGGCGGCCAGCTGGCGCAGGATGGCGGCCAGCTCCGGTGGAGAGTACGACTCCATCAGACGCCGCTCCAGACAGCCCACCTGGCGGGGGGGGGGGGGGGACAGGTCAGCCACTGCCTACCTGACAGGAGAACTACAGGTCAGCTACACGGAGATACATCAAACCAATCGTACAAGTCAGACAAAGCCCACCAGCTGCTAAATGAGGCACGCTTCAGCGGTTATTTATACACAGACGAAAATCAGTCTCGTCATTCACCGGAACTGCCATCAATAATACAGTACCCTTCCCTTTTTCATCTACTCCTTCATGTCTAGTCCCTCCTTCCTCCCTCTGCCCCTCTTACCTCCACCACGGGGTCGTGTATGCCCTCCCCTCCCTCTTCTCCCCCTCACCTCCACCACGGGGTCGTGTATGCCGGTGGCGGCCGGTGGCGGATCGGTCGGCAGCTCGGCCTCCTCACTCTCCGTATGCAGCTGCACCAGATCCTGCAGCTCCTCTGGCGAGTAGAGCGCCGCGCCGGCGCCGTGGTGCGCCAGCGCCGCCACCAGTCCTGGTGCGTGCTGTCCGGTGCGCAGCAGCAGCAGCCGCAGCCGCTCCCGGCACTGGTCCGGGGACGGCGCGGACTCGCAGGCCGGCAGGGCCTCCAGCACCGCGTCCAGCAGGAGGCGCTGCAGGCGCGCCGAGCCGGCCAGGGGCGCCGACAGGTCCACCACCTGGTGGTGGTCCTCCAGCGCGCGGCGCACGCAGTTCAGAATGTCGATCTGACGGGGCGGGAGGGAGGACGTGACATTACAGTGAGGTATGATATGGTTGGTTCAAGATTCGCGGCGGCATAATCATTTTGCCATTCGTATAAAAAACTTTTGCATAGTCAAATAACCAAAGATCATAGCAGGAAAAGGCCATTTAAATATCAATATTTACACTTTACTTTCACTCAGTGATGATTGCCCTCATCAGTCATTTCCTGTTTGCGCGTGGACTAGCATACCACCGGACTATCTGCGGTCCTCCTTACCCTGTGCGCCAGGTCTGCGGGCACGCGTTCGGCGCGTCGCGCCACCAGGGCGGCCACGTCTCGCGCCACTGTGTCCCGGGTGGTCATCGGTAGCTCCTGGCTGACGTTATCCTCCAGCAGGATGTCCACGATCTCCTGACGTGGCGGGACACAGAGTGAATCAGTGAGGTGGCACTGGGCGTCAAGCGTGATCAGTGTAAATGTTTATAGGACCAACAACGTCACTGAAATGACGAGAAACGCCATCCTGGGCGTAAGCAATAAAGAGTGAATATGAGTCGATGATAAGTGTAAATTTGAAAAAAGACGAATTCCGAAAAATATAGCGGTCTTTTATACCGTTCCTACTAAAGATGTCAATCGGATACCAACTTTTTGGTATACCGATATCAAACCGATACCAACTTGGTATTTGGTATTTCAATCCTAATGTGTTTGGTATTTTGTCGGTATCATGAATCCTCACTAATGTATAAGAGGCTACGAAAACGGTAAAAAGTTGGTATTTCTCTCATGTTTCCAAATTGGTTTGGTTTCGGTATTTTCCCACGTTTTTGGTTGATATTTGGTTTGGTATCGGTATTCCGATTTTCCGTAATTGACATCACTAGTCCCTACTTTTCCACCAGCTTATAACATCCCACAGCACTCAGATGTTTCTAGAGCCACTGAAGTTCAGTCTGCAGCCCTACATAGTACCCAGCACAGCATGGCCCCCGTGTCCAGTATCCGTTCCGTTGACCCCCTTCCCCTCCCACACACATATACTTACCCGGTATCCGTTCACCACGCTGCTCCTCAGTCTATGGTAGAGCTGTCGTCGGGGCATCGGCGGCGGGCAGCCGCTCACCGCCAGACAGTACCCGGTCAGCTCTGCCTCGTTCAGCCAGACGAACTGGGAGTCGCGCCGCCACGGTGCCGAGCGGTACAGCGTCTCGGAGCGCGTGAAACACAGGCCCGCGTCGCTGTAGTCACCTGCGGGTGGGTTAACGTGACAGAAGATAGTGTCATTCGGGTGTAAGATGCCGAAGGTAAAGTCAACCTTCCGACCATAAAAAACACTGACATGAAAAACAATGCTATTCAAAGTTGCTCTTTCGAAAGGGCTGAGTAATTGTAATAATGACATAATGGTAATCGAACAACCAAAGTTTATGCAAAAAACCATTTTCCTGAACTTGGAACCGTAAGTGAAAATAAGTAGGCGTATGGTCATTGGCCATCGGTGTCTCTGTCCACGTAGCACCCACCTTTGAAGAAGTGGTACCTGCCGAGCTCGAAGTTGAGCTGGCAGACGAGCTCCTCCTGTGTGACGGCGGCGGCGCTCTGCCAGTCGTGCTCGGGCTCGGTCGTCGTCTCCGTGTACCTGCCGAACGTCTGCACCGAGGGCAGCAGCATGGGCAGCGGCCTCTCCTGCAGGCGGGCCAGCAGCTCCAGCGAGCCGGCCGCCTGCGCCTCGACCGACTGGCGCGCCGCCTCCGAGACGTGGGGCATCACCACGGCCGGGTCCTGCTGGCCGGGACTGCGGGGAGGGGGGAGAGGAAAAGGGGTCCGTAATGATGTGCTCAGCGCAGCCCAATTCGTGATTATTGTGACAATACGACCCAAAACATTTATCTAGGCTTTAACGAAAAGGCATTTCCACAATGTACAACAATAACGATAAAATGCCTAAGTTATCAGCATTTTAACAAACAAAAAAAAAACATTAAAAAAGGCGTCAAATAACCAGCAAGACGTATACCACGCGACACAGACCGTTCCACCCTCACTAGTCTATGAGCACTGAGCAGTCAGCGGCGGATCCGTGTTTTAACCTCCCAATCACTCACAGCGGTATGGCTGCGTTGCGCTGCGGCCGACTGGGCATGGCCAGCTGGCAGACGGACCACAGCACCCAGCGGTGGTACAGGCTGACTGCAAACAGCGCCTGGGGCGGCAGCGAGTCCAGGGCCAGGTCGGCGTGACACGCCACCTCGGAGAGCGCCGTCCCGCCGCAGACGGTCAGCAGGGTGGTCAGCAGCGTCTGCTGCATCGGCAGCGGCACCCTGACGGCAGGAGGGGGTACGGGTCAGAACTAAGACAAATAGCACACTGACGGGAGGGAGGGGTACGGGTCAGACACGCTGACGGGAAGAGGTTAGAGGGGTACGGGTCAGACACGCGGCACACTGACGGGAGGAGGGAGCACGCATGAGACGCACGGCATACTGACATAGCAGCTGATATAACGATCAAGAAGTGAAGAGGGTACTGTTTAGAAGCCATACATAACTGCAGCGAAGAGTCGAACGATTTGCAGCGATATTACTAATTCACAAAGGCAGAAACGATAAGAGCGAATTAATCCCTCCTTATGCCCAAAATAAAATCACCCTACTAATTAAGCGCTATGCTGAAGGCTGACTGTCACCCAACACCAATTGACTCCCCTGCGCGGACCGTTTCGCCGCACCGCTCACCGTTTGTCGAGCGCCGGGAAGCGCCATTGGCAGTGGGCGAACACCTGCACGGCCAGCAGTTTGTACTGCAGGCCGGCCACTCGGCGGGCAGCGCGCGCCGTCTGCTGCAGACTGAGCGAGGCCGCCGAGCGGCGCTCGTCGGCGCCCGAGCCGCCGTACGGTATAAACTCCACATCGGCGCCGGCCACCACCGGGCGCGGAGCGTACGCGATCAGCTTGACAATCAGCTCCTGGGCTGATGGGTCTGCGGAGATGGTTAGAGATGGTGTCTCAGAGATACCTACTGGATGGAGTGTGATTAAATTAGTGATACTAAGGACCCAGAATTCATGTCATTACCACTTAAATTGTGCCTACTTAATGCAGCCGATTGCAGGCAACTGCAGCTTTCAGCCCCATAAAATCAACATCACAAATATGGTGTAATGAAATTACTGAAGCCACCAGCCAAAATAAATACATAATCCTTACCTGGTGAATCAGAAGACAAGTGAGCGAGAAGCTTCTTCTCACTCAGCAGTTCAAACCAAGGTGTTGTCATGATTGCCTGCAACATGAGTGGGACACATTAGTGATAGCCATAAGGACCAGGTACAGGTAGTCCAATGGACCTGGTCCCTGCTCCTGCTGTCACAGAGACCAGCAATGTTAGGACCTACCTAACAATGCTAGAAATACCACACAAAAGAAATAATGCATTCAAGATGATCCATTCAATGTTGACACAATGAAATGCAGTTATTAGTAACCAAGTGAGCATTTTAGGAAAATGGTGGCTTTATCATGACAACAAAATGTGACAGTCTTGTGGAAGTAAGTAGATTATTTAGTAGCAAGCATCTGTCTTAACCAGCACCCTGCTGGGCTATTCAGCCATACATGCCCTGCTGAGGGGGGCCGGGGGGGGGGGGGGGCATAATCTGCCATGTTCAACTTGCGAACAGATGGTCACAGAAAGACAGGAAATCACATCGCACCCATAGCACCCATAGTGTTAATCCTACTGGTCATTGACTTTTTTGTCAATTTTTCCACCCAAATTTTGACTTTTAGGTCAAACAAAATACAGTAATTTTTTTCACACCATAATTAGAAAAAAAACTTGTCACAATCACATTCCTCGCACCATGGCACGTCATGTCATATTAAATACGAGTAAGCCACAACTGAAGAAAGGCAAATTTAAAGTGACCATCCCACCTTAACATTAGTTTTGAGTTGATATAGGTATCCAAATTGGGGTCCTTGGCTTGCAATTACCTGTTTGGGTACTCACAACATTAATAAATGCTTTAATTCCAAGATGTTTAATTTCAAAGTCTGCAGTTTTCGGATTCTAGGAGATTAATGCATTTGAACGCCCCCTTAGAACTTGTGACACCAGTGCATATCTATAAATTTTTAAGTAATTTAGTAAAACCTTTGATAAAGCTTGATGGTATACGCTGCTTTGAGCGCAGCATCTGCCACACTTGACTTTATAGCGGAGGTCCAAAAGTGAAAGAGTAAACAAAAGTTTAAGCATAATATGTTGAGAACCAGTGAATATTTTTCGGTGAAATTTGGGAGATATTTGTTTTTGCTCTTTCTAAACCGAGCGACATCACTTTTATGCCAATTCTTTAACTTTTTAAGGTCAAGGTGAGGGGTCCCTTCAAAACAAAATTTGATGTCAATGTCATAATTTCTAGCGACGTCTATAGGTTTCAGAATTGAAATACACAAAACTTGGTAAGCAGGAAGTTCTGCTAATTCAATTCTACTACCATTTACAGTGGATATACCCAATTAAAACTTTTAAATAATTTATATTTTATATAAATAAACATAAACATTCACCAGCAAGAAAGCCGCCACCGGTCATATGTCATTAGGGCCTTGATATGTCATATGCGGGCCTGCGGCGAAAATAACGCATGATACTTTTTGAGGGTGGTAACAAATATGGCAGCTCTTTATCCGCATGACGTCATTAGGTGCATATGAGGCGGGCGGAATCAACGTCAAAAGGCGGAATCTTGATGGGGCTTACGTCGGGCCCGGGTGGGCTCGGAAGAAAGCAAGATTACCTACTTTTTGGTCGGGGGTGAACAACGGCCCTCCCTCTTCCCCTCGACAGAAAAACTTTGTCGCCCAGATTCTGTGCTGAAACAACGCAATACTTCTCCATCGCATGTCTATTTGAATACCACAAATACATCTAAATAACCAGCACAAAATGAAAACAAAACAAAACCACAGCCATGCGAGAAGAGATCATTGCAAAAATATTCTTACGGTCCACTTGTGAAATTACACGATTTTCACACACAACACAATGCGTGACAAAATCGTGTTTCGGAAAGCTCGTGCGAATCTGTGACAGACATTTGACTCTTTCCCTTCCCCCCCCCCCCGAACGGCACATGCAACACCCAGGGTGAGTCTCCAGGACGAGAAGTGACTGCGTGTTTTCCTACATGTGAGATCCAGCTGACTAGTTGAATTAGTGACACGATAAGTAAACATTCGCTTCGTTTCGGTGGATAGTTTCTTCCGTTCGATTCGATTCGGTCCCGGTCTCGCTCGCTCCGGTCCCGCTCGCTCCGGTTCAGTCGGTTCGGTTCGGTGCACTCTGTTCGGTTCGGACGGTGTCGGCTGGTCTGATAGCGGGACCCTCGGACCGGGACCGGACCGGGTGACCACCCCCACCGCACTAGGCTGTCGAGGAGGGCGGTTCGGCGCCGGCAGAGATGTGCGCCCGACGGGCCACGTCGTTCAGGTACTTCTCCGGCACCTTGAACTGTCTGAAAAGGCGAGGAACCGAGAGCGGTAAGAAGAAGCACGAATGAGCAGCTGACTAGAAAAGGAGCATAACCATTAGCCGGATCAATAAAAGGAGCGAATTTTTCACGGTAAAAATCATGATACGGACTACCGGAACGTATTGCAACCGGTAAATTGACAACGCCATAGTACCCCGAAACAGCCACCGGTGACTCCACACGTGACAGGTATGTCGCTGCTGACCAGCGCTCATGGCGTCCGGCTCACCTGAGTTCCTCGAGTTTCCTCTTTTTGTGCTCGATGAGCTGCTGCTGCCGCTGTGCGTCCTGGATGCGCGTGTGCAGGCCCTCCTCGAAGACGCGCCGGCGGTCAGCCACCCGCTTCTGCTCCATCTCGCACATCTGCTTCTTCAGCTGCACCAGGTGACGGTTGTTCCGCTGGGGGAGGGAGGCGGTCAGACACCGTCTGGGCCATATACCACTGTATAAACCACTCTGCTACCCTGATATAGATGAGTTTAGAACCGTACATACAGTGCTGACGGCGCACAGTTGCACAGGACCGCCGATTCTGGCTGTTGGCCGAGATTGCTCGTAGCGCAGCCGACCAGTTGGTGCAATCGACATCGATACTGAGCCAGACGGAGACAGACACCAATTACTGACTACGACACTGCCGGCTGATACTAGAGGGTTCATCCCTATTCAACAGCCCGCCGGCAAGTGGGATGTCCCCGTGACGTAAAGCCGTGCCGGCAGAATATCCACCCCTCTCCCAGAGGCCAGAGACCTCCCACGACTCCAGAACTCACCTCCTGCCTCAGCGCGTGCTCGGCGTGGCTCAGCTCCTCGGCGTGCTTCTGCGCCTCCAGTATCCGGTAGAACTCTGCCCTCTCCCGCTGCGCCTCCACGGCCACCTGTCGCTCGCGCTGTTCCACCTGCGTCCGGCGGGCCTGCTTCAGCTCGGCCTCCCTCTCTGCCTTCAGACGAGCCGCCTCCAGCTCCTGGCGCCGCCACTCGCGCTCCATCTGCCACCGTCACAGACAGGGTCACGGAGAGGTCACGGAGGTCACGAAGAGGTTACGGTTAGGTCACGGAGGTCACGGGGTGGGTCATGGCGAGGTCACGGGTTGGGTCAATGAGAGGTCACGGAGAGGTCACGGATGTCACTGAGAAGCCACGAGATGAGCACGGGGTTTGTCACGAGGTGGGTCACGGAGAGGCCACGGACACCGAGTCAGTGATGGGCGATGTCAATAGGTATTAGGTGGATAAGCTGAAGTCATCGATGGGCCACGGCTGAAAGAGCAGACCAGTCACGAGTCACGGTTCCATCACGAGTAATTGACCAGTCTTATAAAGGCCACGGAAAAGACCGCCCGATCACGGATAGGTTACGGACAGCCAGGAGACGGACCACTCACGGATGGAAAACTTAAGCTGATAAAACGGCGCTCAGCGGCCTGTTAAGTGCCGACCATAATTTGCCAAATAGCCCGCTCTTGCTGTGTCTCTTTCGCCGTTTCATCGGTAAGTTCAACTGTCCCGCTATTATAAATCACTGACCCGCTCTCTGCTGCGTCTGGCACGCCGTGTATGACCGTACAACTAGCCCGCTATAATTCCCACTGACCCTCTCCCTGTCACGTCGTGCGCGCCGCTCGTGGTCGCCGGCCATGCGGTCCTGTTCTCGCTGCTGGAGCGCGCGCAGTTTGGCGATCTCCAGCTCCTTGGCCCGCTTCAGGTCGGCCTGTTCCTGTTCGTAGCGCGCCTCCTGCTCGGCCTTCCGGCGCTGGTACTCGCGAATCTGCCGGAGACGACGGACGGTCATAGGACAGGACGTCATACAGCTGGGCCAAACGGGACGGACATGGGTTAGACTGGAGTAAACAGTGCCAAAAAGTAATGTTACACATCAGCATCAGTAAAAGTGCATTCACAACTTCAGTCGGTTAGACGGGAACGTAGCAAGAACGCTAGACGTGTCCATATTCATACGAAGCATACATTATCCATCATCGGACATCGAGTATGCAGCGTCGGCGCCTGTTGGACAGCTAATGCGTCGTGCCCCGGCCAAATATACCTGGTCCTCCTCCTGTTTAGCAAAGTCCTTCTGGTTGCGTTTCTTCTCCTCCATGGCCTCATTAGCGATGCGCAGCGCCTCGTGCATCTCGTGCTGGGCCTTCTTCCTGGCCTCGTCTGCAGCCATGTCCTCCAGCTGCATCTGACGCAGCTTCTTACGGATCGCCTCCGCCTCCTGCGGAGCAGAGAAACACGTCACACGGTGCGGCGCTCGGTCAGAGTCGTACAGCCGAGAGAAAGCGGTTAGCGGCCCTGTTAGATGTTTGTTCGGTACTTTACAGCTACAGTACTTGCGACTTTCAGTCCGTTTTACGAATCGACGTGATAATGCATTATCGGGAGAAGGCGAACTTTTAAATGTTTAAGTCGGTTACGGGCATTCATCGGGCGATTTATCACTCAGCATGCCGTTAATTTTAGTTACTTCGGATTCACATAAATTCACTTTGTAGCCTGTAGACCGGACCGATAGATACGTATCTTTTTTTTAATAGAGGGCCTGACCGTGTGCTCGACAGCACGATATGTATCGCCAGAATCAATGCCCCGCCCTGTTCTGACCTGGTTTTTCTTCTCAGCCCGCAGAATGCGCTGTTCCTCGTTCTCGGAGATTTGTTCTATGATGACGGCCTTCTGTTTCTCGCGGACCTGTCTGCGCACCTCCTCCCGGCGCTGCTGCTCAGCCAGGTCCCGCTGCCGCTCCTGTCCGGTCACCAGTCAGCATCGGGTCAGTAAAGGTCACCAGTCAGCATCGGGTCACCAAAGGGCCTCACGTCCAAACCCTGATCTGACGGAACACAAAACGACAGATTGATCGTCCAGCAATTATAGTATGCAGCTGCTGCTACATCTTTTTCGACTGCGATGGAGACAAATAATCACACTTACTTCGTCAAAGTCACCGGGTAGTTGCAACTTAACCGGCCCGGTCCCCGGGCTCACCTTGACCTGACTGTTGCCTGCCTAGTCTGTATGTTTTAGGGCCTTGGTCTGACCCCACCCGACCGAGCCCATCCCCTCCCCAGTCCCCGCTCTGACCTGTTCCATCATATGGTCGAGCCGCCGCTCCTCCTCCATCATCTCCTTGGTGAGCACCTTCTTCTCCTCCACCTGAGCGTCCCGCACCGCGTACACCTTGGCCTGCATGATGAGCTGGCTCATCTGCTTGATGTCCTCCTCGGCCTCCAGCTCCGCCTGACCAGCGTCACGGGCGCAGAAACACGCAGCAGAGGTGACGTACGGTTATTCGATATATGTATGTGAATCGGCAAGGGTTAGAAAGTCCGTCGTTTGTCTGTACAGATCCACGAGTGTCTACTCGAACTGGTTATAGAACCTATATCACGAAAGCAAACGCACAGATATAAAAATTACCTAAACGTACCAGCTCAAAAAAAAATATTCGTTAATCGATTAATTATTAGCCTCGAATGGCTATCAGAAGGTGCAGCTACACGAAACGGCTATCAAATGCAAAAGTACGCATATTAGTCCATAGTTCGCTGACGTCCTTAGGCATCATGTCGACTGTCGTTAGTTCCGATACACATGTGCGAACACCGGTATCTTAAGTTTAAATAAATCTCACGATTTTGGCGCGATCGACGATGTTTTTGGCGCGCTGTCGGGCCTCCTCCTTGATTTCGTCCACGGCCTCGGCCTCCTTGGACTCTCGGACGATGTCGGCGGCCTCGAGGGCCTGCCGGCGGGCCAGGGCCTCGGCGGCGCGTCGGTCCTTGTCGGCCTCGCGCTGCCGCTCGGCCGCCTCCAGCTGCTGCTTGGAGAGCACCTGCAACGGAGCACTCTTCAGTACAGACCTGCTACAGCTGCTGCTCGGATGGTGCTTAGGTAGCCGGTAATATATGGTAGGTATATACTAGGATGGTATACCGAGTACCTAGGTAGGTACTCCGGAACGCCAGGGAATACGGTGCGTGAGCGGAATACGGTATTTGGCAGTGGCAGAAAACGCAATGCGGCATACGAGTACAGTAACAATACGGTAAACGGTATTGTCGATTACGATAAAATAAACGTAAAACGAGAATGTAAATCGGAATACATACGGTCATGGAAATAACAGCGGTGCAGAATATGCAAAAGAATAGGTCGGAGTACGATATACGGGAATGTCGTGCATAACACGATACCGGATGAGTCGTTTACTGTATACGGGCACGGAACGCGAAGCCGTTAGTCACACTGACCGCGGGTCAGCGCGCAGTGTCGGCGCTCCCTCTGCAGTCCATCCACCTACCTTAGCGGCGCCGGTGATCTCCCGGAACTTGTCCTGCGTGATGACCACCGTCTGAGGGTCCTTGGCGCGCGGCACGCGGATCTTACGGATCAGATCCTTGGTCACCAGCTGGCGGCCGAATCCGTGATGCATTGTGAGCGCGAGTGCGATTCTAGGGATATATGCCGCGAGTATCGGAATTCCCCACCCATAAGCGACATGTGCAGTGACCGTGCAACGTTTTAACACCGCACCGTTTACGCCTCCCCACTGGTGACACGACGCGAATCTAGCCGCGCAAATCCAATCAAAATCCCGATAGCAATCACGTCTAGCCTTTTTTACATTTAGGGTGAGCCAAAATTACGAACTTTGAGTCGCTTATCACTGGCTACCTACCATCCTTTTGGGCATCTCATTCTGCTTCTTCTCCTTCTTGTTGGGAGAGGCCTTGGTAACTTTGTAGGTGGAATCCTCAAAGCCCCGGCAGACCGTGCGCGCTGTGACATCTTTGCACGCCTGGCGTATCTCCGGGCCCGGCATGGCTCCCGACGCAGGCCGATCAAGACAGCTCCCCGGGCGAAAACGCGGCCAGCGCTCACCTGAAACACGAGAAACTACCGTATCGTTCCTGACCTGCCTGATGCGCTATTGACTGACAAAATAAATTGACAAGAATATTGACAAAAATATTGACTTCTGGCCTCTGGGCTCTGGCGATATCGCTCGTTGTTTATTGCCCGTTCAAAACACCAGTTTCCTCGCCTGGACATTATTCATTTCGACAATAATTTGAAGTGGGCGATGCGTGAGCTACAGATTGTTACATCCACAAAACATTTCACATGTCTTCTCTCCCACTCACCCTTTCCTTCCTTTCGCTCAGCAACTACGAACCTCTTGCTACGAACTACGAAGCCATGCAAAATATACCAAAATATAATAGCACATGTAGTGGTTGTTATGGCAACGACAAGCACTTCAATAATTTTAGTTCTTGATGCGAAGCAAAATGGTGCACAAGACCTTGAGAAATGGTAGATAAGCTGTTTAGAAAAACTAATGGCCAAAAAATGAACATAAAAGACTAATTTCCTACTTTGTTAAAAAAATATACAACTTAACAATCTTTTTTTTACTTCTTTCCATGCTATATTTTTAATCTTGATATAAAAGCGTATTCAGCGCAGCCGATTCATTTAAACTACTATTCGGAATTACTATTGTTTGAAAATGGAAAATATTTGACAGCGAATTCCCTAGCAACGAGCTGCTGAATTTGTCTATACCAGCTCGTTACTAAGCAACGAACGATCAACTCCAAATCTGATAATTTTTCGAACATGATAATCAGGTGGAGCGTTTTCTGTGGGGTGTGTATAGAAACAAAAAATATATGCAGGTGCAGGAGGCTTTTTTGTGTCTTTCGTCAGTGGTCATCAGAATTTCACATTTTACTAACAGGGGCACTACCTATTTCAATGTTACATAGCCTTGATCAATGTGCAGATTCAGTATTCACTAAAAAAAATTGTCAGTTGATTGCTGCGGGCGACGCAGACGTTTGCATACATGTGTAATGTATCAATATGAGGGGTTAAATGCTATATATGATGTATTTAGGACATAATCTAAGTTCCTCTGAGTCTATGGGTCTGATCCCCTGGCTGCTTTAACCTCCGCTAAGCTCTAACTTTCTCGTAAGCTCTTTTTAGAAGTCATTCTTGTCAAGTCTCGAAGCTCCTCTAAGCTTATCCCAATTCCACATTTGGGGAGCATTCTCCTCCCTCATCCCAACTGAAAGTTGGATTTTTTATAAGGCCCTGGTGTAGACATTAGGTACTGGCAGACATACTGAAAATGTGGATTGTTTTGAATGGGTTGTGTGGTGTGAAAATAATTGCAGGTACTGAGGAGAATAAAGCTGTACCTATTCTACCATAGTAATCCCCAATATGTATCATTATATGTATTCTTATTTGGAAACATTGTTTCTCTCAAAATCAATATTTGTATGCCATATATTGTCAGCTGTTACAGCCTGCTGATTTCCTCATGGAAATGTTCCTGCGGGTGCCCTAAAATGGTTATCCTCAAAGGTCATTGAACCCCTCTGACATTTTTCTTAGATTGACCAAAGGAACAGACACAGCGCCTTGGCTCATTTGGGGCAGGAAATGAGCTGCCTGGAGAACCAGCATGAGCAGACAGCATATCATTGAGATGTAGGTAACTGAGGCTGGCCGCTGGAGACCAGTTGTCCCATTTGGAGCAGGAGTTCAGCTTCCCCAAGCATCTTTTTGAGCTGTCACCATGTTTTGAGGCTGTTCATTATGTAAGAGATATTCTTTTACACAATTTTCAAATTGCAAATGATATTTGATTCTGAGAAGAATGTGAAGAAAAGTAGGTAGATAGTTGACTAACTTAGCCACATCTCATGTGGTTTCAGAATTCACAGAATCTGTAACGTGCTGCAGAGTAGGTACCAGGTAGCCAATGCAGTTCAGCCATTTCAACATGTTTGATATTCTGTATTTTTCATTTATAATGCTAGCAAATAGCATTATGTAAGTTATGGACATTTATTAGTGCTTTTTCTCACCTAAATCAAGGCAAAGCTAACTTTTCTATATTTTGCAGGTATCAAATATTGATTTATATACTTCCTGCATAAGAAACATCAGTACATTGAATGTCCATGATGGCTTTGAACTTCAGCTGCAAAGCATTGCTCGCATCTCTACCTCAGAAGTATCACAAAAGTGAGTATTTTGTGAATCTTTCTCTTGCTTGTTTTGTTTAATATGGGTAGCTATTCTACAACTGGTTAGACTGCTAAATAATTATTTTTTATGCTTTTTGTTTCAAATTTGTTTGAATTGAGAAGTGTTTGCATGAAAACCACACAAGCCAGTCCTTGTTACAAATTACACCATGACAGGCCCACCCCCATATCAGCTTCATTTGCTCCTTGGTCAGTAATTCTGGGTAACAATGATTATTTTTATTTTTTTACTGTTTATTTTAATTTAACACCAATGGGCAATTAAACAATTAATGACAATTAAACATGTAACCCTGTTAGATGCTCACACTGGCCTCTTAGACTCATCATGGTCCTTTCTCACTTGAAGCTAGGTGGCTGAATATTTAATGTGGGTTAAATGATGTGGTGCTCTCTGACTGTGAAGTGTGAACTCACTGCCACCAAGTTAGAAAGCTGACGTCCTATTCGCCAGACCACCCAGAGGACATTGTGGTGTGTTCCATGCAGCTGGCTATCATGAAATAACTGAGAGGTCTGACGGGATGTACCTCCACTCCGCCCTCTCAGGATGTCTGTCTCAGCTGACCAACTCGGCCGTTTGCCGCCGGAGGGCGCTGCTCTTTGACGAGGAGGAGAAGCGGCAGCGCTCGCTGGTCGGACGGGTGCAGAAGATGGAGGTCAACTACGAGGGAGCGCCGGAGAACTGCACCCTGGTGATGAACCAGCACCTCTCCACGCCACACGACTGTGCCAAACGTGAGTCGAAGACCGAAATAGACGTGAGTCAAAGACCGAGATAGACGTGAGTCAGAGACTGAGTCAAACGTGAGTCAGATTGTGCCAAAGGTGAGCCAAAGACTGTACCAAAGGTGGGTCAAAGACTGGTCCAAACGAAAGTCACACGCAACCCTGGCCATAAAAGTTTCGTCGAATTCTGGTCGTAGTTAAGTAATTAGCGGTCAGCATGGCTGGAATTAGATGTGAGTGGAAATTAGCAGGGGAAAGCCATTGAAAAACAAATGGCCTGTAGGATATGTGAAAGAGCCAACTTTGGGAGCCAACTGCGAATTCACGGACGTTTGCCATAGTTGGTATTTATGTTATGGTGCCGGCCATGTATAGCAAAGCAACCATCCGATTGCTCTAGCCTCTTCCATCCACGCCGTTCCCAGATCTATCCGAGGCGATTCTGCAGAAGGCCGCGCTGGCCGAGGTGGACGGCCGGCCGTGGGACATGCACCGACCGTTGTCGGCCGACAGCTGCACACTCCGCTACCTCTACTTCAAAGACGCCGAGCCGTTCGCGGTGAGTGGCCGGGGGTGACGCGAGGGGTACAGGAGCTGGGCGTTTGTGTCTGGGTGCTACAGATGTTTTGTCAGATTTTGCTAGTAAAGTCTACAAAAGTTACACCATCTTCGTTTCGTTCTGTTGTAGTTCATGAGGGTAAAATACGTGTTTTTTTAGCATCAAGCACTAAGCAGTGTGACGTCCTGTTGGCCATTTCCAAGTAGCTTGATGCTATCAAAGGGAAAAGATATATGTACGTGATTCAGATCCGGCAAAGGTGCGAAGTGTCACCTATACGCATTTAGCTGATTTATGGCTGGACTTTGTCGCTGTCTGTTTCAGGTGAACAAGGCGTTCTGGCGCAGCTGTTCCCTGATGCTGGGGGCCGTCGTGGAGGAGGCTTTCAAGGACCAGTACTACGTCCAACTGCACAGCTTCCCCAGCCCAAACGGTGAGTGATTATCGGCCGGTGGAGCTCAGCTATCCGAATGTCTACACACGAGTCGGTGGGGACGCCGCTGACTGGTGGACGTTCAACACAATCAGGATTCAATCACAATCGATTGGGGTTCCGGGCTCGCATGTCTAGAAAATGAAAAGGCGGGTGTTCACACTTAACATACTTATATGCGTTTCATCATGCTGCGAGAAGAGAAATCGTTATAAAAGCGTGTAAAATGGTAACTGGACTTGCTTGGATAGATTGTTTGACTTGGTGCAGCATATTGTCCACTCTCATCGTAATCCGCATGACATCTGTTATGTAACCTCTCAGGAGTCATATATCCCCTCACACACACACCCCTCCCCTCCATGTCTCGGGCAGTGCGGAGCGGCAGCTTTCTGTACGACGTGCAGCTACCACTGGACTCGTGGCAGCCCACCGACCAGGAGCTGCGTGTCCTCTCGGGTATGATGCGGCGCTTGGCGCAGCGGGCACTGCCTTTCCGCCGACTGGAGGTACCCCAGGCAGTGGCCCTGGAGATGTTCGCCGAGAATGAATTCAAGCGCAGCCAGGTGCCCAGCATCGCGCAGCAGTCGGAGACGGGTGAGTAACGGCACGGGAATGTTGAATGACGCCGATGGATGTAAATGAGAGAGCCAGCGTGTGGACCAACTGATTCGTTAGCATCGAAGGTATCCCTTGTTGTCAAGACTGTTCATTAGTTCGGCTCATCACGGTTTTTTGCAGGCGAATGAATCAGATCTTCTTTCCACGTAGTATGTGATGTGACGCGCCGCGCGTCTGGACACCAATCCGTATAACAGTGTGACTCATTTAACGGGTATGACTTGTGCGTCAGTTAGATGACCTCTGTGACCCAAGTGGCCCGTGTGACCCGTCCACCAGGCGACCGTGTGACCTCTGTGACCCGTTGGACCTTTGTGACCTCTGTGACCCGTTTGACCTCTGTGACCCCTCTGACCCGCCCACCAGGTGACCGTGTGACCGTGTACCGGTGCGGCGACCACGTGGACCTGAGCCGCGGCCCGGCCATCTCCCACACGGGCCTGCTGGGACGGTGCTCCATCTGCGCCGTACACCGGATCGAGGCCGACTCGGGACCGCTCTACAGGTCAGTAGGCGGGTCAGAGTACCGCTCAACAGGTCAGCTAGGGGTCAGGTCACTTGGGTCAGGCGGTGATAGGGTGACTGGCCGAAAATAGCAGTTTGATGTCATTTTACCGGGCTATTCGGTCAGTTATGCGTCCGTCCATCGCTGTCAATATAGTCAGCATTCATAGTTCGGTTGACATATGCTATCTGACTTTGATCGATGTTTCGGTTATAAGTAAGCTGCAAAGGCAGGTTCACCTTGCGGCCCCGCCTTAAAGACCGGAATTTCTCGCTCGCTGGCGGTCGCTTTGTTCACAATGCCAATGTCGATGTGCAGCAGGCGAGCTGTACTTTACCCCCACGCTGTCGGTAAAGTGTACTGTTCATTGCTTCCCTAAACGTTCGGAGTCATCTTGTGCATTTACGGAACATTAGGAGACCATTTGTGTCGTGATATGTTTCAAATGGTCGCGATCATCGTTCATTCTGTCCTAGCAACTAGTCGTTATTGATGGACAACGCCCGTTCTGCCCGTGCCATACCATAACCTGTTGCACACCAGGACGTCTGGGATTTTGACAGCCGCATAAAGGATAGGGAGTTGCGCCTCGGTATTTAGGCGTCTGTGAATGTGATTATATCGGGTTTGACGACTGATCGATGACTTTGGTGGGTTTTCGGTTGTTACGTTGGACGTATTGACGGCTGTATCGTACCGCTGACAACTTTGTCGGTCGTTAATGGCTTTGTTGAGTTGTTGATGGTTGTGTGGGACCTTTGAGTGCTGTCACAGACCGTTGATAGCTATATAATATACTGTTGACGGCCGGTAGCAGCTATATACCTAGATTGTACCGTTGACGGCTGTACCGAGACGCCGGTAGCTCTGTCGGACCGTTGACGTGTGCCCTTGCTGACCGGCAGGTTCCAGGGTGTGGCACTGCCCAGTGACCTGATGCTCAACCACTTCGCCTTTGGCCTGCTGGAGGACAGGGCGAGGCACCTGGTGAGTGACCCTCCCCTCCCTCCCATCCTATCCCTTCCTTCCCTCTCCCCACCTCAGCTCTCCCTCCTTCCGTACAAGAGAGCCGAAACTGTATATGGTCCAAACTCCAATGTCACATCACTGTACCCTACACAAATGCCGCCTACCTGTTAACATGTGTTCTGTGAGCACAAATTATTCCCCATGCCTCCGCACATAGCCATTACGGAATACGAACCAGCTGAAAACATCGCAAAACCAATTTATTGGCCTCCGGTGGAAAAGGAGCGCTCAGTCTGTGGGTTATTCGTCGATAACTGGCATTTGGCAGTAAGTTGATAGCCTGTTTTGCTGAGTTGGACCAGGTTTGTTGCAATTATGACTCAGAGATATTCCAAATTATTGACCGTGTTTGATGGAGTTTTGAAGTGCCTTTTCGCGATGGCCGGATGACGCTTTGTAGCCTGTTCCGGCCAGTCCCGACCGGCGTAAATATTTCAGTGCCAGCAGACAGCAGTAAAATGTTTCAGAAACTCTAAATTATGCGTTTATGGATTGGGACCTTGTCCCGATCAATAATGCAGTACCTGTCATGCATGGTATGTGACATAGTGACGCTGCTATTGTCCCGGCCGAAGAACCTATAGGTCTCCCCTGTCCCGGTCACTCAGTTGGTAAGGGGACACACTGTGCAACTACAATGTATGCCAGTCAAAGCAAACAATGTTTTCCACCAATCGCTGCAAACGGCAGTAAGTGCTGTTCTAACGTCTATTTCTCTTTTTCAATGGACGTAATGGGTTGCCGTCCGTGACATGAGGCCGTAGTGCATTAACTTACCAGCTAATTCATGCATCAGCTGAAAGTGATGAATTTAAAACCGTATGCACACTTAAATCTGGCTACTTAAAAGTGAACCCACGAAGGGTCCATCGCCATCAGGGCTTAGCCTTGACGAGCCACAATAATTAACGGTGCAACCGGTGCATAACGGTATTGCAGAAGTTGGCTGTCTGCGACGCGTCCCTTGATTTAAAATATTTAGAAGAATTCTAAGAAGCATAATCCACTTAAAGAATCAGCTATGTAGTGCTTAAGGACGGTTTGGTCTCGAGGATGCCGAAGTAAAATTTCAAATGATATTGATGCTTGTTTTCATTACACGGAGACCTTGGAAATGTTGCTCGGTGTTCCACATGAAAAGAATCATGTTCGAGTGTACTGTAGTGACTAGTGTGTGTGCTGAAAACATTTGAAAACACAATAAGATACCGCATACAATTATTTTTTGCGACAAATTTCCTGGTAGCCATTTCAATTCGACGTTGCACTTTCATGTGCATTTATTGATTTATAAGGACATTGTTCCCATCCACTATACCACTATAAATCGTGAATGCATAGCTCATACACCGGTGACGTTTTAGCGTTTCACGTTGGTCTTGCGCTCGCCATTTACAGCTTTCCCGCTCTGTTACGTTCCAGTTCCTGTCCTTCCTCCGTCTGTGTTTTTCTGACCACCCCCGTCGTCTTCTCCTCAGAACCCGTCTGGCTCAGTGGCGGCGTCCGGTCGAGGGGACACGGCGGCAGCAGAGGCGGCGTCGGGCTGACCGCCATCCAACGGAGCCAGGTGGGCCACGACCGACCGTACCGCGGCCCGGTGTCCCCACCGCTGCCCCGAGAGACGCGGTCATACGCTGGACGGGGCGACAAGACCCGTCTCCTGAGCCCACGGCCCGTGTCGGGGGACCACTCACCAGGGTGGGTCGTGACAGGGATGGTGTGAGTCTCGGAGTCGTGCGGGAACAGCCGCGGGTCTGTGTGGTCGGCTGAACACGTGCGGGCATCGGTATTGTACAGACGCCAGTGGTGGCGACCGAATGAGGAATTATGTGTAGATCAATACATTGTGATGCGATTGTAGCTCGGATTTCTATCGCACTTTTTCATCAGACGTTGAAGAAGCTCGCAGGATATTTAGAAAGAAAATAAGACACAATTACCTATGTCTACAGAAATCTTGTCGAAGTTGTATGTCGCTTGTAAAGTCCATAGGAAAGAGATAACTTTTTTCAAACCAAAATCGAATTTATTTTTTTATTTATTTTATTTATTCAAGTAATCACCAACAGGGCGGACCCCGACTGCCAGGCGAAGTCAAGTTTACACTAAGCATAATAGACAATGACATACGAGCATACAATGCAGAATAAACAGTTGGTAAATATTACAAAAAATGTGGATAAAAGATAATGGAAAAATTAAAAAAATGAAGAAAAAAATCAATTTGTAGTGTTGATGTCGCAAAATTGTGCGAGCCCGCGAAGGTGCTAATAAGTGCACTAAATATTCTGAACGGCGTCCGTGCTCATTCTCTTGAGGGACGCCCTTGCCCAGTGCCCAGTAAGCGACACCAGCGCCCAATACCTACGGTGTGCTCGCCTCCGCCCAGTATTATGAGAGGCGCCTCACCAGCAGCCCTTATGATATGAGGGGTTCGGCTGATAGGATTTCAGGCTCATGCTCCATCAGCCGGTTACCAAAGACGGCCAGGTCAGCAAAATCCAGCACCGTCTCCGGCTGGCGGCGGATCAGGCGCACGAACCGGCCCGTCACCGGCACAGTGCACCGGAACAGGCGGGCGTGGCCGTCGGCCACGAACGGCGCCTCGAGCCACACGCAGCGCGCCGAGTGCTGCTCGTCGAACGACGCCCGGTCGGAGCCGACGCGGATCTCCGTCAGGTGGTTACGGTTGGTGGTCAGGTCGCTGGACGAGCTCGCCATGTAGAGCACGCTGGTGACCTGGACGGGCTGCCCCAGGTCGACCGTCCAGGTCAGACTGGCCAGCTGGGTCAGCGCCTTCGATCGGACCACGGTCCCCTGCAGGCCGTCATTGCCGTGCGAGGCGGGGTGCTGGTCGTTGTTCACGCTCATCCAGGCGAATTTGTTCAGCGCCAGATTTTCACCGACGTACTGACAGAGTGCCTCAAAGTTTTGCCAGCCGCACGGCGCGTCGTGGACGAGGCTGCTCCGCACGGCGACCACGCCGCAGTCCTCGTGTCCGTGTCCCTGGTTGGTGTCCCAGGCGATCTCGGTGGGAGTCTGGTTGTCGCTGGTCACGTAGCGACCCTCCTCAAGAACATCGCTCAAGCCGATCCAGACGTATGTAGTTTTGGCTCGATTGGACAAAAATTGGTGTACGGATGCCAGCGCCGCCGCGTTCACGCCAGGGAATAGAATAGCGCCGTCCGAGAAACAGATGCTGCTCGCATTTGTGGGACTGATGACTGGCAGCAGTCTCATCTTACCGCCCGGAGTCGACTCGTAGGTGGCCGGTGGTGTACCGTCGGCGTGCGCGAACTTCCAGATAAACGACCGCACGGCGCGGCTTTCCGTGATTGTGTCCGTGATGGGTGTTTGACGTGCTGTGACGGCGTCGCTGGTGATGCCCGCTGAGAACTTCCGACAGAGACCGTCTGAGGAGAAATCGAACGCTACGCAGTGGAGCTCTCCGGCGCAGGCGGCGGAGCAGGCGGCGATGGTCGTTCCTGACATCTCTGAGAGGAGCCCGGTGGCCAGCTGGTGGCTGGGTACCTCGAGGAAGCGTCCCGCCTTGGCGCAGCCGCCGGCGCCAGTCTCCGTGGCCACGTCCAGACAGCTACAGACGTTTTTGACACAGGCGGCGGCGGGTGTCAGCGTGGAACAGTCTCCGTCGACGGCACACGGCTCTCCCAGGAGTCGGACTCCGTACCGCGCGTGCCAGCGCCACTCCTCCCTGCTCTCCTGCATCCTCTGCGACGTGGGCAGCAGCTCCGTCAGCCGGCAGGTGGACGTGCGGACGCTGTAGCCGTACCCGCGACAGGCGGGCTCGGTCAGGCAGCGCAGGCGGCAGGCACACTCCGTCCCGCCCTCCACAGTCTGAGTGGGCTCTGTACTCGGCAGGGTGCCGGAACCGGCCGGCAGGTCCTCGAAGGAGAAGGCGCGGGGTGGAAGTTTCAGCTCGCCGAGCGCGACTGGGCAGTGCCAGCAGAGGGCTGCTGCCGCCAGCAGGAGCTGCAGGAGGGCCATCCGTCCGACCGTCGGCGGCCGGGGCCCGGGCGCGAGTGAGGCCTGAGGGTCTGCCGTACCGCCCGCCGGTCCAGGGACTGTTGAGTGTTGAGTGTTGATGGTAACGGGTCGTCCCGGTGGCGCCGGAGTCCTGGACGGGCCGCTGCACACAGGTATTTTATGAGTTATTTAGCAGGTACAAAATGCAAAGGTAATGATGGCGTGCCTCCACCATTAGAAATGGATGTTCGACTTGGGTTATAATTTGGAAGCACTAGAAACTGGTAAGAATGATTCCTCTTATAAAAATCAAATTAATAATTAAATCCATCGTATTGGTGAGTTCTTCTTCAGACAGTGATATGAAGAACTGTTACTTCTTATATACTTTTACTAAGATACTTTTTTCTTTTATACTTCTTAGATATGCAGAATATCTAAAAAGATGCTAAATCCACATTGTGTTTCGCCATCAATCACATCAGTAACATTTGCTATTGTGTATTACCACTGGCCGCAGATACACACAAAAATAACACGTAACACTCTCAATGAAAATGACCCAGCCGGTTCTAAGAGCCTTCTCGAATTGCGCCTACTTGGTGGCACAATGAGTATTTTATTGTCGGACGACTGGGTACACTGCAACATATCAGCTGGGAGTACATCGACACTTATTCGTAGTAGTCGTAGTCCTCACTGTAGTCGTAGTCGTAATCATCAGGAACTGAAAAAGAAAAGAAAGAAATGTTGTCAGCATTTCACAAACCTCTTGCTTTGCTTTATTTTGCACTGGTACAGCGTTAACCTTCAGCGTTGAAGCACCGTGTTGCCGCCATATCCAATCGCGTTACCTGGCACGGCCTCGCAGTTGGAGGGCACCGGGTTGTCGCAATATCTCCCTTACCTCGGACGGCCTCGCAGTAGGCGGGCACGGTGTTGTCGCAGTCCTGCACGGCCCAGCCGCCGCGCCGTCCGTCGGTGACGGCACAGAGCGGCCGCTGGTCGGGCGGCGGCGGCGGCTGCAGCCAGTTGGTGTAGCGCGGCTCGCTGCCGTCCTCCCACAGCCAGCGGCCCGACCGGCTGCGCACCAGCCCCAGCCGCATCACGTGACCGTTCACCAGCCCTGCCAGAGGGTGTCACGTGATCGGAGTCAGGTCTGGAGTTTCCATAGCGTGATACTGGAAATCATGATATCTTGAAAATGATGTACTGAAAATCGGCGTCATCACCCCTGATGACGGGGTCTATGTTCGCTCAATATTGGTACCCTGGGGTCGATGTGCTTGTATCACTGGGTAAAGCTGCAAAGCAAGAGACACATCGCAGCACTAAAATTACAATAATTCTTGCTAAAAAGCACGTTTACTCACTCAGGAGCGCCGCGTCCTCTTCTGCATCCTTAATAACGGGCAGTGTGACCCGGAACTCGGCCGTGGAGAGCGACAAACACTGCCGGCGCGACTCGGCGAACGAGGCCTCCTGGTGGTTGAACGCGTAGCACGAGCCGCCCTCCTCTCGCCACCGGGTGGGGTCCGGGCACGACGGCTCGGCCACCACACGCACTGAGGGAATTGGGAAACGCGGGGGAGTCAAAAGGCGGTGCTCAACTGCTGATATCGGAGCAATGGCTTCTCATTTAGAAAGAGAGAGATATCGGAAGGAGCTGAAAGGAGAAGTCTGCTGCCTGTGGTCGGCGCTGGCTCAGCAAACAATCAGATCGAGTGGCAACGTAGCGTTGTTATCAGCGAAGCTGGATCAAAATATAATTATATGAAAGATTGTTATGTGGAAACGTCACTTGGCATAATTTTTACCGCAAACATAATACGCGTAAGGACGGTGCTAACAAGGCGCCAGAGCGCTGACCTGCGGGCAGCTTGCAGACGAAGCTGTGTCGCTCCTCTAGACAGGAGCGGGCCGTCCAGCGGCCGCGCCGGTTCACCACCGAGCACACCTTCATGTTCTCGGCCGTGGCGTCCGGCTGGCGGCGCGCCCAGGCGCTGAAGTCCTCCGAGTTGGAGCCGTCCAGCCACCGCCAGGCCGGGAAGTCATAGGCAGAGGTGAGGCCGAGCCAAGACGGCCCGCCGCCCGTCAGCTCTGCCGAGGAGGTGTCAGTGTCAGTGTCACCGTGACATTACATCTTTGACACATTGACACAGCGGTGTTTGTCGCCATGGCCATCGTCGTAAACGAACCATTCGGACCGTCCCGCAACGCATCCAGGTAGTGCGGCACAGTCTACCCTGGCGGCGTTATGCCTACAATCTGGCCGCTAGGTGGCAGCAGCGTCGAGCGCCTGAAGTTAGGCTGTACCGCAAGGCTTCGGGGCGGCGCCGGCGCCCGACAATGCTCGTGCGTTTGAAGTGGAGAAACGACGTTAGCGAATATATTCAATGCGTTACGGTAAAGAGAATGATTTGGCAGACACATTAAATGATGACGTTAAACTTACATGACGACTTTATCAAATAGAACAGACAGTTCAGTGTAACTGTCGCTGTGTGAACGCCCGTCCAATATTCAGCCGGAGCGAAAACAAGTCGTCGCCGTCTCCCGTTTCCCGTCCTTACGGAGTATGAGCTGGTTCTGCTGCTCGGTGTGCGCACTGGCCACGTGGGATGGCCGGAATGTGACGGCGCACATCTGAATGGCGTTTACAAACGTGTCCTGCTGAATGACGCCGCTGGAAAAAAGTACACGGTGGCGTGAGGTGGAGGCATCACATATGGGAGATAAAGAACTCCAAGCCTAGTAAGACACTGTTTTCATCATTCGACCAGTGTCGTTTTATGGCTTTGTTGACTGCGGGGACTTGCAGTGGCCCATAATGATCACAGGGACCTACGGCACTAAATATGATCTGTATCACCGATCCACAAGCAGTACTTACCGGTAGCAGTAGCCGTCCAGTTCCGTCCAGTCGGCAGGACACAGGAACTGCTCCTTCGGCGCGGGCGGCTCCGTCGGCTTGGTTGTTGGAACCGTCGGAGCATCCGTGGCTTTCGTGGTTACCGGGGCTTTGGTGGTGGCTTTCGTGGTTACCGGTGCTCGGGTGGTTTTCGGCACCTCGGCGGGCTTTGGTTTCGTCTCGGGTGTGGTTACCTTTGCGGTTCGGCAGCCGGTTTTGTCAGCGGGTCCGAACTTCTCCCTACACGGGTCCAGCTCACACACCGAACTGAAGGCAGAGAAAAGCGAGCGTTAGTCGTCTTGTTACTATCGAGGCTTTAATGTTCTGGGATGAAGTCGGGAGGCTTTACTTTTCTGAGGTGCGGTTAGGGCAACAGTGCAGCTCATACAATACCAAAGAAGTTAAAGGATTGTGGTGGCCTTGTGTAAGATAAATACGTACGTTAAAATATCGGACATCAAGAAAATGCGATACTTGTAAACCATTTGCTAAATATTTATCATCGACAGTTGCTTCACTCACTTGTACTTTGAGTGCGTGCAGTTGGCGTAGTCCTGCCACCGTCCGTCGATGAACAGTGTCGCGCACGTGCCGGAGGTCAGCGATAGGTCGTCTCCGTCGGCGCGCCGCCACCGCGACAGGCTCCAGCGGTCGCAGTCGGACCAGGACCAGGCGGTGCGCCGGTCTGGCCGCGCCGCGCCGATCCACACGTGCTTGGCGTCCGGATCAGCCCGGTAGTTGACTCCTTTCGACTTGAAGGCGAGGTCTGGGAATAGAGCGATAAAGGCGCTGTGAATGCGCTGAGGTACTAGTCGGGCTGCCGATTCAAAATTGCTTGCGAGGGAATATTGAATCAAGCCTCTTGATGACTTGATAATGGAGTGGCACAACTGCACCTTTTGGTTGTTTTATTGTTACTACCGATTTAAAATAGCTTATTATCATTCAAAAATCTTCTAGGCAAGTATCAGGTATCCAAGCATCCACAAGCACCAAGCCATAAAACCTCTGCTGCTAACCTGCTAGGCATCCCTTTCCCCAACATGTGCTCCTTTTGAGCTCCGTCGTCTCCCCTCCCACTCGGCCATTCGATTCCCAGGACCGTTGTCCCCCTGTGTAGCCAGCCGGTTTTCTCACTGGTGATGAAGTCATTCTCGTCCTGCGTCTGGATGCTGGCCAGGTGTGCGCCGTCCCTCTGACAGACAGCCGCCGCCTCCTGCAGTGTCCGCCGGACCCGCACCGTCCGGTAACACCGGCTCTCGAACGGGATCCAGCCGGCCGGACACTCGGCTGGGGACGGACGGAGGGGATGAGACTGGGGACGGGCGGTTACAAATAATCTGCTGCAGCGATTGAGATTCTTAAGTTGCGATGTCCGGAACCTTTGAATAACCGGGCTTAAGAGTGGCTGACATTTGATCACAGAGCTTACCAACATTTATTTTAAACGATCAGGAAATTCGAACATTGTAAACTACAGAATGGATGCCCGTATGCTAGCACCCTGTAGCACCACCCGGCCGAGCGTGGGCCTCCCCAACCTTTCCTCCCCAGCGCTTTCTGTGAGTTCATCCCTCCCGTCTGTGTCGTACTCACGGTTACAGGCGTCCAGCTGACACAGGCCGGGCAGACGCTCCCGGTTGCAGCGTTTGGGCCGCCACTGACCCGTCTCCTCCAACTGTCGGGACAAGTGTGTGCGTGAGTTACCGGGGCGAATAATTGGGAGGCTTGAAGGCGTCTTGGCTGTGAGATAACTTCGTATGTAAACGAGTCATGTGTGTCTCGATATCTTGGAAGTTTTAATGCATAACATAATGCAATAAGATTTGAAGCCATATGTACATGATCCAATTCCATGCATAATAGTCGCTCGCTAGCACCAGATAAAAAATACATTCCCACACCTTTCTAAAAGCAAAAAAAAAATCCACTCCACTTTCTACATTCGTCCCTGTTGCAAGTATCATGTCGTTCTCACCGCGGCACAGTCGGAGTCGACCGATCTGGCTAGCGCCGCGTCTGGCGCCCAGTAGGTGAAGACGGGCTGGGCGGCCTGCTGGAGCGACGAGCGAGCCAGGGCGGCCAGGTTCACAGAGCGACCCGAGCGACTGCCGTAGTCCACCCAGACGGGCAGAGACGGAGCCGTGTCTGTAGGAGAGAGACGAGACGAGGCGGCGGGGTAGGGTTGAAGACGGCTGATGATTTGAGGCACCGGATGAATTGTGGATAATCGTTAAAAAAGTTATTACCCTGGAGGCTCCAAGAGAACAGTACCTCTTTGTCTTTTATGCATGCTAATGAAATTTCAAAACACCATTGCTCTAACATTGACGCTTGATCAACATATGAGCAGCAGTGCGGTGCTTGACGATACATTGGTGAGTGCTAGAACACTCAGCACCCGACAATGATACGTCATGATACCCAGCGACTCACAGTAGGCTCTATCGTTGTCCTCCAGCGACCCGATCACGGCCACCTGGGCGTTCGGGTGCGCCTCTGTACAGAGCCGCTGCACCCCGGTGAAGGTGTCCGGCTCGGTGGGACGGCTGAAACAGCTGGACCCACTGCGACTCCAGCCGGCCGGGCACCGCAGACCGTCTGAAAGAGGTCGTAAGGAAGAGGCTAGAGGCTAGAGGCCTAGAGGGTAGAGGGTAGAGGGTAGAAGTCTGATCATTGGACGTCATCAAAATGATGAGTAGCTCTCGGAAGGAAATTCGGGATTGTAAGTCGGTATTTTACTTTGCACTAGTATATTTTACTCTCAACACATATCCCACATTCTTCGCCAGGTCCCCTCACTCTCAGATATTCCCCCTCCCGGTGAGCCCGTCCCCCTATGTTACATGTCTCACCCTCGGGCCGCCAGACGCGGAACCTCCTGCCTTTGACGGGCTCCGGCCGAATGTGCTCGTCGCGCCCGCAGATGATCATTTCACAGACGAACGGTTTGAACGGACCGCTGGCGCCGCAGGTGGCGTCTGACCACGTCTTGTCCTGGGGAGGGGCGGCGAGAGGGGACGGTCAGCGTGATCTCTCGGCAAATAAAATTTACACATCAGGGAATCACAGGCTGGTTCTATAGGTAGCATCGAAGACTGGTCGGGCTCTCTCAATCTACCTCCATAGTAAGTATTCAATAGTCACCCCGGTATTGTGTCTTTCAGATTGCAAGTGTTTAAAGCATGGACATTTGTCTCAAGGCAGGCTTGTATTTGAACTCAATGGCTAAAGTAGCGCGTTTCAGCCTTACCACCAGCATGTCGGCGCAGTCAGCCGAGTGGTTGTGGCCGTTGGGCTCGCTGGGTTTGTGCCAGTTGGTGTACGGGTACTTCTCGCCGCTGCTCCAGACGTAGGCACCCTCCTTCTCTCGATCGTTGAGGCCGATCCAGAACGGGTACTGCTTCAGAAGACCTGTCGTCAGGAACGTTGGTGAGCTGTCATCAGAGGATAAGTTATGGAGAGTGGACGGACACTAGATAGGGAAGCTCAGGAAAGCCCGCTGCACCTCTCTTCAGCACTCAAAACGACATACCTATTCGTTGCGACTAGCTCACAGCATTTCACCAGCATCCTCTTCCATCCCACATTTCTGTTCCAGCCGTTGGTGTTCTCTGTCTGTATGCCTCCCCGACTTCCCCTCAGCCAGCGTCTCCGTTTCTCCCGGACACTCACCATGCACAAAGTTATTCTCCCTGGCGTTGATGATGCTGACCAGATCCGCCGTGTCGGCCATCCTCCTGCACCGCTCGCGCGCCTCCAGCCAGGAGAGTGGCTGTCGTACGGCCCGGTAGCAGCGGCGGTCCCACTCGGTCCAGCCGGCCGGACACTGGCAGGAGGGCATTCGGCAGACGGCGCGGTGCGGCGGCTCGGTGTGAGACTCGGCAAACTGCCACTGGCCGGACCGGCCGTCCAGCTGTGGACGGAGGGGGGGGGGGGGGGGTCAGTGAGAACTGCCACTGGCTGGAGCGGCCGTTCAGCTGAGGACAGGGGGGGGGGTCAGTGAGAGCTGCCACTGGCTGGAGCGGCCTTTCAGCTGAAGACGGTAGAAAGAGGGGAGAGGGAAGAGTGAGTGAGGGAGAGATTCGGTAATGCGGACGAGATGTAGGCGAGTCGCTCATTCATTCATTCATTCATTCATTCATTCATTCATTCATTCGTTTGTTTGTTGGTTTATCTAATCAATCAATCGACGGTTAATTGCCGTCGTCATTCATTACTAATGAGCACACTTTAACTTAACGGACTTTCCTAATTAATTTGGACTGCTCCACCTCCAAATCCTGGTATGGACCTTCCCTCCTATGGGACATTACATGGCTCACCTGAACGGCATCTTCGGCGCCCTTGGCTCGGCCGCGTCTGGCGGCGAAGTTTTTGTACCTGACCGGCGTCCCATCTGCCCAGGAGAGGACGTCGTTGGCTGACCTCATCCCCAGCCAGACCGTCTGCCGGCCGGCCAGTGCTGCGCCGAGGGGAGAGATGGGGTAAACGGTCAGTCAGAGCGGCTGCCGGCCGGCCAGCGCTGCGCCGAGGGGAGAGATGGGGTAAACGGTCAGTCAGAGGGACTGCCCGTGTAAGATGTATTGGTGAAAAGGGTGTTTAGGTAACTTATTGACGCTCGCTATATGTCAGCGTCCAGCGAATAACTAGATGGAGAAAACTAGTTAGCATACTATGTCGTGTAAGACTTACAATACAGTTACCATTATCAAGCTGATATGGATTCAAGAATAAGAAGTCCATTTATTGGCGGCCCGCGGGGTCAGCTGATGACTGTGAATTAGGTCAGCAGTGTTTGTGATTCACCGTTGTGTTTGCCTGACTGACATTCATGTATCACTTCAGAGGACGCACGTCCCCCGTTCGACGGTTATGTGCGCCTGGATCTCAGATACGTTTACCTACATTGGATGTGGGGCATAAACATTTGTCATAAGATAGACACCATGTGTAGTCATGAGAGGCCGTTTAGGTGTAAGCAGAGCCTAAGGCAAGGTATCGTAAGCCCCGTTGTGTTTTCAGAAATGAAAATAATTTCGGAATAGAATGTGATTGCACTGTGCTATTGCGGGTAATAACGGCGACATTTACAAACCATTATTGCACCAGTTGCACAATATACCCGTACAGCTGTCATTCGAACTAACCATAAAACTCCGGATACGCAGCTCGGTGGTGGTCGGTGTTACGCTGTATGCACAGTTACGACACGTTCCGGACTCACCCTAAACGACAGGGAGCTTTCCCGGCTCCGGGGGGCGATTCAGGGTTACAGAAGCTATTAGCTCGCCGTGCCGGTCACCACAGCGGGCTAATTATGCATGCAACAGTGCTGTCCACTGCTCACTCGCAGAGGCAGCTCGGGAAATAAAGGGGAGGGTCCCTACACTGAGGTGTGAGTCGCCGGCACTCCGCCACGCTCAAGGTCGGGCCGAGGCCACGGAGGATGCTGGGCTGAGGTGGCGGGCCCGGGCCAGCCCACAGAGCGGGGTCACAGCGCCCCGCAGCTCCGGGGTTTTCCTCCGCCGCAGGGTGTGTGGTGCGGATGCGCGGTCTGCCGTACGATTAGTACCAACTCCAAGGTAACGAATCGGGTGGAAGGAGAATGGCACCAACCGTGTGTTCGCGCGCGTGGTTACATTTGTGGGAACTGTGAATCCATGTTTGCGTGTGTGTAATTATGTTTTGTATGCATGGTTCGATGTGTTTATGGTTCGCTCTGTAGCTCGCACTCTCGGTACGCATCATGTAAGCGTTTATTATTTGTCCGTATACCTATTATTGATAAGTACGTTACACCGGTCACCGAAGCATAATCGCATTTCGAATATAACACATAACTCAATAATGTCAGGGCTCGCGGCGACCGTTAAAATTAATTACGCTTTCCAGAAGCCATTCAATATAAACTCCCTTCCGACCCGTCTCGGCGCCGACACCCACCTTTGATGAAGTTGTTCTCGGCCTTGCTGGTGACACTGACTACGTCGGCCGCCCTGAAGAAGGCCTTGCAGTCTCCCCGCGCGCCGTGCCATGGAACGGGCTGGTAGGAGAGCCGGTAGCAGTGGCCACGCCATTCCTGCCACGGACTGCCCGGACATGTGGCTGAAATAGGGACAGCAGAAGGGGTATAAGGCAGGAGAACAAGACGGTCATAGCAAAGTTACATAGGTAACTGCATTTGTGGTATCGGAAACAACTGCCGCGGTCGGCGGTACTGACGGTGGGACAGAGACGTAAACACTGGAGAACGGGGAGGTCACGGCCTCCAAGCCATCTTGCCAAAATGTTGTCAGGGATGTTATTCCTTTGGACGGCCGGAAACGTTTAATTCACTGACGTATTGAGTTCAACGAGAAGAGACTGATTACTGACAAGTTCAAGCAATAGTTGTTAGCACGATCTGGACGATAATTGACCCCTCTGTCCCTGCCTTTGGTGCTTCATTTCGGAGCTAGAAATAGTGATGGCCCTTCCCTATCTTACACCGTGTGCTAATAGACGATACGGTGGATATTCAGGCTGACTAGTCTCCCCATCATCTCACCTTGTGTTCCCGCTATAACGGCCATCAGCAGTCCTGCGGCTATACCACCCCAGCGCTGATCCCGCTGGGTCCACATTGCGACCGCCGTCAGCTCCCCGCGGCTCCTCTGGGCTCCTCACACTCTAAAACTCCGTCTTCAGACTCCTATGTCGGCCTCCTCACACCTAAAACTCCGTCCTCCAACTCTCTTGCACGCCGTCTCTCCAAACTCCGTCTTATAACTCCTCGTCCATTCACACTCCTAACTCCGTCCTCCTGGCCCCGACTGCAGCGTTGTCCTCTGACTGCTCCTCCGACCTCCTCCCACCCCAAACTCCGTCCTCCGACTGCCCCCCGCTCGCCGGCGGGCCGATCCAGTGCGTCCTCCCGCGAGTCGACAGACACGTCACTGTCAGGGTCATCTCTCGCCGGCGGCGGTAAACATCGCTGTCCCCCGACCGGCCGTCGGACAGTGGCTCCAACTGGGTCACCGCGGAGGGGTTGAGGGGGGCGGTGGTTGATGATACCGAGAGAGGCTCAGTGTTCTGGTGATTGTCATGGGATCACACAGCGCCGGGAGTTTGTGACCTTCTGGTAGTGAGAGTACGGAAAGCGTACAAAAATACAGAACTCTTGGAGATGTGGTTACTGGTTAACCGTTCAGCTTTATCTCTTTCGGAAACTAAACGACGTCGCAATTAGAGGATGCAATTACCGTTAAGATATAGATTGATTGGCTTTTATTCAGAGATAACGAGATAGTCACACGGCACACCCCTTCCTCAAGAGTCAGCCGTCGCATTAGGGGTGAGGTAGCGCACACAGCTGTCCATGTTTATCACACTACGTTGGTGACCTTTGACGCGTGCCGCTGTTTTAATGCAAGTCTGAGAATCGCACGTCACATCGCAAGCGGTGACGTTAGCACGTTTGCTAGTTCTCAATGTCGTCAGCAGTGAGCAGGGATGGCCTTTGGATGTACAGAATGGTAATACAACTCAGTGATGACAAGTGTCCGTGAATTAGCTACCATTGTGCATGATGCATGAGTGCATTTCATCCACTCCTTTCAGCTCATTCGTTACAAACAGCTGCATTGGACTTAAGTCAATAATCTCACGGATATTTTGCTCGGAGTCAGAGGATCCGTAGCCGACATCTCAGCGCAGCGATCAGATACCAGCTGCTGCAGATCAGATGTACCACACACTGATAAACCTTTTACCACACAAGCATGTCGATTGACATCCCTGGAAACACTGCAATGAAGATCCCTATGCTTTCCGAAAGTCCGTTCAATTTACGCGACACGACATAAGCCACGCGATCGTTTTCATTGAAGTTGCAAAACACCAGAGCACACTTTTCTGTGTATATTGAGAAGCTGCACAAACAATTTACACAGACGACTCGAATGTCGCAGACAAATGGATAGTCCGGTGGCGACTCAGCCAGGGCAGATGAGATTCCAGTCAGTAAGACGCCGAGATAGCTGTATAAGCAGATCGGCGCAGACCACACGCTAGACTACATAACACGTCCGCTCGGTCAGCTCAGTGATATGGACCACATCGAGTACCTCTCGGCTCTCGCTCTCACGCGCGCTCCTGATCCCACGCTCACACTGGGAGCCAGGGAGGAGGAGGGTGGGCGCTGCAATCCGCGGGGTTAGTTAGGGGCGCGCTAATCACAGTGTCAGGGGGACCTCACCGAAGCTGCGACAGGTTCTCAGAGCGAGCACACGCGCCACAAAACACACCACATCTCTGTCGTTATTCTGTTAAAGCCTCGTATTATGCGAATACGCAAACCAAGATCGCAACTGCGCGCCAATGCTTGGCGTGCGTCCATTGGTTCTATGGCACAAACTGCCTATACGTAAACAACATTCGCTAGCTAAATAATTCAAAACATCAACATGAATAAAAGCAGAATAGAGATTCAAAACATAAAATGCGTTTCTGGGATGCAACACCATCCCCGTTAAAAACAAACGTCATTCGTTGCTTGACTGTTGAACGATGAGAGCTTTCAAAACAAAAACACTAACATCAATCAGTAGCTATAAAAAGCGACATTCAAATAGTATAGCGACATCAAACAACGTCAAATAGCACTCTACGCATAGTACAGCTGCACATAACTCTGTCATACGAACAGCTGCACGAATTCGAGCTGTGGCCGCAGCGACGACCGAGCCGGCGCCGCCGACGGCGTCAGCACATCACATGTGTCTGCACCGCAGTGTGATGTGGACACATCACATATGTCAAAACAGTGACGTAGGTATGCATCACATACGTCACCTAGGCATACACGTCAGTGCAGTGACGTAGTGTCAAAAATCATCACAATACAAATGTCAGTACGGTAGAATAACGTCATCACATCGCTAATCACGTCAGTACACTGACGCATGATTCTACATCACACACGACGCCAGAGACTGTGACTGACGTCTGTCTTTGATCTGCTTGTTCGGTCTCTGACTTATCAACTCCCATGGACCCTATCTGACGCTCGCTTCTGCCCAGTGAGTCCGGACGCCGGGGAGCGGATCACCTCAGACTGACCCCGGCCGGGTCGGGTCAGGTCGGGTCAGTTGTGTAGTACGTCCGGCCCCGCCACGCCCATGAACAGACCGTTCACCTGGGTAAAGATCTCGGCAAAGTGTGGCCGGTTCTCCGGCTGATACTCCCAGCAGCGCAGCATGAGCCGGTACATGGCGTCCGGAGTGCCATCTGGTGCCGGCATCCGGTACCCTGAGTGCGCGAAACACACACCGGTCAGCAGCGCCGTCACATCACAGAAGTTATCGTCGGATTATCCGGTAGGGACACGGAAATGATGGAAATATACACCACACGCCATACTAAATAATGTATTATAACGGAAAAATATACATCTTATCCATTGATGATACATTCTGGCTTAGCGACAGCCATCTGAATGCCACAAAATAATTTTATACCGATAAATAATGCAGAATATCGAAAGAAGTTCACTAAAAAAAAAAAAAAAAAAACGCTTCATTAAGCAAAAACTGACCAAAACCATATGTAACGCTCTCCCATAACTAACCCCACTGATCCCTCACCACTCCACTCCAGTTCAGTCGGTTCCCATCTCACCCAACCCTCAACACTCACCAGAGTCGATCATCTCCCGCGCCTTGGTGTTGGAGAGTCCGCTGTAGGGCGACTGGCCGCGGCTGAATATCTCCCACGCCAGGATACCGTAGCTCCACACGTCACACAGCGATGTGTACTTGCCTGGAGAGGGGCAGACAGTCAAGAGATGCTGTGATTGGCACACGGCGAGAATGAGGGGGAGGGGAGGGCCGGTTGCTAGATTACAGGCTTGGAAGGATGGTGATGGCTATTCAGAGGCATTCAGAGGTTTGGGAGAGAAAAACCGTCGTGCGAGACACTCACTTTTGATGATCATGTGTTGACTATATACTGTGTCATCGGTAGCTACAGTAATACCACGGAATATATAGTCTACGACATGTATATTCCGTACATATAGTGTACGACAGACTATGTATTTCGTGATAAATACTTCAGGTGAAAAAGTGCCTCAATAGTCCATACAAGTAAAACCCTTACACTTCTTTATTTCAGCTAAGGGCTAATATAGCCATGAGCGGGCAGACACTGGCCCGGCGATTAAGCCACCGTAGTTGAGAACCTCCTCTGGCAACTCACCGTAGTTGAGGGCCTCTGGCGCGGTCCATTTGATGGGGATCTGTTTCATTCCGTCCGAGACGATGTACTCCTCCTCTTCCCGGGACATGCCAAAGTCGGAGATCTTCACCATGTTGTGCATTCCTGGCGGCGGGGGCACGGATGAAAAAACCGTCATCAACATACTCAGCGAGCCGCATTTAGGCTTACACATTTACACGTTCAAATAGAGCGGAAGGAAGCCAATAAATGAAGGTAATTTGAGTGACCAAGGCAGCTCTACACCTCATCGTAGTAGAACAAAGACGATAAGGTGGCAAAATAGACTATCATGGTTCATCTTTGTGTGATTTTGCTTTGTGACTTTGCCGATTCATTTCATGTCATTTCATTCATTCATTCATAGGTCAGCAAACAAAACCGGTGGTGAGTCCACAAAAAGTTGAAAAGAGTCGACCTATGGCAATTAATCCTTGTCCGACAGCGTCCCAAGAGCCCGCGCGTCCCCCGACTGACCGACGAGGCAGTTTCTGGCCGCCAGGTCTCTGTGGATGCAGTTCTTCTCCTCCAGGTAGGCCATCCCGGCGGCGGTATCCCGACACATGGCCAGCTGGGCGCCCACGTCCAGCGAGCTGCCGTGCTGCTTACTGCGCAGGTAGCTGAGTAGGGAGCCGCCTGGGAGCGAGGGGGAGGTCAGAAGACATCGAACACAGAGCTGCCGTGCTGGTTACTGCGCAGGTAGCTGAGCAGAGAGCCGCCTGTGGTGGGTGTGGGAGGGACAGAGTTAACGAACATATGACACTGAGGTGCTTGGGGGAGGAGCAGGGTTGGCAAACAACAACACAGAGCAGACGAGGGTGATGATGGCAAAACAGTATTACACAAAAGAATGTCAGGAGCCGCACAACTGCACACTGCACAGCTCAAAGATTTATTGGATGACATTACACTTTTGCGGTATCAGGAGTCTCAATGATAAGGCTGACGCCTTTTGTGGTTCACATCACTGAACATTGGAAATGGTGGGCGGGAAACCACAGTACCGATCGCGCACGGTTTGAAAAATGCATTTCAAAACGCGATACCTCGACATGGAATCAACCCTCTACAGACTGAACGGAAGCAATCACTAATCACCTATCCGTGCTTCTATCCTCAGGATACTGAAATCCTTCTCCTCCAAGCCGCAACCCCCCTCCGGGCTGGACAGGCAACATTATCTCATGCGGGCTGCTCCCTTGGAGCGGCACCGCTGCTCCTGAGGGAGCGCACCCCGTAGCCGGGTGCAGTGAGTGCCTTGGGGCTGGGTGGCCTGTCCTCTGGACGGGCTCAGCCCCGGCGACTCACTAGGGTGCCTGCCCAGACCAATGTCTCCCCCTAATTCCTATCATCCTTCCGGCTCTGCAATGGTCTTGTCGACCGAAAGGGCCTAACCCAACAAAACAAAAAAAAAAAAACAAAAAAAAATCACTAATCGAACGTAGTATCACATGTCATGTCCCTCACTGATCACACCAGCCCGGCTAAATCGGTAAGCCCCCCCCCCCCCCTCCTAGACCAGCCGCCCCCCTCCCCATCCGACACGCACCTGGTACCAGTTCCATGACGATCATGATGGGCTGCTTCTGCACAGCGATGCCGATAAAACGCACAATGTTCGGGTGGTCGTACTGCTTCAAAATGCGACCCTCCTGCAGGAATTTCCGCTTCTGCTCGTCCGGGAGAGTCACCTTGCACGTTTTCACGGCCACCAGTTCGCTGGTCAGCTGGAGTCGAGCCTTGTAGACGTCGCCAAAGTTACCCTGTCGGCGATAGTGAGATAGCAGGAGGAGATGTTATTTGGGGTGTCGTGAAGCGGAGAACAAATGGGTCGAAAGAAGCCTTGTGCAAAGGGTAGATCCCAGCGCAATAGAGACGGTAGAGTAAAGTCAAAAACTTTGCAAAGAAAAGAGAACAAGGTCCTGACGTCTCAACGGAGACATGGTTTACAAATGAGGAGCACCTGATCTAAGTTCGTCCGCGAATATATGCCATTGCAGTGAATCATGTTAAGCACGGCAGCAGCGAAAACCACACACATAATCGGAACAAACTGTGAATCACCGGCACGGAAGTTAAAAAACCGCATGACATAAACAGGAACGCGCAAATACGCATTTTTCGTTTCCATTTTTCGTCATTTCCTCATTTCCAGTGACGGCAGTACACGTCAAGAGGATTCTTACTAGCGTTAGGGAACAGGTGAACTCCATGAAAAGTCATACCGCCACAAACGTTACCGAAACTACGGATATTCAGTGTCGGTGTGGCCAATCGTGGCCATGTTATACGCTAGTTTGTCTGCCTTGGAAACACGACGTCACTCGTGGTTAGTAAATCCTCCCGGACACACGTCAACGTATCCGGTCACTATCCATGTCGGACAGCTGCGGTGTTAATTGGGGTCGATCCCACGTTCGACATCTGTCTCCATATAACACGTCCGCCTACCAACAACCTACCGATTGCTTGATACACCGAGCAATTACCAGCAATGTCCGGCCTGGCTCGGTCCATACTACGTCACAGCTAGATCTCATTTCGGAGCTCCTCTTGCCAATTCTACAACCGTACGCCACGCCTCCCACTCTCAATCGCCCACCCACCCACCCACCCACCCACTCACTCACTCACTCACTCACTCACTCTAACTTTGCGCCACGCCTCTTTCTAATCACGAGGGCCGCGTATGATCTCACCCGTCCGATTTTCTCGAGCAGTTCGACGTCGTCGTTGTTAAGCTCCCAGCGCTCCCTGAGGATGGCCTGCCGGAGCACGGCTCCCGATTTGTTGGTGACGGCCAGGCCACACTCGTGCTGGTAGCTGATCAGCTCCTGGATGGTCGGAAACGACGGACCCTCGAACCGAAACTGGCCCTGCGAAATGGGACGGGGAGGGGCGTTAATAGGGCGGATGGCGGTAGGTGATGGCGTGGGCGGAAAAGCAATCACCTCGGGTTTCGATAAGACGATTACGCAAAGAAGAATCCTTCTTTACTCACTCTCATGATTTCTCCCCTAGCGAAGTTACAAAGAAAAACGCAACCCTCACATCACCAAAAAAAAAAAATTGTTAACCCACGGCCCAGCAAATTCCCCCGAATTATTCATCCCACCCACCATATCTCCTACCCTACTCCCCAGCTGCCCGTAACTCACATCGGAGGTGGTCTGGACGATGAAGTGTTTGTGTCCGCCCCAGGCGACCGACAGCACCACCTGGGTCTCGTCGTTCCGGGTGGTCTGTCGTACCAGGTAGTCGCCGTCGTTAACCAGTAGTCGGACCACCTCCTCCCGGGGCAGCACGCCGTGGAACCAGTCCTCGTCCACCAGAGGCCGCTCCGGCTGCGGGGACATCTGAACACAGGGGGGACGGGGGCGGAGTCAGTGGTCAGCAGGGGTCGGAAGCGGTGTGAGGGAGCCGCAGGGGACAGCAAAGACGATATGGATAGCGAATGCTTGTGGATTCGTAAAACATGGTTTAGGTATGAACGTAAGCCAAAGAAAACATCTAGCGTGAAAATACACGTGTCTGAACTATGCATGAATTATGTAACGGCAAATATTAGAAACAGACTCTAGCAAAAATCATAAAGAGAATGACGACGATGATTAAGTAACCAAGGATGACTGTGTTATCAAGCAAGACGGAAGCGAACACACCACAAAATCGCATGCCAGGAACGGACAGCATGTCCGGAAGTAGGACTCACGGAAGCCTCACCTGTAAGCGGAGCCCACTCACAGTCGGTTCCCGGAGCTACTCGAGCCCAAACCTACTCCCCGTCCTGTTCAGGGCTATCACACAGTGTTCTACCCATCTGTTCATCTATTAGCCGCATTCTGTCTATACGCCAGTGGTAGTGCCTCCTCAGCTTACCATTTTGACCAAACCGATTACTGTAGTACCGTATAATCAAGCTACCATTCAACAGCCAGGGAAATAATTCGATCATGACATTCGACCACTTACTCTTGAAAGCTCTCCGACCACCAGACAATCTATTCGATGATTACATCAAACTATTTTTCTATCTCTCTCAAATTCCCTCTCCTCTCAGCTCTGGTTACGCAACCCTCACCGTCTGGTATCCCTCGCTGGGCTGGCTGGCGGTGACACTGTCCTCTGCCGTGTCGGCTGCCGCCGCCGGTGAGCGCGGCGCGCCGTCCCGCTCCTCCCCAGACTCCAGACTCGCCAGACTGTCGTCCAGTGCGTCCGAGCTCACCGGCGGCGACGGCGAGCCCGTCGGTCCGGCGCCCGTCGGGCTCGACGCCGGCGACGGCCGCCGGTGAAACGGGAACGGTTTGCGGATCATGTTGGCGAGTCGGTGGTGTGACTTGGAGGAGAGAGTGAGAGAAGAGCCGGCCATCTGGGGAGCGCCGGCGCCGCCAGCGTGGGGAGAGTTAGGCGACCGCACGGCACACGGCGGACTGAAACGGCACGACTACAACACGCACACAGCAGGCGAGTGGTCGGCCAAGACCAAAGGTGAACATCAAGGCAGCATGCACTCTACCGTAAACTTCGAACCAAAAACAGACCAAATAAAAGCAAACAGCACAAAATTACTCAGCCCAAACTGGGACAACCAACGCCCTGGAGCGTATCTCGCCAGGGTGAGTTAAACACAACACTCACTCCACTCCGAGTTAAGTCACCACTCTCTAACTCACGTCTCCCATGTCCTCCACGGCCTTTGGCGCATCGGCTCCACCCAGCTCGTCTAGCGGCGTACGGATCAGCTTGGTGAGTCTCTGGAGTTTCTGTTCGGTGCACTGCGTCTCTCGGATGTCCTTCCGGAGGATCTCGCTGGCGCGCCGGATCACAAAGAGCCTGTCAGAGGTGGTGGTCGCCGCGGGCGGTCAGCGCGGGCCCTCAGAGGCCGCCGCGGACCGGGGAGAGACGGAGCAGAGCGGGGTGGAAGGGTAACTGCGGTAACTACCAGTGGGCTGTTTGTTGTGGCTAAGCAGAGCGGCTGCCTGATGATAATGCAAGCAAGCTGCGCGTTGCAATTTCTAAAGTCCCAATCCTACGCATGTTGAATGGCACGAGTGAAATTGATTTTAATGATTTCCTCACTCGCTCTATGTTTATTATTATCGACTGTAAAATAAACTTGTCATTTTCGTGTTCCAAATAACCTATTTGCGCTGGGTACTTCACCTCATGCATTGCCCCAACTAAGCCAGGAGGGTAGCCCCGTTCCCCGCTCATTACCCCTCTTAGCATCCCCAGCCCGGCTCACCCACCGGTTCACGCTATCCTGCTGTTTCTTCAGACATTCCACCTCGGCGTCGTGCTGGCTGAGCTGCTTCCGTTTCTCGGCGAGCACAGTACGGACATCGGCCAGTCGCGTCTCCAGGTCGGCCAGACGCATTCTGAGGCGAGAGAACGACACAGGGCGCGTGAATGGCTGGATCCGTACTGCAACTACAGACACAGTACCTCCTCACTGGTATGCACACCTCGAAATAGTCGCTAAAGCTGCACCGGCTTGTGGTGACCGTATATGGAAGCGCGCTGTACGAATGCATCTGGATTCACAAAGGACGACTTGGTAGGCGCTGTTAACGCAGCGATTCAACTGATTTGAATCGCTGCGCCCCCGCATTATACCTCCCCATCGGATGCCTCAACGCCGAAAATAGTGCTATTCTGATTCCTTTGTCACGACCGTATTAAATAAAGGACGCAGCGATGCAAGTATTTGCATCCGACAACCAAACACAGCATGGCTAGGAGTGCATTGCACTTCATGCATTTTCAGTTGACAGTTACTCGGGTCAGCTTCTTCCACTGACAGCATCAGCCACCGTAGGTAACGCATTACTTCACTAATGCGTTACCTGCGTCACCTACGCTCCTGGACTCCCCTCGACTAAGGATCACCCAGGCTAGCCCCTCCGTCTCTCTCCCCGTGTGATCTGCCGTGACCGGTCACTGACCGCAGGTTGCCGATGGTGAGGTCGTCCACCGCCAGGGCCTCCGGTTTCAGGCGCCCAGAGTACTCCTCCACCATCTGGTAGTCGAACAGGAAACTGACCGGCGGCGGCGGCTGAGACCTGGCGAGGGAGGGCGGCGGTGAGGCTGGGAGAAACGGAGGGAGGCTCTGTGGTGCTAGAACACTGGTGGCCTGGTGGGACTAACTAGCATGCTGAAGGACGAGTGGCTAGCATGTGATACGAAGTTTATCATGAACTATCGAACTACTGTCACATTACACATATTGATATGAGGCCAAGTATATAACGTGGAAAATATGGCAGTTGCATTCATACCATAATTCACTTTCCCTTATCCATTTATCCCAAATCGCTGGTGCTGACTAAATCCGACCCTGCCCCCCCCCCCCCAAAAAAATGCACTGAATCGGATCATGTCCCGGCATCCCATCCCACTCATACAGTCCTATTCAGTCGGTCAGTCAGGACAGGACCCGGGTCCCGCTCTCACTTGTGCCGGTCGGTGAACTCTCGGTACTCTCCATCGGTGGTGATGGCGCTGATACTGCCGTTCACCCGGCTCTGAATCTCCAGGTGTTTCTCCGTGCTGAAACTCGTCAACTCCGCCGCCGAACGCATTATGGCGCACCTGAAACGACAAGGAGCGTACGTATAAATTAAATACTGAACTACAGGAAATCGGTGTGGGATCGACGTGTACGGATAGTTGATGGCCATTAAATGTGATGGAAAGACAGGGGATTGTGAACATTGGACACTTAGCAAGCGGTTAAATGGAAGTGATTAAAAGACCCATGGATCCCGCAGTTCGATCATACTAACTTCCCCTCCCTCGCCTCATCACGGTATCACATGTCCTGTGACCCAATTAGGCAGGTAATCGCACACCAGTGGCTGCGTGTCGGGGAGGGGAGGGGGCGGGAGGGCAGCCAGGGACATGACACCCCCGGCCACACGCTGGCAATGATACGATATCCTATCCGAATGCGAACAGCCGTGGTAAAGGACACGGATGTCCCCGATAATGTGAAATGCTAACGGGTGTGGATATTGTTGTCAGCTAGGAGAAGGATTTAAGGCACTGTGAATGTAAAAGGCACATAAAGAGGAGATACGTTACCATAAAAACACTTTCTATTGCCCTATAAATGCGTTTGTTCAGGGCTCCGCAATAGTCTAGTTCCTGGGTCCACACGCTCCTATTATCCATGAAACCATCAAGAGTCTTGATTGACTATCCAAAACCTGAGGCAGGGACAATGCCGTCTCCCTCCGCCAATAGGTTGATGTCGGCGCGGCTCCGTCACCACCGTTCAACCAGTGCCCGTACCGCCTGCGTTTGCAGGCCGGCGTGCAGCGGCCAGGTCTGTTTATTCACGGCCCGACGACCCCACGAAACAAGGCCTCAGCCGCTCGACTCAAACGGGGATCCAACAGGCCGCTGGGTGAAGCAGTACACAGGAGACCGGGCGCTGGTTACCGCGACTCGGGTGAACACAAATACAACGGCGGTGTAGTTAGTTACGTAATTACGTTAATAGCTACTTAATTTGAAGACTTCCGGTGAGTAATTGGATAACAGCTGTAATACAATGCTAACCCCAGCTGACGCGACATTGACCTCAGATACGCCTCATGTCTAGGACTCACTATAAGCCAGCCCTGGTTAAAACTTCCGGTCATCCCAAGTCACACAAAAGCTTTACAGCACCACCCATTGAGCACACACCGGTCGGGTCTTCTGTATGCACGTTATTGCCCGCGCTAAACCCACACCTACTCACACCGGAAACACTCAAAGCCACATCAGCAGCAGGCGGCGAGTGGTCCGCCACACCTCTGTTGGTCTCAGCAGCTCGATTTGGGAGGTGGAGAACCTCACTCCAAACTAAACCCACCTCTCGCCGACCCCACCCAGACCCGCCGGAAGCTCGGCGTTTGTTTGAATTCCGCCGAACTCTCGGCGAGCCGCGCCCGCCCGTGACCGGGCGCACCGCTCCACACCACTCGCGGTATAACGGAACTCTCCTAATACTCCCACGGCGCCGCCCGCAGCTCCTCAGCGGCCCGCCCGCGCCGGAAGGAAGGATCGTCACGGTCGTGACCCGGCGCCGTCACGGTCGCCGTCACGGACTGACTGCGGGCGACCTCGGCGGAGTCGTGACGCCGCACTGGAGCGGCCCACTCACGGCGGGCCGTGCGGCGGCATAGACACACGGGGCGGAGATGGGCCCCGGGCGGCGACTGGCCTCGGTGCGGGGGGGGGGGGGGGGCGGCAGGGAGGGGGAGTGGAGAGCCGGGAGGGATGGGAGAGGGAGAGGACCTAAGGTGACTGGGAGAGTATCAGAGACCGAGAACATCGCTATCCGTCAGCGATTGACGTACTACACACTGTTGACTACCGTGAGAACCATGACTGGAGGAATGATCTACAAAACATTTCCTATCACAATTAGCAAGGGAAGTATCACGAGGAAATGCATTGACGGGTGTGATGAGTATTTGTACGGGGATACTACTACGCTTCATAGTTGACTTTCCCGGGCGGATGAGTCATTAATTTGCATTTGCTGTGGTAAGCTGACGACTGACGAGCAAGATTATTCCGTCGCATTTAACTGCAGTGCAGTTTGTCCAAGTACCGACCGAACTTATGTTTAACCCTCGCCCGCACATGCCATTTTCCCATCCTAGAACGCACATGGGGGGGGGGGGTGGTTGCCACCCCCCCGCGCCATTTCGTTCCTGTTGGAGATAGAGCTTAGCAGTAAAGACCAAAAAGATTCTTTGGGAAGAGACGAATCCAATGATACCCAGTTTTACCTTCTCAGGTCAGTCATTGACCTTCCAGGTCAGGTCAAACTAAAAAATGTTGCTGTTTTGGGTCACCGTTGGATATCAAGTGCGCTGCTTATCAAATACCGATGACGATGCTGTTTTCTGGTGCCAAGCCAGCTAGAACCCCTTTGTCACACTATCCGACCAGAATTTTGCTGCTGAGGTCATTTCAGGTCAAGTTAGGTCAAGGTCAATTATATGTGTTTGTATGTCTGTGTGTGTCTGTGTGTATACTGATGTGTGCACCGATTGTTTTTGGATCCATATCACATGAAATCATGATCTGAGAAGTTTTTACCAAAAATGCAGTCAAAAAAATTCACAAAAAGTAAATTCAGCTTGCCTAAAACGCAATTATCTTAGATGACCTAGGTTGACCTTGACCCTGACCTTGACCCCTGTACATCGTCGAACAACATGTTCCATGATAGGTGGGAGGTAAGACTGGCAAAAAAGGCCGAAATCAGGGTGTCAAAAGCTCACAAGGCCCATGGCAAACGCAAGATGTTGAGAATTGGCCATTTGGGTCATGACATGACCTGAAAAACAAGGTCATATCTCCGAAACCAAAAATCACAGAAACTTGAAATTTTCAGGGGACATCAAGAAAGGATAGACGAGCAGCTATACGAAAAATCAGCCTTCTAGCTCTAAAAATGTTGAGTGCAGAGCAGAAAGACTGCCTGGGGGGGGGGGGTGGCAACCACCCCCCCCCCCCCATGTGCGGGCGAGGGTTAATCGGAAGTTGTGGGGGATTCACCATGTGCTTGGTACGCCATTCAGGATAGCAAGAGCTAAGGCGTGATTCATCTGCTGCATGTAATACATGCTGGAATATCTGCTGCAGGCCAGTCATTGAAACAGCAGCGCCCCCCCCCCCTCCCCAGTACACTTCTAAATCGCACTCCGCCCCGCCCGCTCGGCGCACACACGAGCTCAATTACCGAACTCTACACGGTCTCCACCACAATACTGCCACTGCACACAAACAGAGCAGCTTTGCGGCGACAGCTCGTGTATAAACACCGCGCCTCTCCCTCCGCGGGCCGGGGGAGGGGCCGCCTAACGACCGGCAGGCCGGGCCAGGGCGCCGCTGGGAGTCAGAGAGGCGGTCATTAGCGTATTACTGCCGACTGTCAGGGAGCCAGTCAGATGCTGACAGACAGAGGGCAGCTGACAGCGTGGCAGGCGACCGTTGTCAGCAGGGCAATCGAGCATGGAAGAATGGCCCAGTGACTTACCCGACTCCACGTCTGCGTGTGGGGCAGATGGTATGTTATAGCAAGAGTTACGAATTGTAGTGAATAATCAAAACATCCGTGGGCTATATCACGCGAAGGTCTATGGAAAGTGTTTGAAAACTTTAAAGATCATATCTATCAGTGTTGTCCCAGCAAGGCGATGCCGAGCGTTGCAGAGTTAAGATCTAACATCCGGTGTCTGTGAGTCACACATTTCAGCCTTTGCACGCACAACTATGACAATGACGGCGGTAATGGGGGCTCAAGGACAAGACAGTAGCGGAGCAATTCCACACTTTAGCAACTACACAAACACCACTTCTGTAGAGCGCTACTCGCCCGTAAACCCAATTCGCTCACTTCCCCCGCCGCACCCCACCCAGTCTGTCACCGGGCGACTCACCAGCGCTCGATCATGTCCTCCTGGACGAGCTGCTGGTACTCGAGCAGCGCCGGAAGCAGCACCGTGCGGAAGTCGCGCTCGTACTGGCTCGCCTCCAGCAGCAGCAGCACGTACTCGTTGTGCGCGTTGTGCAGCCGGCGACACGCCTTCACGTAGCGCTCCTTCACCTCCTCCAGTTTCCGGCCGGCCTTTCCTGGGAAGACGGTGAAAACAAAAAAGTTAGAATGGTGGCTGGGTGGGTGGCGGTATAGACCTCGTATATGCTTGTTCGACTAACATGTGGATAATGAGCACAATAATTCCAATATATCGCATTAGCAAGTCATCACTTTCACGAAGCTATGTAACTGCCATCGTTTGATTTAGTAGTATCGTCCTGAGCACATCGCTTGAGGCAAACATGCGATTCGTAGTAATTGTCCGAATAAAAGATATTGACATAGTTAGATCTAACTCTAAGACACAAAATATTCGTAATGACAATCGCTTCTAACCTAATTTCATTTGTACCTCGAATCCAAAACGTCAGTCAGATGTAATAAACTCGCGCGGTGATCGATCAAATTAAGAAGAAGGGCAGAACGGAAAGATACAATGCATAAGGTCACGAGCTCGAGCATAAAACTTCCACGCTTTTCTTGCAATTCTTTTATGAGAAAATATTTACAAATCAAAAGCAAATTTCAGGTACGGTAAATTTAGAGTGGTTTACAAAGAAAATTTGCTCAGTTGCTTGATCCTTAATAATCAATTAAATTAAATTCCAAATGCGACAAACTATTGGCACATATCGTAATTAAATCACAGTAATTTTTTAACATCATGCGCGAGGACCAATGTTTTTACGAAGCTCAGCGCAAGGGCAGGGATTTGCGTCGTGCACTGTATCAGCAAGAGTTGTGTAGACCGCTGGGATTCCCAGTTGTACGCAGAAAAACAAAATGTGGAAGACGCTCAAGCTCCACAGCAAGGACCCCGATATGTGGCCCTTCGTATCGTCAAACTCCACCGGACTTCCTCCATCACCACGACTTCAAGCCAACATGTCCATCGCCGCCGCCAGCGACCATGCAGTGCGACTACCTCCCCGCCTGCCCACCAATGCCACTCGTGTGCAGCGACGTCGTACGATCGTTCCCTCCCGCCATGCCGGCAGAAACGATCCTTTCCGGCTTCCGTAATGCGCACAGCGGACCGGGATTCGAATCTACATCGATCGGTAATTTCAGCACCTGCCGAACACCATGCGACTACATGTCCAACTTCCAAATTGTTCACACGATGGTGAATCCGTGCAGTCCGCAGGTGACGCTGTACACCCCACCTCCGCGTTTGTGCTCATCAAAGTGGTCGGTGCCCTGCCAGCCGCCGCTCAACTTCTACCTCCCGAAGCCCGTCAGCTGCGTGCGGTGCACCACATCCACCAACTACGTGCCCGACCAGGTGGTCATCAGGGAGCTGGCCGACGACGACTGCCAGGAGATGGGTCTGTGCGGCTACCGGCGGCGCGAGCCAGAGTGCCGCTCCACCAGGAGGGTCTACACGTCGCTGCCGGGCCTGGGCGGTGACGACCAGGACCCGCCCAAGCCGTGGCGGGACCCGTGCGGCGGCCGCATCTACTACCGGCTCTCCGACAACGACTTCATCCAGCAGTGGGGCAGCCCGTCCTGATACGTGCCGCTCGACAGCGCCGCCGCGAGTTTTCGGTACAATAACCCGTTCGAATACCAAGTTATCTATCAACTCCTGGTGCAGTATCGTCATCTCGTGAGACCGAATGGTATCTTTCATTCCTTCAAATTCTGATGTGACAATCTATATCAATATAAGACACATTAATTCAGAGTGATCTAAGCTCAAAGCTGTAACACGGGAGCAATACATGAACCGTCTATCAGAAGGTATGAATGGGTCTAACGAGGGTCGTTTTGATTGCAAACTTATCGCAGCCTAGGCTAATCCATCGCGCTTTCATAAATAAACACTCCTTTACCGAACTGAAGGCAGAGTTACGGCACAAGCACGGCACTGCATCAGATTAGAGCAACGCAGCAATGATTACATAGGCAGCGATGAAAGCGTTTGTGTTATAGTGGTCGGCTATAAAGGGACAGATGCTTAGCAACGATGCCGTAGAATGGGAAGCAGATGGGTGATTTAAGCTAGCCGCTAGGTACTACAATGAGTTCATTGATGATTGCTCACCTTTGACATATTGGTCTTCATAGCGGGCCTTGGCGATCTTGTAGACCTCTAGGTTCTTCTCATATTCGGCTTTCAGCTTTGAGACGCTCTCTTGGTACTGAAATAGAGAAAGAAAACGCTAATGTTAGTCAAAAGGTCAAAAAAGGTAAGGAGGGCAAAGTGGGCGAAATTTGTGTAAATTTCATTTCCGAACTGGGCGACATGGTCTTTGTTACGGAATATGAGTTTCAATTTAGGTGCGTTGTTTCTTGTGAAGTTTGCAGTGAATTTAGTGGTATTGTGTTGTGCCGTGTGGCGTGTGCCGTGTGGAAAGTGGCGCACAGCATTCATTGTTCGTCTTGGTTTGGACACGTGTGGACGTGTGAGATTATTGAGATATTGTTTGAAACTCGATACAAATATAGAATTCGAGACATTGGTGCCGAAACCCGGGAATGGGAAGAGACCTTCGGATTAAGTTGTGATATCATCTTGATTTCTTGATTTGACTGCCAGTATTGTTGAACTAGATTTTGAAGATGGCAGAAGAAAAGATGATCTTATTAAGGAAGAGAACTGCCGCTCGAGGCTGGCTAAACAGAGCAGTTTCAAAGCTCAAGGAGACCCTTGAGGTCAAAGGTGAGCGATTTGACCTTGATTTGGTGAGATTGGCAAAGAGTGACTGTGAAAAACGTCTGATGACATTGGATGACGTACAGTCTCAGGTAGAGGTTTTGTTCGAAACCGAAGAAGAGATGATGAGTGACATCTTAAAAGCCGCAGAGCTCCGAGAAGAAGCTATGGCAGTGCTCAGTCATGCTGATAAGGTGTCAAAGCTCTCAGATGAGCAAGAAGCTCGGTCATCGACTAGCTTGAGTGACAGAGAAACGACGAAGTTACCCAAGCTAGAGCTGCCAAAATTCTCGGGCAGTGTAACTGAGTGGCAGTCTTTTTGGGAACTCTTCTCTGCAGCAGTCGACCAGAGTGAACTTGCCGATGTGTCAAAGCTGGCATATCTTAAATCGCTTCTAACTGGTGAGGCGGCTCAGTGTGTCGAAGGACTATCTTTGATCGGAAGGAACTACAGTGCTGCCTGCAAGATATTGAGTGATAGATTTGGACGCAAAGAAGTGATTATTTTCAATCATGTGCAGCAGCTGCTTGCTTTGCCTGAACTTTCAGTGCCAGATGTGAGCTCTCTTCGGTCCCTTCAGGACAAACTTTTGTCTCATGTGCGCAGTTTGGAAGCATTGGACGTGAAGGGTGAGCAGTATGGTGTAGTGTTGGTGCCAGTGATACTGCAGAAGCTGCCCACAGCCATCAGGCTTGAGTGGGCCCGTGATGGTGTTGGCAAAGAAAACGACCTTGATTGGCTGTTAACGTTCTTGGATACAGAGATCTCTAGGAGGGAGCGGTCCAGTTCCTTGGCACCTGCATCTGCTCCTGTGAGTTCTACACCGCTCGAGAGCCGCACCAGGAGGAAGAGGATACAGACAGGTGCAGCTCTCACTTCACCACAGGTGGTATGTGTCTTCTGTGCTAAAAGTGGGCACAGCTCTTTGAACTGTAGAGAACTGCTCAAGCTTTCGCTGCCCGAAAGGCAGGTTTTCATAAAGAACTCGGGTGTATGCTTTAAGTGCTTTTCAAAGTCACATCGTGCCAGGTCATGTGCTGCCAAATGTTCTCATTGTGGTGGAGGACACTCAGTGCTTTGCTGCTACCAGAAACATGGCCCCCCTCAGGTGCCTCCTGCTGAGCCTCCACTGATGCCTCACATTGATCAGAGTCGTAGTGTGATGAATGATGCTCAACAGGCAACTCTGTCATGTAGGACTGATGAAGCCAGTGGCGGTGTCTGTACTCTTTTGCCAACTGCAAAAATTGATGTGTTTAGTCCGGTCACTGGTCAGAAGGTGCAAGCCACTGCCATTTTGGACAGTGGCTCCAGCAGGTCCTATGTGTCTGAGAATCTTGTTCGTAGAGTACAGCCAGAGCAGATTGGTTCTGAGAAACTGTCCTTTGCCTCATTTGGTGGAAGTACATCTTGTGTTAAGGATAGGAATGTGTACAGTGTTGTGTTTTCTGGTACTCATGCCTGTCCACCTCTCCAGCAGTCTGTGCGAGCTGTGATGGTGCCTGTCATCTGCGCTCCTCTCCGGCGGCCGGTGATTCCAGCCGCTGACCTGAACCACCTGGCCACCCTGAATCTGGCTGACCCTCCCTGCTCACGTGACCAGCTGCAAATTGACCTGCTCGTGGGTATGGACCACTACTGGGAGGTAATGCGCGACGGCTGTCTTCGGGTGGACGGGGGTCCTATTGCTCAGGAAACTACCCTGGGGTGGGTTCTATCAGGTCCACTTGTTGGCAGTACTGCTCACGATCAGTGTCAGCTCCTATGTGTAGGCGAGCTTCACTCAGACTCTCTCCGTCGCATGTGGTCGCTGGAGGGCATAGGGATATGTGAAGCTGAAGAGTCGGCAGATTCTAAGTCCAATGTCTTGCAGGAGTTCAATGAATCTGTGCGGTTCACTGATGGTAGATATGAGGTGACTCTCCCCTGGAAAGAGGGTTCCGAAGGTAGACTTACCGACAACAGGCGCCTCGCTGAGTCCCGACTCCAGAGTTTGAGTCGGAGATTGGACAGGGATCCGGCGCTCAGGGATGCGTATGAGGGTACCCTGAAGGAGCTTGAGGAGGGTGGAGTCATTGTTGAGGTTCCAAATGAGGAACTGGTGACTGACAATCCCGTGTGGTATCTCCCACACCACCCGGTGGTGAAGGAGTCCAGTGAGACCACTCGGGTCCGCCCAGTTTTTGATGCGTCTGCTTGTGATAGTAACGGCGTGTCATTGAACGATTGCGTTGAGGTGGGACCTAACTTGATTCAGAGCCTTCCAGAGGTTCTCTTGAGGTTCCGTCGTTGGAAGTTTGCTGTAACTGGTGACATTAGGAAGGCTTTCCTCCAAGTCAAGCTGCGGAAAGAGGACAGGGACGTACACAGATTTCTGTTTCGAGTGGGAGACAGGACTCGTGTGATGAGGTCAGAGCGAGTGCTGTTTGGTGTGTCGAGCTCACCTTTCTTGTTGAACGCCACCATCCGGTTTCACTTGTCCAGGTATCAGCCGTGTGTGGTCATTCGCGAGTTATCAGAGAATCTGTATGTGGATGATCTAGTGTCTGGTCAGGACACAGAACAGGAGGCACGCCAACTTCTGACAGGCGCGCAGGCAGTGCTGAGCGAGGCTGGCATGAATCTGGTTCCCACCTCTGCCAGCGCGGTGGTGTTCGATGAGACTCCGACTGCTGAGACATCCCGTGAAAGATCTTGTGTCAAGGTGCTCGGTGTGAGATGGTCCCCAGTGGAAGATGCTTTCTCTTACGAAGGAGTTAGCCTTCCGTCAGATCTATCCGTGACGAAACGTCTGGTCTTGAGCGTGCTCATGCGTCTGTTTGACCCGCTGGGCTACATCTGCCCGGTGGTGATGGCAGGCAAGGTCCTTTTTCAGTCACTGTGGTCTCTTGGTGTTGATTGGGATGAAGTGTTGCCCTCGGAGATCGCTGATAAGTTCGCCGTCTGGGTCAGGGATTTGAACGGTCTGCGAGACTTCTCTATTCCCCGCTGCTACTCCAGTGATGGCTGGAATGAGGGACGCCGTGTCGAACTTCACGCATTTGGAGATGCGAGCCCCAAGGGCTACGGCTGTGCTGTGTTCGTGCGTACCGTTCGTGACGATGGTGGCGCAGATGTGTCGCTCGCGATGGCAAAGGCTCGACTCGCTCCCTTGAAGCCTGTCACCTTGCCTCGTTTAGAGCTTCTGGGTTGCTTGTTGGCGGCGCGCCTGGTCTGCTTTGTGCGTGAAGCACTGCGCCTCCCGAAGTCAACGACCTTGAGGTGCTACACCGACTCCATGATCGCTCTTGGATGGATTCGGTCTCAGCCAGGTCGCTGGAAACAGTTCATTGCGAACAGAGTGGTCGAAATTCAGAGTTTGGTCGGTCCGAGTGAATGGGCTCACTGTTCGTCAGGTGAAAACCCTGCTGATTTCACAACGAGAGGAATCGCGACGGGCGATCTCGTGAAGTCAGACCTGTGGCTTCGAGGGCCAGACTGGCTGGCACGGCCGGGAGCAGGGTCAGAACCTGTCGAGGATGACTTCGTAGATCGCTCTCCTGTCGAGGAGCGAAAGGAAGATACGGTCTGTCTGACGTCAGACGAGCCGTCGTCGCATCAGCCGGTGTTTGATGTCTCGCGATGGAGCAGCTTTTCTAAGGCAGTTCGTGTGATTGGTTGGGTCCGCCGTTTTGCGCGGAACTGCAGACTTCCCAGTGAGAAGTGTCTGCTCCCTGATCTTGCCTATGACGAGGTGAAAAGGGCCGAAATGGATCTGATCAGGGTCACTCAGTCTGAGTCGTATGCTGAGGAGATCAGTGCCCTGAGACAGGGTAAGTCAATTCCCAAGATATCCAGTGTCGCAAAGCTGGGCTTGTTCCTGGATGATGATCAGCTTTTGCGTATCAAGGGCAGGCTGCAGATGTCTGAGCTCAGTTACGGTGAGAAACATCCGATACTTCTACCCAAGTCACGTTTGTCGGAGCTTCTTGTCCGTGACCAGCATTTGCAGATGGGACACGCTGGTGTCTCCACGCTGATCACAGCCATGAGGGAACAGTTCTGGGTGGTAGGACTACGGCCTCTGGCCAAGCGTGTCAAACGAATGTGTGTTGTGTGTCAAAGACACGACGCACGGCTCTGTAACCAGACAGCAGCACCTCTGCCTCGCGACCGAGTTACAGAGGCCCCACCGTTCGCAGTGACGGGGGTCGATTTTGCGGGGCCTGTATTTTGTGTTGATATGCCCAAGAAGAAGTTTTACGTTTGCTTGTATACGTGCGCAGTCACACGCGCTGTGCACCTCGAGATGACAGAGGGTCTGTCTTTGGCCGCATTTATGCTTTCCCTCCGACGCTTTGCAGCGAGACGCGGCATGCCTAGCGTGATATACTCTGATAACGCGCCCACTTTCAAGGGCGCAGAATCTCGACTGCAGAGTATTTTCGGTCGTCTGGCACCTGAGTGGCGGTTCATTGTGCCTCTTTCCCCATGGTGGGGTGGTT